TTTTTCTTTGCCGGAATTTCTTCTGCTGTGCTTTATTATTCTGCGAGCTTTCACCGACTTCCTCAGATTCATCTGAGTTAAGCACGTCAAACTTGTTAGTGTATATAAACTGAAACGGACCAACACCAACCACGCCCCTTTCTTCCCGGACTTGCGGGTCTGACCAGCTTCTCATTTCCTGTCCTATTGTTCGGTACACATCGTCGCTTTTGCACTTTGGTGAATGTGCGCACTTAGACAGTACTTCTTTGATAGTACTGTACATATCAAACCAGTAGTACCTAGTAACTAAGTACTTCTGTATGGACACTTCATTCGGTATCAGTTTCTTTTCGTGGAATCGTTGATGTACCGAATGTACTAACTTCATCTGCCACTGATACGGCACCAAAATTCTTGGGATACCGCTTCCACTTCGTCTGCGACATAACATACCGCGGTACACTTGAAATAACCCGATTTCGTCTCTTTCAAAATCAGTAGTCGTTTTCAACGGGTTGTTATAAAGGTAATACCAATGCTTGGTATCCTTGCATTTGCACTGCTCCGCTTGCCAAAACGCTTCGTCCGCATACTCTTCAGCAGTGACCACACGCTCATGGTTTTCCGGTCGCCCCTGCGGGCGTGTCCACGCTTTCGCCGGGTATTTAGTAGTTAACTGTTCGGCTAACTTAGAGTTACCGAAAGTAACTGACTGTCCCTCTGGCAGCATACCTTCGTCCGCATCTGCATTACCCCCGCAAACTTGAGTACTCGTACTCTGTTGCGGCTGCTCGCACCCCCGCAAACTTGACGTTGCACCGAGCGCATTTTGCGGTTTCTTCAAGATCTTAACATTGCCTTTCACTGCTTTTGCGAAAGACTTCTGTGGCGTAACTTCATTCCGTTTTGTACTACTAGTATGTAGTACTTCTGCTTTTTTAACAGCCATTGTCGACCGCTCTTTGTTTAACCAGCTATTTAAGTGGTCATACGTCACACTACTTCCGTCGAATGCTTTACAGTATTCGAGTGCACGCCCCGTATCAAACCATGCAGGTATTGTGGGACATGGACGTGCACCGGGATTCAATACCGGTTTAAAACTGTGCTGTTGCACAAAATCCAACATTTTCAAATGTGCTCTTGGGTGATATCTGGGAAAGGCGGGTTCGGTACGAGTAGGCCTGAACGCCATAGTACTGAAATCAAACACAACTGGTTTACCAGTCCAAAAGTCGGTACCCAGTAGTACAAAGTCGACTTTGTATTAGGATCGATTAATACAGCATGTTCATAACCAATTCCAAACAATTCGATACGCACAATACCACAATGGGTCAATATCGGTAATATCATTCGCCGCCGTATTAAGCGTTACATCTGACACATGCGCTGGGCATTTCAAAATGCTTACATTCAACATTAGCGCTATGTGTATTGGCATAATGGAGATACTTGCGCCAGTATCCACCAACGTTTTCACTTCATCATTGTCATTCATAGCTAACATCACGTACACAGCTTGTGCATCCAGAGTTGGTAATGCAACTTCAAACCCTTTTCTACTGCATCTGGGAACTGTGACAGTTGTTGCATACGCTCTACAGATAGTGCATTCACTTGCACATCCTTGCCAAGTTTACATACTTCCATTGCTCGGGCTTCCGCTCTTCTACTGTTGTGCTGGGCTAACACGTCCGCGGGCGGTTCACGTGTCGCCTCTTTGAATTTGCCTTTGAAAGTACAAAACTTTGCTGGGTGTAGCTCGTGGCACTTAAAGCAAATCAGCTGACCGGCATCATTTTTCCACTCCTATTTAAGCCAATTTCAACGTTGCCGATCATGAACGGCCGTCGGCCGCTATTCTGAGTATTTTCAGCTTTCACACTGTCACCTTTCTCGTACGTACTTCCAGACTGTTCATAAGAGTTTTGGCGGTAGTTACCGTATCCGCCTCGGCCACCACGGCCACGATTATTATTACCGCGGTATCCACCGCGTCCACGGTTGCCGTTATTACTGTAACTGTTGCTGTTTTGATTCCTGGTGTTATTGTATTCAACTTGTTGCGACTTCAAGCTGTAAAACGTCTTCAGCTGAGTACACACGTCTTCAACTGTTTTTGGTTTGGACTCAGTTAACTTTTCAAACCAGCGCCATCTATGCGGTCTTAATCCTTGAATAAGGATTGACACACGCTCTTCTTCACTTGTTCCCAATGTGTTGAACCAGTTTAGGTAACCATCCACGTATGAGTTTACCGTATGCGCGTCAGTAAATACACGGGCGTACATTGCCTGCCGTATTTCAGCGGGATCACTCTCCGATGAGAAGTGACTTAGAAGTACTCCTTCCAGTACTTCCAGTCTTTATCTGGTTTTTCTTCTTGTGGTCTGCATACCACAGATACGCATCATCCTTCAGTGAGTTTGACAAGGCCTTATCAATTAGCTGTTTGTCATCCCAACCGTTCAAGTCTTGACAGCGCTCGCAGTCAAGTATAAACTTTTCCACTTTCCCGCTTTCTTGTGTACCCTTATAATTTTGCGGGTAATGGGTCTTTTCTTTTGTACTTTTACCACTTTTATCAAATTTCTCCATTAACGCTATACTGCGTTCAATTAACTCGTACGGTACGACGTCGTTTACGCGCACGGGTACATAATCACGGTTACGTTGGGTTTCGTTAAACTCCACCCGACGACTTGCATACGCCTGTGACTGCTGACCAGATGTCAGCTTTGGTGCTGCATCAAAGGTCGCTTCCCGTTCAAAAGTACTCGTATGTACCGGATTCAGTCTGACCACTGACAGTTCCACCTTTTGTTTTCAGACTGTTTTCCCACTGCTGCAGCCTGGCCTCCCACTCTGCTAGCCGTTTTTCACGCGTTTTCGCTTTATCGAACTCATCTTCGATGCATATCCATTGACCTTGAAGGTCGTCACGTTCTTTTCAGTTCTGCATCGACTCGCGATTCTTCTGCCTTTAGTTTAACTTGCAGATCGTCACGTTCTCTCTGCGCACGTATAAAGTCACGTTGCAGTTTACCACTGTTGACCATTGAATCATGGCACTGCTTTTCCAGGTTTTTGTTTGTATTACGTACACGGTCCACTTCATCTTTGTTTTTGTCGTTTTGAGTACGTAAATCAAAGATATCAGTATTCAACTTTTTCACGTTTTCTTTGCACTCTTCATCGTGCTTCTTAATTTTTTCTTTTAAATCATTTATTTCATCGTCACGCTTTTTCACATCCTCCTTCAAGGCATCGTTGTCATCACTTAAAGTATGACACCACGTTTTAGCCTTAACAAACTTCATGTGCATTTCTTCAGTTGTATTCAGACCGGCTTTAGCGATCTCTTTCATTTCGTTAAGGTCTTTTTCGTTCTCAATTCTGTTTTCCCATGACAGAACCGTATTGTCAAACTGCTCTTGATCCAAAGTAAACTGCCTTACAGCGGCATGTAACGGATGGATCACATCCAACGTTTTATTCAACTCATCGTAATTGCCTGTAGCCACTGTACTACGTATTTGAAACGGCTCTGCTGACAGCGGCTCAACCCCACCAGTTGGCACATCTTCATCAATAATACTCGCATTCATATCTTTTTCGATATTAGTGGCAGCCGTGTTATCAACTTCCTGCTTTGCTTTATGCTGTACAAAAGCAAAGGAGAGACAACCTTTTCCACCGTTTCACCAGCATTTTCATACGCATCTGCAGCTGCTGTTTGCACAGCTTGCACTTGCGCATTAAACTTCTGCATAGCAGCTTTATATGCTTCAACTGTGAACAGTTTTGTAATATTTTGTGGCAGCTCTCTGTGCTCAACCACACTCGCCAACCTGTCGGCGGCTTTCCCATTTGGCCTCATCATTGTCGTAAGTTACGAAATCTTTGCCACATATCCCAGATTTAGGGACTGCAACATTCAGTTCATTCAGGAATGCTTCGATTTTAACGCCAATTGGCACGATAAACTTATCCGGTATCAGCTCTGCTGCACCTGCTTCACTGCCTGTCGCGTAAACTTCGGTGCACGGCTTTTGACGCCGTGCTTTTCGAATTTTCCATTGTTAGGTTTTTTCACTTCACTTCGCTCGTTTGTTCACGCTCGTTGCACTGAAATCTTTTAACTAGCCGAGAAACTTCTTTTGTTTCACGGATATCAGCTACGCCCTTTGTTCTCAGTGTTCGTTGCACTGATACTCTTTTTAAGCTCAGAGCACTGAAGGCTTCTAGCTACGCTCAAGACTTGTGTGCACTGTATGCATAAACATGCTTAGCAATTCAGCAAATTCTCTTTCCTGCTCGCAGTTTGTTGCGCAACCTGCTTCAGATTTACCAGGAACACGTCTGTTCGCTGGCTTAAGAATAATTCGGGAACATCAATCTCTGGCCAGGAGAATTGAGTCCCTACAGTAAATTAGGACATTTGTGCTCAAGATCGATCTACAGGTTAACCCTGCATCGATCGGCTGGCAGGACAAACTGCACAGTCCAGCCAGAGCGCTCCCGGACAATTAGGTTTTGTCGTGGGTCGCAGGCACAGGCAGAATGGTCACCACCAACCCATGTCGCCTAGTACGGCACTTAATTAATAATTCCAGTCAGTTAGTTCAGGACATCCGTCCAGTCGGTACCGAACACCCGGACTGAGCACCTGGGAAATATCAACTCGCACAATTTCACATGTTTACTTAGCTAGGCCTTAGGAAAGGTTCGAACTGATGGGCGCCAAGACAGAACGAAAGAAGAAATACCAATATCTATCCAAACACCTGACTCAAATATAGAAATAGCTGATAATTTCAATATGGCATAGCCAAGGAAATGTATATCAGAGACGCAAAGCGAAACTGAGGAATTCCGGCTAAAGATTCTTAATACAAAGACTCTGCACACTGCTGGGTTTTAATGTACCAATAATACCAAAATCGGTTTAATAATCAACACATAAATAGATAGCGATAAGCGAGTTAGATAGGCGCCATCAACCTCTTCGAAACCAAAACTTCGGCCGTAGCCTCCTGATACTGCTGATATTCGGACACCAAATCGTTCATGTTGGATTCCGCTTCCGTAAACTCCATTTCATCCATGCCTTCACCAGTGTACCAATGCAAGAAAGCTTTCCGACGGAACATGGCTGCAGTAATCATAAAACAGTTATCAGAGGTCATTAAGCTGATGAAGTGCTACTACAGACTAGTTAGTACTACTGTAGAATATGGCTGACAACCTCGTGTGCAACAAAACTTGCAATGTAAGTGTCTGTTTATTAAATCAAAATTACCGGTAAACTGTTCTGAAACACGCTTGAATAATTCTTGAATTGCGGTGCTATTTCCGATGAATGTAGCAGACATCTTCAAGCCACGTGGAGGAATATCGCACACCGCGGTTTTCACATTATTGGGAATCCATTCCACAAAATAACTGCCAAGATTGTAAGGATTAATGGTTACGAGTCCAGCTTAACGACGCACGTGTGGCTTTATTAGAAATTGAACTTAACCTGCTATTTTTGTTTTGAATGTTGAGCAGCTGTTCATCCACTTCCTTCATGCTCATGCGGCCACGGAAAATGGCCGCGACCGTCAAGTATCGCCCATGCCGCGGATCACAAGCCGCCATCATATTTTTCGCGTCGAACATTTGCTAAACCATTGCAAGCAACATAAGCGAAGAAATCAAATATACGTTCGCAAATCAAGTGTTTGGAAATAAATGTGAGGATGTATAAATAGTAACTCAAGTTCCGAACCTGAGTTAATTCCGGAACAGTCAAAGCGCGATACTGCTGCGAACCACGGGACGTCAATGGAGCAAAGCCGGGCATAAAGAAATGCAGACGCGGGAAGGGCACCATGTTGACAGCCAATTTACGCAAATCAGCATTCAGCTGGCCGGGGAAACGCAGACAAGTGGTCACGCCGGACATCGTAGCCGACACCAGGTGGTTCAGATCGCCGTATGTCGGAGTGGTCAGCTTCAGTGTGCGGAAGCAGATGTCGTACAGCGCCTCGTTGTCAATGCAAAACGTCTCATCCGTGTTCTCAACCAACTGATGGACTGACAAGGTCGCATTGTACGGTTCCACTACGGTATCTGACACCTATGTAATTTAAACAAAAGAAATTTTCTCGTTTCCAAAAACTAAATGCAACCAACTTCAATTTTACCAGGCGTTATTATCCAGAATGCAAATAAAACAAGTCACATAACGTACCTTTGGTGAAGGGACAACGCTAAAGGTATTCATAATACGATCGGGATATTCTTCGCGTATCTTGGAAATCATCAGCGTTCCCATACCAGAGCCGGTGCCACCGCCGAGCGAATGCGTCAGCTGAAATCCTTGCAAGCAATCACAGCTTTCCGCTTCCTTTCTAACGACATCCAGCACTGAGTCCACTAATTCCGCACCCTCCGTATAATGGCCCTTTGCCCAATTATTACCGGCACCACTTTGCCCTGTAATTTCGGTGCCACAGACAGTGAAGCCATTTCATTTAAAAAAATAATTTCCATAACCTAACCTAGCCTTCCCGGCCTTTGGGAAAAGTTCCAAGGGGGCACAGTTTAATTTTACAACACATTACTAACCGAAAATGAAATTATCCGGTCGAAACAATTGTCCAAAAGGTCCCGAGCGCACCGAGTCCATAGTGCCGGGTTCCAAGTCAACCAAAACTGCACGCGGAACATATTTGCCGCCTACAACCCAAAATTGTTTGGAACTTTCGCTCAATTTCCGTACACTTTTTTTATGACTTTTAGAATGTAGTAGACCTACTTTACGAAAACGATAAAAAACTTTTACGGAAGAGTGAAGACCGCAAATTTCGAACTTATCGGATGATGATGGTTCTCTACGAGGCGTACGTACCCGTTGCTTCGTTGTAGTAGACATTAATCCTTTCCAGCTGCAAATCTGAATCTCCGTGGTAAGTGCCCGTGGGATCGATGCCGTGCTCATCAGATATTACTTCCCAAAACTAAAAAAAACCTGATAAATCAGCAGCCCGGTTCCCTCTTCGTAGTTAGATCTGGCCTATACTTGGGAATTCCTGCGCGCTTTGACTAGATTTAAATACCTACCTTCGCTCCGATCTGATTCCCGCACTGGCCGGCTTGTAAATGAACGATTTCACGCATCTTAAATTTTTAGTGTTAGAAAAAGAAGGGTATAAAAATAGTTGCAAAGTGGAAATCAACGAAATTTTAACGACGTGCCGGCCGTTGATCACCAAAGCGGTTGCTATGCACTGCAAAAATTTCGAAGTTGCCTGAAGAAGTGCTGTGATAACTGAAAGAAAAAAATTTGAGTTTTACGCGGCGGTATCGACTTTGGAAAGTCCTTCAATACCATACGCGGCGGTATCGACTTTGGAAAGTCCTTCCAATACCATTGACGAATGCAGTGCTCACACTTCCAATTCCAGTTAACAGATACCATGGTGGCCGGCTCGGCGACTGTTTTCATTTTCTCTTCTATTTTATTTTTCAATTATTATGCATTTTTGGATGTTTTTTTATCTTTGGTACTTTTGCCTGTTAGTCGCACAGTACAGTAATAACTAATAACAGATATTTGAATTGGTTTGTCGAATCTGTATGTGGATTGTTTGCAGTCTGGTCTTAAACTGTGAACGGCTGCCGCTTGAGACAGGCTCGCAGCCAGATGTTTTGCTAAGGAATCTCACCGACGGCGTATCTTTCGATATCCGGGAACGCATTGACTCCACCAGAATCCAGCCTTTCAGGTGTAAGAATGAATCCTTTGCAGCGTTTTACGCATGTACTTCTCGTCAGACCGCACAATCTGGTCGGAATTTGCCGCCGCTCTGAAAGCATTCTCGCCTCAAAATCGGCTAGAGCTGTCCTAAAGAAAGACGAAAAAGATGTTGAAGTAATTCCTCCACTTTCTCAACGGACTCCCGAAATTCCCGCTAGCTTCAGGTTTATATACCCTGAGTTTCTGCCTAATATCGATCCAAAAAAGAGAAATTACCTATCCGAGAAGCTAGAACGCCAGGATATGATGCGTCGAAGAACTCAGCTGCACATTCCGGAATTTTATCCGGGATCCATAATGGCCGTAACAACATCCGATCCTCATTCACCAACAAAAACCAACCGATTTGTGGGGATTTGTTTATATCGTGGTTGTCCCGGACTGGAATCGTGCTTCGTCCTGAGAAACCATGTAGATGGCACTGCGGTGGAGATCAAGTGAGAATTTGTGTACAGTAGTACTTAGTAGTAGTTTACCTGATTGACTCTGTTGAGAGTGTTTTAGAAACTAGAGAAGTTTCGACTTTGGTCTTCGGTCGTTGCTCAGATTGTTTTCCACAAAATCCATTTCGTTAATTATTTTCGTGTGAATGCTGACTCTGTTTTTTGTCGTGCCTTAGATATCACATGTACAATCCAACAGTGCGAAAAATTGAAGTGCTGCGCTTGGAGCGTCGCTTGGATGATCAGCTGTTTTATCTCCGCGATGCGCCGGCGGAATTCAGCACGTTTCCGTTCGATTTGGATTACCAGCCACATCCAGAAGGTGCACCCATACCCCTCAATGAAACTGTGGTCAAATTGAATCCTCTTCCGTGGACAACGAGATGGGAGCAGTATGCGTTCAAGGGATTGGTGTTTGATGTTAATCTGCCGAACTGGCGAAGTAGGAGAACTCCCAAGACGATGGCACCGCATGCGTGGGAGAGATTTGATTTGATGAAAAAATACCGCAAGCAGATTGTCCTGGAGGATCAAGAAATTGCGTTCAAAGATGTCTTTGAATTTAATAATGGGCGTTTTGAAAAGCGGAAGCCTAAGGAGAAATGAACAGTAAATTTTTTATAGTCCGATGTGACTTCTTGCAAATTTTACGATTCTGGGGAACTGATTAGTGCATGGAGCTTCCACAGCTTAGATTCTGCAGGTTTTGTATAATACATAGTTTGGAGTTCTTTATCCGTTTCTTCCGTTAAATAATTTCTCCAAATTTCGATGAGCGTTCAGCCAAATTAAGCCAATACATAATGCTGATCGGGTGAGGTTATTCTGTAGTGTTGCTGTTAGTCGGCTAAAGAATATGATATTCTGAATATCCCAGATTTTGAAAAATCATGCCATTGCCGGCTAGAAATACGCAAATTCACGATGTACCTAACTCAATGCAAGTCCGATTAACAACGGCTATCACGTAAACTTTTATCAAGGTATATCAGAGACCTTGCTTGATTTTACCAATACTTCGCCTTGTCAAGAAATCTCAACATATTCAACGCTTATTCGGTTTAATACGTTTATCATTTATACACTGGAACAGCTAATTTTGCGTACGAGAACTCAAAAAGTACAAACGAAAACTTGCAGCTCTATCACTCGTATCGCCAAACACGAAAAAAATACAAGAATAATATTATAATAAGCCCGAGAAATTGCACGGCCGGAAATGGCATCGTTTACAAAATGCTTCAGTTACTACGTAACTCCCAGAGGAATTCTAGCACTACAGAATTACAGAATCAGGCAGAATGAGGGCCATATGCTGATAATCCTCAGCGAATCGGCATTCCACCGCCGCCAGGCATTGGTCCTGGTTGCATCATTCCAGGCGGAGGGCCTTGTGGAAACGGATACGGACCCCCTGGAGGCATATTCATCGGCGGCCGCATTCCCGCTCCTGGTGGCATCATCGGAGGCCCTCCCGGAAACGGCATTCCGGGCGGTCGGAATCCGGGAGGAAATGCCATTCCCGGAGGTGGCCCAAAGGCCATTGGAACGCCACCGGGACGACCCTTTTGCGTTGTTTCTAACAACTTTTTGGCTTGTTCTTCCATCCATTTCTGATAATAGATTTTAACATTGTCTTTGTGTTTCCGACCACTACAGTGAGTCTTGCGCACTGATGGGGAATCGTGCGTGAGATACGCATCACAGTAATCACAATAATAACGGCCCATATTTTACCCTGCAATCAAAAACAGTCAGAACACTTCGGTATAGTAGATGCTGTCGAATGAGTTTTATAACAGAAATGCGAAAAGGCTGAGACAATGAACTAACTGCTTACAACTTATTACTTACTGAACTGGTGTTCAACGAGGAATGATCAAATACGGAGGATGATAACTTCAGTCGTGAAAGCGATCCCTGACGGCTTCACTCTTGGGACTTTGGGCCGACTGGGCCAGGTGGAAACGTCGAATTTTCGCAACGAGTACCCGATTGGCAACAACGACCTACAACTATAACTGTCTATAAGCAAATGGTACCTGTAAGGATGTAGTGATGTACCTAGCTGCTAGTCCCAGCGCTGAACGAAGCAAGGCTGAAGTTCAAGCAGCTGCATGCATGAACGTAATATTTTAAAAACAACACATTTATTAAAATGATAACTTGTTTATCGACAACTCTGAAAACCAAGGAATAATAGTTTATTATAATACATTTCCTCCAGACAGTCGAAACCGTAAATAAATGTTATTGGAAGTTGACAGAATTACAAATCTTAAAAAAGATGAAAAACACTTCGTGGCATTTCCTCGCGGAAATAGTTCCGTCGGTCGTGGTATATATCGAGAACACATGAGACTTTCTATAGTCTATAATTATACGGCTTGTTTCTGAACAGTGTACGGGAGTCAGTAACCAAATTGTGACACGCACCTGTTCTGCAATAATTTTGGAGGGTAGTTAAGTACTATACAATGTACGACGAGAGCAGACTATTTACAAAGCAGTCCATTCTTATTTCTTAAATTTATTGTTGATTTTGTTTGCCATACTGCTGGGCCGCTGGCAAAATTTTGCCAGCTGTCTAGCAGCAACATAGCTGAAGTACGCGTGCGGCGGTCCATGGAGCACGCTGCTGGAATAAAAATCTTCAAAAATTCGTAATTTTGTAAATTTTAGTGTTAAATTCTTTTGTATAAGCTTAAAAAATACAAAATAACGCATAGCGTTAGGCAACAAAAACTGATTCTCAGTTGTTTTCGGGTTATTCACTGTGAGCCTTTGCTGCTAACATAAGTACCTGTCTATGGAAGACTAATTCGAGATTTTTCATAGGCGGCTATGCTAAGCACGTATGCTCTGAGTGCCAAACCTTGAGATCAAACCAGAAAATCAGTTATTCTTCCTAATAGTATATATTATTTTAAATTTCTTAAGCGCATATAAAAAAATTCAACACGGAAAATAACAAAGTTACGAATTTTAGTAGATTTTCATTCCAGCAGCGTGCTGCTGGAATGAGAATGTGCTCATTTTAGCACCCATTTCCTGCCTGAAATATTGAAACTAGCCCCTTTGGTGTGGATTGAACCAAAACTAAAAATTTGATATTTTGAAAAAACCCGTTAACAGGTGCACTGTTACTGCCACTGTAACTGACGCAATCGCAAACAGGCGACGGTTTAATGCAGTTTCTCACGGCTGGTTGTTTTTCTCGTACTTGCAAGATGACTCCAACTCTTGTGGCTCGATCAGTCATTATTTAAAACAATCCAACTTCAAAAATTTAGAACATGCTGCTTTCTGTGACAACTTTTGTCGCTTCCAAGAAATTTTAAAACATGCGGAATCACGCTTATGAAACGTTTAAGTTCATTTTGAGTAATTGATTAGAATGCAAAATCGATTTTGTACGTTTTACTCTACAGCCACCGCCTTCAGTTTTTATGGTGTTCGGGAACCGGCAATCAGAATTTTTCCTTGACCGGTTTTAAATGAAAAGGCAAGTTCTAAATTAGAAAATTTAAAATTAGAAATTCAGCATGTTCTAAAAACACTCAGCAAAAACAAATTCTAAATTAGAAAAACAGCTAAATGCTTTTGGCTTTTGCGTTAAATGTGACTGCTAATATCCTTACAAAGTCCATGCTTGGGTGATTTAGCAAAATTGAATGAGTCGATAACACACAAAGCTAGCGTTTCATTCGATGGAGTGTGGAACGCAACCAGCGGTAAGCGGCTTACTTAAGTAACTAAACCAACTGTGGATGGTTGCACAGTTACACTGCCAGCAATGCTAAACTACACTCTTAAAAAGTATTAACCATTCAAAAACAAGCCGTATATACTTAGTCTTTGTATGCATAACGTATACAGTATCTTTATGTATGGATGACTCACTGCGCTCTGCAGGATTTTGCCCTCCGGAAAACACTAACCCACTCCCCTAAAATGGGCGAATCAAAGGCGCGTAACATTTTGGTTACAAATCTCCATAGACAAAGCAAAAACAAGACGTTAACACTATTCCTATGCGAAGACTAGTCTTCTTCTTTTCATACATAGTGTTAAGTCTGCATCTGTGTGCAGACCGACGTAAAAGTTGAGCAGATTTCTGAACTTGGGCTCCGAGTGCAAAGGCTTGAAGCTTGAAGTCTACTATAGCGACGGCAAACCTCTAGCGGCTAGCTCGTTTTATGACTCACTGCGTCTGCCTTTAAATCGGACGAAAACACACGTCCTTTGCAAGGAACCGAGACATCACATACATGTGCATGCGAAAGATGGAGCCCAACAGTAGTAGTATGAAACTCGAAGACTTCGAATTTTTGTTTAACTTTGATCTCCTTATTAGTGCCCAAGTTTCCTTTGGACTCTTCCTTTGTGATTGTTTTCCCGTTTAAAAGTTATTTGTTCGAAATTTCAACGTTTTGTGCAGACAAATGGTATTGGTGAGTACCGTAATGTTGCCAGCGCGTTAGGTGACTTGAGGCCATTGGTGTATCTGTACACTGCGCTGTACTTAAAATGTAGAAGCACATTCTTATGCTTGGTTAACAATGGACCCTTTGGGCTTAAAATTTTACCCCAATTTACTATATTTTTTATTTGGCCCTGTTTTAATTTGCTTTACGAAGTTAATGTTATACGTTATCGTAGGTGTTTCTTTTGTATCAGTGGTTCCGCTGAGTAGCTAGCGATTCAGATCAAAACTGGATTTACGGGATGTGTGACGTAAGTAAGATGGGAATAATGCGCATGGTCAAGCTGAAAAATGGCAATTCATGGTTTTGTTGAAAGCATTTTCTGTCCTAAAATTGAAAATGCCTCTTATTAGCTTTCTTTTCTTATTTTGCTTAATAACTGTTTATTGATTGTGTTAGTCTTACTGTGTTACATATCATAAATGTTGTTGCCAGTGGGTGTTGCATTTTTCCTAAAAATAATTGTTTCCGGTTTTGAAATATCCATGTGTTATAGCTTACAATTAGTTTCTTATGGCAGAAGGTGGAGGAGTCAGTTTTCTCCTTCTTCCGCTTACAGATTAATTTTAATTCTAAAAGATATTTTAGCTTGGAACGTAATTACAAAGCAGTCGTCCTGCTTTTTATATGATATTAGGTAGAGCAACTTTTTACCTTTGAGCTTGATGTATTGTCGTGATATTTTTAATCTGGAGCGAATTGAAATTACTAAAAAGATAGAGGTTGAATTTTACTTTTAGACATGATTTTTCATTTCACCTTTAGCGAATGGAGTTCATAGACCTTGATAGTATCCACCCGTGTCAACGAGATTACTGTACATATTTCCCGTTATCCCGTAGCCTACAAAAGATATAATCAAAAATTATAACTGTAGTATGCTATTTTTTTACTTAATTTTGATATCTGGTATTGTTGCTTCCGTCGTAGGTTTTCCGTTTCCAGCCACAATAATCCGATCGCCTGGAGTTGATGCTCGTTCTGTGATGTTGTTTTCGTCTCTCAGCATTGTATGATGACAATGGATGGCAAAAGTAGAAATTCGGGTTATGATCGAAAAAGATCCGATACCAGCCACGCTAAAAGTGATCGGAAGGAGCGCGACCGCTCTCCTCACCGTAACAATAATCACCGTTCGACGCGCCCACGCGATCGCAGCCGGTCGACATCTAGACCACGACGTAACGGTGATGCCAGCCGTGGTGATCGCCGTCGTGCGTCCCCGGACGAACATGAGCGGAACCGCCGTCAGCGAAGTCCTGTGTAAGTTGACCGGGAAGCTGTGTCAGTGGTGTGTCTGAGTGGCTTGTGTGTGATCTTCTGCTGGCTGTTGGCTTTGGTGATGGTCTGCAGAGATTTTATCTGTTGTGCGCAGATTTCTTAATCTATCTGTACAGGGATGATCGCAAACGGCACGATGACCAGCTCGACAGGTCACCGCAGCGTCGACGTAGAAAGGAGCGGGGACGCTCGCGGTCGGTGTCCGTTGAGCGGCACTATGAAGAGCGGCACAATGCCAAAACTTCCCGCGAGTCGCCTGAGCGCAAGCATCATAGACAGCGCTCACCAGATCGTGATGAAAGTCCTGTTGAAAAAACTGGTCGAAAGTACGTTGAATAGGGATCATAATAGTTGTGTTAATCTACTAGTATCTCAGCGCCGGTAACATTCAACAACGAAGGATAGCAAATTTAGTTTTTAAAAAAGTTTGCAAAAATTATAGTGGTTTTTTAAACACTGGAATGATGAACCCCTTTTCAGCCATTTTACCATCGAAGTTGCATAGGCGTGCTTTCATTAATGCCTTAAAAATTTGGGTTACGTGAACAGTTTATTTTACAGTTTCTCTTCGCAACTGATTTATTAGTTAAAATAAGAAAAGATTCTGATTTTTTTGTAGCCAGCATGGAAGTGAGTGTACTCAATGTAGCATAATTCTTTTAATGGCAGTTAACAAAATTTATGGTGGTCCGGTGGGTTTATGTATTGTTATAATAGCGTGGTGCCAATACTTTTGTTTCGTACTTACCAAATCTGTTGCCCTGCTTTCATGCTAAAATTTCTTTCATTCAAAAATCAAAGTCAACTCGTGTACGAGTATCTGCTGTAATCAATCTTATTTAACACATTATTACTTTTATAGAGGAAATAGTTTAGAGTTTACACATAAGAGAATGCAAATTCAAACTACGTATAAATAATTCTATGAATTTAATGATTGTGAGGTTGAGTAGAGTAATTATACTGTACAGTGTACAGTACGATACGTGGACCGTATGACGTAATATGATTAAGGTCTTTCTGTTGTCTGCAGTACACTCTTCTTCGTCCACAGAGAGAGGGTGTTGGTGTACCAGTTCAGTTATGCATGTTCTGCGAAGCTGGTCTGCGAATTGTTTGAAATTCTGCACGTGCATACCTACGCTGTGAATAAGCCAGCATTTTCCAGTGGAAAAATGTTTTTCGAGCGTTTTGTGACGACTGTTGTTTCCAGTGAGCGGACGCGATATAATCCTTCCTCTAGTGCTCGTGATAACGAACTTTATGGCGCTGGCCGGTCCAAGAATGCGACCGATAACTCATCACCGCGCAAGCGCCACGACGACAAAGGTTCGTCACGCAAGCGCCGTCGGTCCTCTTCGCGGACGCGTTCTGGTCCGAGAACGCCACCCGAAGAAGAGGAAGGGACATTATTCTCCGAAATCATCAAGCACGATCGCTCATCCCGCTCGAGAAGTCGTGCCGCGGATGGCACGCTGGCCTCATCCATTATCAAGAACAGGAGCGGTGCAGAGAGCCCGTTGACGCCTCCTCCGAAATCCACAGCAGCTGAGATTGTTAAGAATGACCTGGAAGCCCGAACTGAACCTATTAATTCACCACCGCCAACCGCCCTCTTGGCCTATGTCAATTTACCCTTACCCTCTGTCACACCCCAGCCGGGGGTGGTCCTGCAGGATCAGATCAGGAAGTTTAAACATCCTGTCGTGTAAGTGCGCACGGTTGAAAAACTTCTACCACTGCAGAATAGTAGCATACAGTTGCTTTATCTATCACACTAACTTTATGCCTTGTAAGTAGGCTGAATTAAGTTTCAGATTGCACTGATTACGTGATTTTTTTCGTTGTATTTGATTTTTGGAAACAGCTTGTTGTACAAGTAGTGTTATTCAGTATCTGCAGTATTCGGATTTTTTTTCGAATTTAAGTGTTGGACTTGTAAAGTTCATGGTTTCGCCCCCTTAATTTCTTTGTTTTTTTAGCGTTCCTACACGCCCACGACCAGCACCGTTAGGTCCGAACGAGCATGCGTGGGGTGAACGGTGCGTGTCCAGTTTCACGATCATCTCGCAGATTGGCGAAGGGACTTACGGACAAGTTTACAAGGCCAAAAATCGAGATACGGGTACGGTGCAGAAATGTTATTGTTTGGTTAACACTAGTTGTGAAGAGATTCGCTTCTGATAGGCGAAATGGTCGCACTGAAAAAGGTTCGCCTGGAAAACGAACGCGAGGGCTTTCCCATAACAGCGGTTCGAGAAATCAAAATTCTCCGCGAACTGGATAATGTTAACATTGTCAAGTTACTGGAGATCATTACTGATAAACAGGAGGCAGTCGATTTCCGCCGCGATCGTGAAGGTACGAAATCTGTGCGATGGTTTGTTGTTGTGGTTTTTCATTTGTAATGTACTCGGACACTAACAGAGGGAATATAGAATCACGATTTGTACCACGGTTTTTGCTGGTAAACGGCCACTCGTTTTTTCTAGGGGCTTTCTATCTCGTATTCGAATACATGGACCATGATCTTATGGGCTTGTTGGAATCTGGAATGGTGAAGTTCACGGCACAGGCCATTGCCATTTGCATGCGGCAGCTACTGGAAGCTTTGAATTTCTCCCACAAAAAGAACATTTTCCATCGCGATATCAAGTGTTCTAATATATTGGTTAACAACAGGTAATTTTTGAAAATTTCTTCACAGCTACAGAACCGTGTTGTCATGTGACGTTGTCATGTTGCAGAGGTGAAGTGAAACTCGCTGATTTCGGTTTGGCTCGGTTATTTGATGCTAGTGACAGGGAACGTCCATATACCAATAAAGTAATTACTTTATGGTATCGGCCACCGGAATTACTGTTTGGGGAAGAGAGATATGGACCGGAAGTGGATGTATGGAGTTGTGGGTAGGAATTTTTGCTCCCTTTATTTTTATCAGCTTAAAAGGTTTATCGTGACATACTTCCTTGTATTAAAAGTTGTTTTTGCGATAGTTGTATCTTGGGCGAAATGTTCCACGGCGAACCCATTTTTAAAGCCAATTCGGAGTTTCATCAGTTGGAAAAAATTAGCAGCATCTGTGGTACACCTAACCAGTCCTGTTGGCCGAATGTGGTGAATCTGCCATCATTTGCTACCATGAGACCGAAGAAAACGTACAAGCGAAGAGTCCGTGAAGCGGATGAATTCCGCAGGTAAGTGATTTTCATTTTGTCTGACATGTTTGGAACAACAGCTTTCAGTGATTCTCACGATGAACTTCGTAGTATGCCGGAGCCTGCCTTAGAACTATTGGATATGATGCTGGAATTGGATCCCCTTAAACGGATTTCGGCCGAAGCTGCATTGGAGCATCGATTTTTAAAAGACGTCGAAAACGAAACTTTGCCAGAGGCTCTGTACGTTCCCCTTTTTTGAATACGGATGCCAATAGTTGTCAGATTAATTTTTTATGGATTTCGCAATATAACTTCAGTTTTTATTTTCAATTTTTATAATAAAAATTCTTATAATAATAAAAATTCTTATATGGATTTCGAAGTGTTGCTGTCAGTTTGTTTTCTATGTACTTATGTTGTGTTTCTTTCGCAGGTTACCGACTAATCAAGATTGTCATGAAATGTGGTGTAAGCGTCGGCGGCAGGAGAACAGACGGCGTCAAGAAAATCGCAATTCAGCCGACATGGAAGCCGTTGGTACGATTGCTTCTAGTTCTCACTCCAATGCATCCATGAATTTTGCACCGATTCATACTGGACATGGCCATCAAAACCCCACGGTCCCGGTTAATCCTATGCACCATGGCGCTCACAGTGCGGATTATTTTGCGGCATACTGAGTGAATTGGGTCCAAATTGATTTTCACCAGAATCCAATTGGACCGGGGATATGCTGATGTGAAGAAGCAGACACACGTGCTCGATAATATATTTCGAATGAGATTCTGTGAAATTCATGGAAGGGCAATTTGTTTTATCACGTAATGCTTTTGTTGCTACTACTGTAAGAACGTACCGTATGTTGTTTTAAAACACTTTTAGACCTTTTGTTTCTCTTGCGCGACAACCCGGTATAATCACGTAGATCCAGGTTCAACAGAAAATGGATATGAACACCCGCGTATCTGGCTCCTTTTCTGCTGGCAGAATTCGAAGTACTGTCTTTGAAGGAAAAAGACCAGTCGACCATTTCCGCATAACTGCGTTACTGAGGCAAGTTGTTAGGCGTTGTAGGAGCATTGTGTGTATCATGGCCTCTTCGGCTGTAAGCTCGTAGGTTAGACTTCCATAATAAATTAGAGTTCGGCGGCAGTCAGTGCACAAATATCTTTTGGAGGAGCAGTCAGTAATTAATATGCGAACATTTATGGTGGGAACATATGACGGCAAGATTTCGTAAAAAGCAATTCCCAGTAGGAAATTAGGAATACGGCCAAACGTTTCGGGCAGGCAGTAATGTACTCACTTGTCAGATTAAGGTGTGCGCAACTGCGCATTATTATATTTCGGTTGGGATAACAGAAAGTTGTAGGGAATTCGAGTATTTTTCAATATTGACTTTATTGATAAGTACGTATGCGCTCCCGAATCCCTAACCTTTATTTATTGAGACAAAATGGCTAAAAATAAGCAGTGAGCCAGACCGTATAGAGTATAAAGCCGAAATTCGGGAATTAAGCTGCCATTGGTAATTCCAGCAGCCAAACAGATCATCAGATCATTTTCTTTGTTACGAGTATGAAACCTGCCACGAATTTCTACGCTATCAGTGAGAATTAGCGACAAGGTTTACTGGTGCCTGTTTGAATGGAATTAAAGCATTTACTGTTCATGAAAATAAGAGGTTAATTTACATAATTCAGTACAAGATAAGAATGATAAGGTTTTTAATTACTTGATTATTGTTCTTTATTCAACTAGGATGTCAATTTATGCGAGTATATAAAGCAATGGGTCGGAAATTCTAACGATAATTTTACTTGTGGGAAAAGCATAAAGTCATAAAATAAGTAAAGGGACAATGAAAACTTCTAGCAGTACTTTAGTTTTCGCCGATACATTCAGTATTAACCAAAAATCATAACCATTCCAGTTATACGCTAAAAAATGTCGAGAAGGTGCAATGCAGTTTCATAGCGATAATAAAGAAGGAATAAATCGTACTGGAAAACAATTAATTCAGGCAGTGATGGTAGATTCCGTATCATCCGCCGCTGTTGTCGGTTGCGTGTCATTTTGAGCTTCCGATAACATACCCAACTGATCATCTCCTTCTCTCGTTTCAGGCTGCGCTGTTACAGAAGTGGCCTCCACTGACTGGTCCATATTTGCTTCTTCTTCCGGCTGATCGTCAGCTGCCTTATTGCCCTTCAGCTGCGAGAAGAGATCAAGGAGCTCGGGATCATCATCGGCCACGCTGACACTGCTGGCTGCCGGAGCCTCTGTGGTTGCCTCTTCGGATGCGGTTTCCGGTGTTGGTTTCACGGCCGCCGCTGCTTCCAGTGCGGCCCAGGGATCTTCCAGCATGGAGGGATGGAAGAAGGCTGAGATCGGAGCATCACGGGGATTCTGATACTGGCCGTAGCCGTAGCCACCGCGTCCGCGCTGTTTGAGAAACAAAGTAGAATTAATGGTTAGTAAACGTACTCCTCGGACAGTTATAGGAATTCGTCAGCAATTTAGCGCGTGAGACGTGGTGGAAATCTTGTTAGAAACACTTAATATTTACTGGCATAGCAGTCACAGTATTTGAGTGGACCGTTCAACCAAAACAAGTGTAGCAAATCAACTTTCAGACAAAAATCGTCACTGCAGAAACAGACTAGACTAGAGTGAATAGTGGCTCGAGTTAACTATCAGTTTATCAGGGTCCCCTAATAATTTAATGTTAGTTTAAAGCATCAGTTTTAAATAGAATATTTGAGAAGTCGGAGTATCTCATGGTTACATTATTTCTCTACAGAAAGCATGGAAACAGAAAGTGGCATATTCTGGCATTATAATGGAAACTAAACAGCAATAATTATAACACGTTAAAACAAGGCACAATACAGACCTGCATCGTGTAGCCTCCGCGATTCCACCCCCGATTATTATAGTTGTAATTATAATTCGGTTGTTGCCATCTGTTTTGTTGCATATAAGGCTGCTGGTAATAAGTCTGCTGCTGGGGACGGTAATAAGAGCCCCGCGGAGCTCGGTACTGATTGTAACCATAATACTGGTTCGCTGGTCCTTGGTTGTAGTAACCACCACGATTATAGTGTCCGCGCGGCTGCTGCTGCCATCCGCCTTTATTGTAGCCCCTCGCGTAGCTATTGGCATAATAATTCGTCGGTTGTTGAACGGCACTGGAAGCGCCAGCTTCGAAACTGAGAAAGTTTGGTGCATCGGATACAGTATCGTAGGACCAGTCAACTGGCGCGTGTACAGCGCTGTTGCTGACGTTGTCTCCTTCCGCTGGAGTGGGTGGTAGAGGGATGGATGTTTCATCCATTTTGTCAAGGAGCTGGGAGAAGAATAATACGTCTATAACCTGAAATGCCTTGGTATTTCAGTGAGAAACGCTCAGTTCAGAATCAAAACATGAAGTTTAAAAAATTCCAGATTTCTAGTAACGTATGCGTACCAGAAAATAAATTTTTGAAACGCGAAGGTAGTCATAAGTCGTGGGGTCTACCGCTTTCGGGTGGCGGTTATACGAAGAAGACAGCAGCCTTTTATTAAATTGGGTGTCGACAATGACCAGAGACTCCGGCAGAGAGGACGTTCGGTTTACCGTTTAGTACGTAGATTCTTGTAGAGAATTTGTTAAACATGTTTTAATTTGTGGGTATAACGCTTTAACAAATCGGATAAGCAATCCGTTTAATCAGGTTGGTTGTTAGTGTAGCTTCAGTTCATAGTTCTTCCTAAAGAATAAAGCTTAAGCGCCTGCATGACAAATACAAGCGTTCACACTTCACTGTTTCTTTCACCTTTCATTTATCTGTGCTGGGCGCGAATTACCCTAAACTTTCCATCTACTGATGTCTTCAAACAAAAGTTATTGACTTCAATCTTTGAAGTTTTTTAACACCCCTCTTTCGGTAGACAATACGCATTATACGCTCATTTGAGCTCCATAAGAAATACCTTATTGAAGTGATGTGTGATTGTGTACTGCAGATTTAAGCTTAAACTCAAACATGCTGTTGTATTACCCGGTCAATTCCGCTGAGAAAAAATCTGCATCGACAATCGGCACGCCAAGCTGGACCCGAGGCCGGTCCGTCTACGAGCCAGAATCGTGGATACATGGTATATCAATGGGATGACCAGGCGGAAGATGTTAACGATTCCGGAAGTGTCTCTGTTGGTAAATACATCATTTACCGTAAATGTACCATTAGCTACAGGGCACATCAAAAAAATTATCTACGAGTTTTCCGTCTAAATGTTCAAAAATTCCTTTTTTTGAATACGGTGAGCGATTAATCCTTTACATGTTCCTACTTTACTGCTTCGATATTGCGGCGCTCATCATTGTTTGTTACAAATTACTTAAATTGTCTAGCTTTTCCTGCTATTGTCCAGCCAACATTTGATTTGTAAATACTCATACACGGACGTACTTACATTTATTGTTATTTTCTTTTTGATTTTGATTGTCATAATTCATTTTAATTATCATTCGCTTTACACAATTTTGTAATTAAATATGTACATTACTGTTATTTTCATTGTTGTTAGCCTATTGCCAGAATTTTAATTTGCTTTTACACTGTGTGTACACTGTACAGGTGTAGTAAGACACGCTGGTCAGATGGTGCGCATCAGTCAACACGATCGCCACATTGCGGATGCTCTAAAGAGAATTGGAGATGCTATGGACGCAGACCACGCGATGGATTTGGAAAAAGTCCATCTGAAAATGGCCCTTATATCAGTGATTTACAGTACTTGGTCAAAATTTGTCCCAGTTCATGAGGATCTGATTACTGTTCGAAATTCTGCGACTGCAAACCCGACACCACAGGTTGCTGGTAGCTGCTATAAAGGGTTACCGCGACTTGCGATTTTGGGTAACAGTCGAAGTTTTCGCGATCGCACTCGCACATCGCCTGATTTCCCCCAACTTCGAAGCACCTTCAACTACATAGAAGGTCTGCGGAAATTTGGAAAGCATGCTGGTACGTTTGCTTCTCCGTATTTGCATACAGTTTGCATACAGTAAAGGTACAACGAAATTTGTTTAACAAAATCTCTATATCTATATTTATATATCTATATCTATATTTACGAAAATATCTATATTTACGTGTCAAACTAGCAGCTGCATACATAATCGTATGCATATGGTCGGTGTCTGAACTACTTTGGAGTACAGCAAAATGTACAAATGGTTCAATCCGTTCAAATGTTGTTTAGCGCAAAATAATTTGATTGTGCATGAACCTTTTTAATTTTCCTATTACTGAATTGCGGTCTGCCGGCTTTCTGATACTGATATATAATCATCCACTTCCAGGTGTCGTTGAGTATGTGCGACGTGAGACTGAGCAGTAATATCCTGCAAGAAAATTCTGATGCATGTTTTCACCAGTTTTCGGTTTTGATTATGTGGGCAGTTATCAGACGTCAAGAAATCTCTGTGGGAATATTGAATATGCTAATGTTACAAAACTGAAAGACGATAGATTGTACTTTCAGCAGTGATTACAATGCAATTACAAATACATCCCGCTTAAAACCACGAAAAAAGTGTTCCTCTAGCTGATGTCAGTGTCGAATGCCCCAAATACTCCACAAACGTCATAAAGCTAGGATATCCTGGCTTTCAAAGGTCAGCTTTGATTCTGGAACAAATAGATAATTCTGTGCAAGTTTTGTAAAGCAGTGCCGGGAGCATGACTTTATACGTGAATAGAAATTACGTTCTACACATGTTGGAGAAAAATTGATCAATATTCTCTAATGTAAAACACTTGGCTCCGCATACAGTATAATCAAGTGTATTCTATCGGATTTGGAACTCCTACTGGCTTCAGTTTACCGGACAAGAACGTTAACGAATAGCAATCCATGTGTCATGTTTCACCATTGCAGTCTCCGTTACGCCCATGACGCACTTTTCTGATTGCTGCAGCTACCGTACATTCGAGCTGGCTTCATAAAATTTTACCATTACGAGCTATCACTACACTTCCGCCGCTGCGCCATAATTGTTTGGTACTCTGTGCTCTTGTAGCATACCGTGCTTGTAGTATTCGTACCCAATGTACTGTACATTTTTCGAAGAGATTTTTAGCACAGCTCACCTTAACATATTATAGTTTTGGGAAGCTTTTCGCTTGTTTCTAGCTTTCCCGTCATTTCTTTAAATTTAAACACAATTCTGTGTGCACATTTATCATTTTATGTACCGTATTTATGGTCCGTACACGCGCAGGTCAAAATTATCATTCACTCTGTTCGTTTTTTGCCTTGGGAAGGTACATGTGTAAGTGCTATTATAATATGTTTTACGTACCTACGTATAGTGTCAAGTACAATTATGCAATATAGGAGAATATTTAGCATTTGTAAAAATTTCTACACCAATAACATCTTACATACGTTGCACTAATGTGGATTCTGGACTTTTCTGCAGCTTAAACACTCGGCGCTGCCGATTAAAGCACATCTAATTACGATGGAAGCGTCGCAGGTGTTGCAGTCGTTGCTTCGACTTTCCGAGCGTGCGGCCAATATTGCACGCGCTGTCAGGAGCCACTCGGATTTATTTGATGTATTGATTCAAGAGAAGGAGTTTGATAAAAGGCGCCAGAAACCCGATTACAAAACCTTGGCTGATGTTACAATTCAGGTGATAATTTGCAAAAAAAATAAATTCATATTTTAACCGGTAATTTTTGCCGGTTTACTCAAATTGATCGAAATCGTGATTGGACGAAACTGTATCTCTAAATGTTTAAAGTTTTTATAATTTATAACGTATGTTTGCTTAAACCATTTCTGTGATGCAATTACTTCAGTCTTTTCCGAAATATATTTAAATAGTGCCATAATTTATGCGTGCAGCGTGCTGTATGTATAATTGTAGTTATATTGTGTTACGCTCTGCATAGTTAAATAAATCTACAGCTCTCTACATACATAGTTTGCAAATTACATAGAGATCACAGAACTTTCCTTTGCATAATCATGCTCTTCTTAAACACATTGCACCCTGTTTCATAATGTTTTAATCTCGTTAAGGCCTATTTGATATGGAATTTAAATTTTCTAGAGGCTGCTTGGATGACGTTTGCTATACTTTCAACTTTCTGATTTCAGGAAAGCATTAGGCACTTCCTCGGAAAAGATGTAGGTATTTATCAGGGATGTACTGAAGTAGAATAACTGTGTAAATCGATACATGTTGTAAGCGGGGAAACGGAACTGTGGCGCGTTTTACATTGCTCGAGCTCAAACAGTCTAATTAAGCACGATTACTTGTAATTATTACTTATCGGACACGTTGAGTGTCTGTAAAATCAATTCCACTGCGTTTATATCTTCCTCCATGTTTGGTAATAAACGATCGATACGGTTTGCGGAAAACTATTCGGCTCGGCACGTTGCAATTAGTTCACTTGCATGATTACACACTATTCGGACACGTTTGCATATATCCCGTGAAGAATTCATTTGATGAAATGAATATATGATTGTAAACATACTGCGATCCACATGCTGAAAAATAATCGAGGCATATAGGTACCTCGGTTTCTCTGTACGGATGTGTGCAAATGTGCATGTGCTGTATTGCAGTAAGGGTTTGACATCACGGTGCATGCTTTGTTGAATAAACCATTTTAACCGCGTAATTAATAATGGCATACTTACTCAAGCATGAACGGCTCGGCTTGTAAATATTTTACTCGTTTGTATTTACGATCTCATGGATGTGGATGTTGCAGTTTCCGATCCTGGCGTCGCAAGTCCGTGGCGAAGAGAGTTACTGTTTCACCAACAAAACCGGCAGTTTTGTTAACATCCAGGCAAGCACCATTCATCGACGGAAACGTTTTCGCCAATTTATTTTTGCGGCAGGTTCATTGAACCGTGACAGGTTCTTATATGCGGTATACGACTAGAATCAGTCGTAGCATATATGAAACTGTAGTTTCGGTTTTTGGTCTTCGATATCCGTGTGTAAACAAAAGTAATTTTGGCGCCCGTAGAGTACGGAAGGGTCCGGCCGGTTGAAGGAAGCGGTGGGGCCTAACAGTCATGTGACATGAGTCATGTGACATGCGTCGAGTAACGATGCGTGAAACTTGTAGATGGCGTTGTTAGCTCGGCATCTTTTTTAGGTTTCATTATGTGCTCCTACATTATGTAGGAGCACCTTGCAATGTGCACGTACATTATGCAGTAGCACAATGCATCGGTTTCATCGGTTCTTGGAGGAGAAAAACGGAACTGTAGTTCCAAATAAACGTAATCCAATATGCTTCCTGCAATGTGCTCCTACATATGTAGGAGCACTTTAATGTAGGAGTACATTGCAGGAGTATATTGTATGTGGAGATTATAAGGGGTAGGAATATAAAGTGCTGAATAGAGAATTTCATAATATAGTAAATTATATTAAAGGTGATATGTTTGACGAAAAGTGATAATGAAGAAAGGGTGTACTAATCCAGTGTAGCGAAGAAAGGGTCTACATTGAATTTGGGTGAAGATAAAGGGATTTTTAGTGTAGTATGGTATAAATATATTCGGCTTTCTGGTTGTTCTTATTTGAGTGTTTAATGACGTGTTACAGGAAGTGGAGTGTGTTGCGGGTTGTAGATAGTGATGGATTATTGTGGAAAATTCAAGAAATTTCGAGAAAGTTGATTGCTTAATGGAGCAGACTATTATGTTTTGCTCTGATAGTCTTGGATGTGTAGGAACAGGTGGTTTGTATATGGGAAGTAGGTTGGTAGGTACATTAAAAGGTTGTTCGAGAAAATGTATAGTTTAATTGGTTTATTGACTGGATTTTTTGAGTTCGGTGGGTATAGAAGTTGAGGAATCTTGTGTTTGAGTTATTATGGAGTGGACAAAGTATATAGATGAGCAAAATGTTTTTCTTGTTGGTTATTTTTTGGTGGCCGGTGTGGATTTGTGGATACTTACTGATTCAGGTTGCTGTCTTTTGTTTGGCTCTGGTAAGGCTTTTTAGGTTGAGTATGGTTTAGTAAGTTTTCTTTCATACATATTTTCGTTTAAGAATTCTTTTTTTAATAAAATAATGGAAGGTGGTTGTGCTTGTAAGAAATACATGCGTGAGTATATGCGTGATTATAGAAAGAAATGCAAAATCGAAACTGATGGTAATTGTAGCAGGGAGGATAATGTGGGAAGTGGTGATGATGTTAGATATGAGAATGTAAAAGTTAAAAAACAAAAATGTAATCGGAATACTAAAGATAGTGCGTTTTCTGGTATGTTTGGAAAAAGTTATTGGACAATTTTTGTAAAGGGAACGTGCTAAACGACATTTGCGGAGTATGGTAATGTGTAATGGTTGTCCGGATCTTTTCTTAAGCATTACTTAACGATTTTGTCCTGAAGTGTTGCGTTTTGTTGACCCTGTTAAGTTTACATTTTCGTTTTTTAACTTCACATTTTCATGTCTAACATCATCGCTACTTCATTATCTTCCTTGTTACAACTACCATCAGTTTCCGTTTTGCGGTTTTTTCTCTATAATCACGCACATACTCACGCATGTATTTCGTATTTCTTGCGATCACAACCAGTTTCCATTATTTTATTAAAAAAAACAATACTTAAAAGTAACTATCTATGAAAGCAAACTTACTAAAGTATACTCAACCTAAAAAGACCAAAGCCAAACAAAACACAACAACCTGAATCAGTACGCTTCCGAAAATCTAAACCGGCCACCAGAAAATAACCAACAAGAAAAACATTCTCCTCACTGCATATACTTCGTCAAATCCATAATAACTCAAACACAACGTTCCTCAACTTCTAATATACCCACCGAACTAAAAAAATCCAGTCAACAAACCAATCAAACCAAACATTCTCTCGAACAACCTTTTAATGTACGTCCCAGCCTACATCCCAATATACAAACCACCTGTTACTACACATCTAAGACTATCAGTGCAAAACATAATAGTTCGCAAAACATAAACATAAATTCTTTCCCCTACTATTATTATTCCTTTTATATACACAAATCCGAAATTATTTTAAATCCCAGTATTCCTCTTTCTTATCACGTACCTGCCGCTACACAATCGAGAGATTGTCCACGTAGTGTATATTCGGTCTTGTAATCGGTTGTGTCTAGTAGCTAGTAGCCACCACTTTACCAGTTGTGCAGTATATTGATTACATTTATTATATTGCAGACTACCTAGGATGTTATAGAAATTTTTGAATTATCCCTGAAAATTCTAAAGAAAGTAACTTTTAACAACAAATTCTATCGAACTGGTAGCGAACGCATTTGTAATAATTTTGATATTGTTGCATTCACAAATACAAAATAAACAAATGTAATATACACCGGGTTTAATTTTGAAAAACATACGCTTAATGTCTTTCTGTTGCAAGTTCACTGTACAACTACAGTATGTCATCGCATTCCGAAAAGATACCATAAATTTTAAGAGGAATTAAATTTTGAATACTGAGTCATCTTCTTTGGAATTCATAAAATTTAAAGCAGTCTTTTCTATAATACGGAGGCTTGCTCCGACAGTGACAGTGAATTATACTGCTGCATTTTCTCTAGATTTTGCCGAGTGCCGATTTGATGAAGAATCTTCTATTGGGAGTTCTACAAGGAGACGAACGTGCAGCCGATGAGCTGGCCGGTGCCATCTACAATGAACCGGATATGTGCGGCGTGGATTTGGATAGGACGAACAGCGTTAAATTGCAGCTACCCGCTGATGGATTCGGCATTTGGGTTGATCCGTTAGGTAAAGAAGGTTTGTTTTTCCCCTGGGGAACGCTTTAAAGCCAGTAATACTAAAGTGGTTCGAAGGAATGATAGCCAATCATGCGATTTTTAAAGTTTATGAGGGTGATGAATATGTAGAATTGATTTTCCCTTGTTTCCCTGAGCGCAAGAAATCGTATTTCCATGATACTCACATTATTCATCTTGTGGCCACTTTTAAGCAGTACAAAAATGATGTGGATAGGAACGAGGTAAATTAAGCTGTATTATGAAATAATAATTTTTAATGGCATAGAATTGTCTGCAGTAGACTGGCTTGACAGCTGCTATTATAACTATACACCAAAACTTATATCTTTATTTATCAAAATACGTAATTTTGGTAGAAGATTTGAAAATAGGCAAAACAATGGAAATAAAGCAGTGTATCGATTAATCTTTACGGTAAAACGTATGTTCAGATGCAACGGCCGAATACGTTTCCGGACAAGGATCAGAGAAACAGAGCCATGGAGTGTATTTATCTGGAATTCATTGTGTTACAATTTTAATTGGCGTTTTCGATTTAACTACTGGCGAGCCCGTTATGGGTGTCATTAATCAGCCTTTTCACGAAGTGGACCCGGTAACCAAAAGGTAAAAAGATGAAAACGTGAGCAAAATATCGAAGAAGTTGTTTTTCACTTTACTCGACATTCTTGAACTGGATAACTACTCGTATAATATATTTGTCGGATTAATGAATCAGTGCTAGTCACTTTTGCATAAAAAAAGTGAATAACTTGGTGAAAGTCGACATGGTACTTACAATTAATTAGATTTGACACACTGTATTTTCATATAAAAAGCTATTATTTACTGTTCATCACTCCGGACAAAGCGGAATACGTGACAATTAATCAGCTGATTAGGCGTTTCAAAATCCTTATGTCGAACGTTTTGACTTTATTTTTTATGATACTCATTGTTAACAATTTTTGCTTATTGTGTCTTCCGGTTGAATTTATATTATTGCTAATGTGGTTACAGATGGAAAAGTCGATGCGTTTGGGGATTGTCATATGGCGGCATAAATGCCCATTCCGGTATCCGCAGTGAACGCCCAGTGGCAACAGCAAAATCCCACGTTGTGATTATGAGTCCAAGTGAGACGGATGAGCTGAAAGAGGCGCTTGATGAGTGCTTTACTACCATATATTCTGCCGGTGCCGGATACAAGTTTCTGGCGGTAACATTGGGTTTGGCCGACGCTTATATCCTATCAAAAAACTCCACCTTCAAATGGGATACATGTGCTCCCCACGCTCTCCTCAGGTATCGAATTACTGCGCTCTGTTCTAATGCGATCGGAAAAAGTACATTAGCTAATAGACGGTTGGATTTCTAACCATAAGAGGCATTAGCATCAGAATGTCGCCACAAAATAATTGTGACCCGAGAGCATGCCAACAGCGCCGTTTATATAACACACTTTTAGTCGCCGAAACTTGAGTTAAACATTGTATGCGATCAATGATTTTGAGTCCCACAATTTACTATTACGAGGTAAACGTTATTTTATTTAAGTAATGATATTTCATAAGATTGTCTTTGACAAGAGCTTCGAACCTAGCTTCTTTTGAAATAAATAAGGTGTTAATGCTTTTACCGTATCCAGACTACTGTCCAGAGTACTGAATGCAGTCTTTCGCAGTTGTATGATTATACATATCCCATTTTTGTAGATCGGTTGGTGGCGGAGTGTGTGATCTTTCCAAAGCACTGACGGATTTTGATCTCACTTCAGTGGAAAATAACCGGAAATTTGAACTTCAATATTTGCATCCCGACAATCCGGTAATGCAATAAATAATAATTGAACACGACTATTACACGGAATTTATCGGTCTGCATCGTTCCATCAATATTTTATGCATTTGTGGAGCTGTTTAACGTACTTCCTCATATGTGAGATTAACCGATGTCGACTCTAATAATAAATATAAGAATTCAAAACACAAATCAACCGTCATACTTCTAGAACCTTACTGGTTAGAGCATTTTGCGTCACGCAGGATTAATTCTGTTCGAGTCGAGCGCATTACGTTTACAACCGCGATATATAAATATGTAGGGAAGATGAACTTATACATGGTTTTCAATCTGACTCCGATATAGAAACAATGTTAGTGATCGTTTTATCGTTAGAATATATTTTTACTTTCCAGGATGCCGAAGCCCAAGAGTGTTGGCTGAACACTGGTGGCATTCTGGCATATGCGAATCTGGATACGCTGAAAGAAATCGTGGCGAAATTGCAACAAGTTATGAAAGAGGCAATCGAGAATTTAGATTAACAGAGGAACATTTTCGTTCTTTTTTACACTCTACTTATTATTATCGTATAGTATAGAATAATAGATCTCAATACATCTCTACTTACTCGATGAGAAGTAATTTTGTAATTTGTTTAATATGACTATCCGGTGAACACGGCTTCGAGTGATTGTGTATCCAGAAATTTTTTGTTTTTGTGTTGTCAACCCTGTTAAGTTGCCTGTAGTTATACGGATCGCAACGCATAGAATTTTAAGTTTTGAACTATATAGCTGTTCCAGACTTCCAGTTAATATTAATATTGACTCCTCGCCAAATGTTGTGTATTTACACGATAAGAAGGGGCAGTGTTAATCTAGATCTGTCTTTAATTTATAAAACGGTAATGCGTATACGGACTTATTGAAATGCCTTACCATTTAAACGTATTAAGAGTCAGTGTTTCAGTCTGTTGGATTTCGATCAAACAAATAAAACAGAAGATTTGCCGTTTGATTCCATTAAATGGCAAATATATTAATATTAGTTACTGGACTCATTAACATGCATATCGAATAAGGATAAAATTCTATATGATATTTTGTGGATACGAGTAGAAGTATAGATACTACCGTAGATACCAAGTACTACCTGTGCATTACACCAGCATCTGATGTCAACAATGCACCAAGCAAGCAGCGGGCGGAAAAGGATTTAATTTAACTACAGTACTACCCGAGTAGTACCCCAGAATGTCTTGAGCGGTCCAACTAAAACTGCTGGTGTTATACTTTTACAAACTCTGCTCTCTGTGTCTGGAGGATGCGAAATTATTTTCTCAAAAACACTGTAAGTCTAGCCTGAAAAAGTAAAAATGAAGTGCAATTCTACGATACGACGTGCAGTTACAATTCTACCGTATTTATGCTATATATCCTACATGTCCAGATCTGACATTTATGATTACTAAACTGAAAGGGCGATATTTTGAATGGTTACGTATTGCAAGTCCATTTTACTAGCGACAGTCATTTAATACTGGAACAACTGTCGGCTGCCCTTGGTTCGATCACCTAAATTGTGCCGCTCTGTGAATTTACCTTACCGTATGTATTTCGACTCATACTACCGCGTTTCTATTTAAATTTCCAAAGAAAAGGATGTTAAAACATTCATGAAAGTCGATTTTAAGGTTAATCCAAGAATCGGTCATACGAGTACTGGATTCTGGAGCGCTTTAACAGTTTTGGCTTTGCATAATGTGCATGTGGCGTTATGGGCCGCAATGGCAACTGATCATTTGCGGCAAAAATAATAAATGTACACCACAATAATCTATTACTGTTCCTTACTACTTTAATGTTAGATATTTCGCTTTTCTCTGAAATAATAACAAAACCATAAAATGTTGATAACATTGAATCTGTGTACTGCATGTACGGTATAATTCAAGTCTTTGTAGTTTAAATGTCTCCGTAAAGTTATATTTATATTTCTTCGAGGAATAATTCGAGAAACACAAGACCGAATACCAAAGTGCATCTTTTCGCAGAGCTATCGATTTTAAATAATTTGTCGAGCCAGCTCTAAATTATTCATTTTAATAAGAAACATAGTCACCTAAGACTTCAAGTTATAAACTGCAAAACACACGGAGCCTGCGGTTTAATAGCGGACCACATCAGTACTTGTATTGTACATAACTATTACACGTTGTGTATAATAACTTCAAAAACCCAACTTTCCCATATAAACCCTTCGGTCGTCAGAGTTCAAACAACTGAACCAGCTACCAGCGTACACCAGGAAAACAACTGTGAATTAACACTTAAAGCCACATTTGCGTTACCAAGATTACAGAAATGTGCGAACTAAGGCCCAGGAACAGCATCACCACAAGAATAATTAATTTTTAAAACCGTAAAAAAATTTAACGAGTCATAAATTATCAGCCGTCAAACAGCTTTTACAGCGTGTACATATACGGCTCGGTCAACAACAATAAAATATGCAATAAATTAAGACAGTAAAAAAAAGAGACCCTTGGCTTGAAAAAACATGGAGCAGGACGGGAAGTGCAGCGCAGCATAGTCAGCTAGTAAGGCTTTTGCATATGTAGTCGAATACACGTAGATATCACCGTCTCGGACTTTCCGATATCTTCAACGGATATGTTAATTTTGTGGGCAAAATCCCAATATTCAGCTGATAAAATTCCACCAACTGGGTCAAATCAGCAAATTTAGTTTTGCCCTCGTCCAAGGTCAAACAGATTTGGTCATTATTCTTTATCGGGTATATTTGATGGTGCTTAGTCTTGCCGGAAAACGTGAATGACAGCACGAAGCAACGTGGCTCGCTGCGGCTTTTCCTCACAAGGAATACCCTGCGAAAATAACCCCGTGAAATATTTGTGAAACTACATTAGCATGCAGCTCAAGCATTAAGCTAACGGTGAATTTAAGAACTGACACCATCAGCGACTAGAAATTCCAAACTGTTGCATAATAAAGGCGCTGTTTTCAATATTCCAACGCACGTAACCGTTGAAACGGAAACTGTTATGTCTGCGACATAAAAGTCCAGACGATCAGATGATCACTTAATAAAATATTGCCTTGTTTTGCCAAAATAAAAATTCGTTCACTCATTCTGCTTTGGCATCTTGACCTTTTCTGCAACGACACACCCTTCGCCGCACCGGCGTACCCTTAAGCTGCAAAAAGCCGCACAGCTGCTCAACTAACAATCACGAGCATGCCTGACAATCACTGACTTTTCCTCTTCCTCTCGCCGACAAGCAAATGTGAAATCAACCGAGCCTGGCGAGCCAATGCGTCACCGACGTTGAGTTTTTTGCTATTTCCGCCTCGATTGAATTAATCGCCGCCCCCAAACCCAGCAGCACCATAATCAAATCGCAATTCCAACTTCCTCAAGGGAGACGACAGTGGCGCTGACTGTTAACTTGCAGCTGCCAATGGGGTCATATAACCAACCAGCAAAATGGGAACACTGAGCCGAAGGGATCATCGACACGGCATTATGTGCCAAATTGAACAGCCGTCAAATTACCATCGTCAGTCGTTGCAACTGTCAAAAACCTACCCATCAACCATTCCCTGCTTGCTGAGCAATCGATTAGCTTCCTCCCGTGTCAAACCGCCATGATACCAGGGCTGGGAAAGATGGAGAGGATAGGCATGGGAAGCGGACATGGCAGTTGAACTGTCCAGACAGCGGCCCGTCTGACGTTTCTGTTCGACAAGGATGAATCGATATATTAAGCGATCATATTACCACAACCTGGCACGTAATACAAAGAACAAGTCAAAGTATGGCGGCCGTTTTACCTTCCAGGTCTGCAGTTCCGTCATTAGGGCCGCAATGGCTTCCTGCTGATTTTCCACAATGACTCGACCGCAGTTGCCAGAGAAATCCATGGGGACAAGAGATTTGCATTTTTCCTGGAGTGCCAGTTCCTGTAGTCAGCAAAATTCCAATTTATGTTCTCGTCGTAATGGGGATGTCGCTTAGCGCATTATGCAATATGGCGGTGGTTAAATGATGTAAGTAAAGGAAGTCTTTTCGAATCAAGTTGCGCGTGAAATTTGTACCCTTTCAGCGAACTGTGTTGCGTATTTGACATCGGTCTACGCGTTTTTGGCTTACAAAAACCTTCACATAATTAATAAATATTTACAAAGTATATCTGTACAAAGTAATAATACGTTAAAAAAAATTGGCTATCCTCCTAAAATTGAATTACATTTACGTAACAGATTTTGAAACTAAAAGCTTACATCGCCTATTACAGAAACACGAATCTGATTATGCCGTAGAGCGACGTTTGTCGGATGTTCTTAATCAGATCACAGGGCACAAACCAGAGGATCAACTGAAAGGCATATTACGCTAACTAAGGCTTAACTATTCCAAAAATGTCATTAATCAGCGCGATAATATTTAATGCAAAAGCAGCAAATTCAAATTCGTCAAGACGTTGTTAAATTAAGTGCTCCAGAGTCTAGCCAGCCAAAACGTTTTACAATAGGCACTTCTGAAAAGTGAACAAAAAGGTGCAATAAATATAACTGCTTGATCACCTACCTTAACATTCTCGGCGGTATTCAGTAGCTCGTCGACACGACTAGCCGCTTCATAATTCTCCTTCATCTGCTTGCCATACTGCAAACGCACAATACGCCACATTATTCTCTAACCAAGTGCACAGTCGACCAGCCAAAATTATTTATCCTAACAAAAATAACAGATCGACAAGTCTGCAACTGACAGCAATAGCTCGGATACGCGTTTGTCAAAAAGCTGGATACGCCTCAGTTGCCGCACTCGAAACAGGCTCGGCGCAACTGTTAAACTCTTCACTGGCACTTGTACTCTTCGTTTTGTAGTACGTATTTCGTCAGTGTACCTTCTGCAAACGCAGTGCGACGATCCAGTTCCGTCGCATCTCATCATCCTCGCAACAAATGTACTTGTATGTGGCATCCGAAGAATTCTATAGCAACAAATCGGCATTACATATAGCGCAATCATTCCAGGGTCGGCTCATTATCGCCTCTATCGGCAACCGATATTTGCATACAAATCACTCATTCACCGCACTCACAACACTTACCGCCACGCAGATAACGCTATCGGTAGCAGCACCCAGTGTTTTCCGACCATTTTCCGTATAATAAATGTGCACAGCATCCAAGGAGCAGAGAAGAGCGAGATTTTTCGGATCCTAATCACAAAGAAAAATGGGAATAATAGGTGTAACGCGGTACGGCGTAAATACGAGTCTACGAGAATTACCGCTTTTGGTAGAGCTATAAATTTTATGGAATCATGCACGCACTTTATTGTACTATGTACAGTTTATTTATTTTATAGCACGAAGTAGCAAGAATGCAGCGCGAAATCAGAAATCTTATACCAGTTTTTGTACTCCCACCTTCAGGTACGCAGGCAATTATATTTTTTTACCTTGCTCGTGCCTTTTACGCTCATATATAATCCAGAGGGTCGAAGGACGAAAAACTGCTTTTTCCATGCTTTCTTTTCGCGTAGGCTCAACCATCCATCAACATCTGGCAGCCAGTTTGTCGACGATAAAAGATTCTGCGAGATGATGTATTGATTTAGCTAATGCTGTTTATCATAAGCACCGTTCTATCCTGAGAAACCGGCTGGTAATAAAGAGTCAAGTTACAAAAAGAAAAAGGGTGTGCAATAAGTATACATAACGATTTCCAGTAAAGTATCGCTTCCTGGGCAGTGCATCACCGTGGTGCAGTAACCACCACTGGGTTATTGCCATTGCTTGCAGAATACAGACTGCAGTACATCCGTATGGCGTACAACGTAATAACGTTAATCACCTCAGAAAGGATTGCTAAAAAACTTATTACACGTTATACCGCCATCCATGGCATACTGCACAAACCCGAATACCGGCAAACAAGTACCCAAGAGCATCCATTAACACGGCAAAAAAACCTTATCGGTATCGAAATCAAGTTAAAATTAAAATTTTTAATCCGGAAAACAATCAGTGAAGCATAATATTTGTCACATACCGTCAAACTAATACCTTAGAACGAATAAAACTAATAAACTCTACAGATGCGAAAATTAGTTTCTGATGCTATACAGGCTCAGACGAATTTTAAGTAGTATCGTACGGTTCGTGTTCAGTGGGATTGCCAACTTACCCTCAAGAAGGCATTTTGCGCTGATGGCTGTTCAGTAGCCAACATATCCAGTTTATCCATGCAGATGTCCATCCTGCCTGCAGGGAAGAATTGCTACAAGGACAACAAAATACAACATGCAACAATTTTCCCACATGTCAAGTCCTGTCGAAACAGCTCTTGCAGCGGTTATGCAATATGTAGGCAAAGCGAAATTACTTTCGGGTATTTCCTTAAGGCCTACAGCGGACTGCATAATCAACCGTTTGATTATATAGAACAATTAAAACAAAATATAAATACACTATACACATACTACGTTTATGACTTGCGTAGTAAATCAGTAACTCAGATCATTGTTGCATAATGGTAATTTTGCTTAATTTCAAAAGCATCACCACAACAAATCAAAAATGTAGCCGACGTGTAAAAATGCAGGAGTAGCTATGTAAATATACGACAACGAAAAACGTTTCAATTTTTATAAAAACCATACAAAAGACAGCCGAAAGATCTTTTAAAATAAATTAGTTTCTGACCATTAATTATCGGGCAAGCACTTATCTAGCCTCTCGGCACTCGCTGAGGCTAACAAACAAATTACGGTGAAAATTCATGGATGTTAACAAGCCTCGAAATGCGCCGTGTTACAATGATACAAGGTGATTATTAATGCGTGTCCAGTTACAAATCATAACTGAAAACCAAAGGAAAATCCCCTACATGCCGTTAGGAAATAAGATTTATTGGTAATTTATATCGATTTTTTGTACCGGAGATATTTCATACGGACTGCTCACAGTGGTGTAAGTTGATGTAACAAGCAATGCGTTTATCTCTTACCTTTGGATTCCTAAATACTTCATATTTGCAATAATCCTGCTTAACAACAAAACGATTGTATTCCCCATCCACATCATGACGCCAAGAGTCTTGTATAGGTCCAATGCACTCATGGTCCTCTACAATTCGCCAAAGACACAGTGCCCGTTTCCACTCAATTATTACCCAGTTAGTGCAATCGCCACAGTGATTATCCGATAAGAGAATACGCAAGATTTGCAGGACATTGGTAGTCCGATCGATGGTCACCGTTCGATATGACTGACCATCAAAGTCTGTGTACAGTTCTACAAGGCATCGCGAAGCTGATTCGGTCGGTCTGTGGGGAATGTCCACGACAACGAAATCGTCGTCCGAGTCCTGCAATATATTACAGTAAAAACTTGTTAAGCACTTGCTATGCAGGTTACAGGCTTATAGCCTTAAAACGTACCACTCGATCAGACTGTAATGGCTCCAGTTTTGCAGGCAACGGGAGAATTTGCGATGCAAATGACTGGTCTGTGTACAATATTAAACACCAAATCACCAATTACCAATAGTTCCGACCAATTCACCGCGTGATTTCACATGAGGCAACGTACTACCGGGAATAACTGACCACACGTCCACATGGCAACCCGTATCTCCTCGCAAAATTGCGAATGAAAAGTGAAAACGTGATATGAATTATGCACGAGATCGATAGCAAAACTGCAAAAGAAAGACAAAATATCGTCTTTGCTTCGCAGGGCTGAAGAGTGCATCTGATTAGATATAATTAAGTATAAGGAAGCCGAGGTAGCGTATGCATTGAGTATTAAAGATCCAAATGCATGTACGAGTATTCATTCAGCTGCGGTAGAAATTCATCTGGAGCAGTCGCTCGCTAAATAGCTGGGAACAATAAGTAGTCAAAACGTTAGTTTGGTTCATGTTAACTTTCAAAAGGAGTGCACATGGGCATCGTTTACGCGAAATGCGCGATAGCTGGTTTCGAAAATTTCCTACGAATAATCTGATGACATGTTAGGTTCAAATCACGTCCTGATAGTGCGTTCTTCCGGTGAATCAGGATGGGCGGGTAAAAGCGGTGTACAACACACTTGCCGAACAAGTTTTTCCACGACACTTGTCGCTGAAATAGCGGCTTAAAATTTGTCTTTGCAAAAGTTGAACTTCGATAATTTTCAATCGATGCTTTGGTGAGTTTAGTCAGATTTGTGATTCATGTAGACATACATAATTATACAGAGCTACTCAAATAATCAAGTGTAGTGTACGTTAGTATGCAATGGCGTCTTCTGCGCGGTAGTATGATAGCCATAGAATCATATTATTATTAGCATGGCCCATGGTATGAGAGAAGTGAGCTGTGAAGTTATTACATATTGTGCTTCTTTGAACAATAATTTATACTGTATAGCATTGTGGAATAGCTATAAATAAAGTATTTATATAGAACACAGACATACAGATGAAGTTTTGGCATAGAAGTCCCTGCAATAATATTATTACCTATAATCTGTACGTAATAATCTGTACGGTAGACTTTATCTACAATCTACAGAAGTACATATGTACTTCAACTTGTATCTGTACTTCAATACAGAATTAATAAGTAGTCAATTCCTGCGGATTTACGAGAATAAGTATAAAAGTATTCGGAAATACTCAACTGTTCACTGTATTGCATCAATAGTTTATAACAGTACTTATCGTTACTGTATTGTTTTATGTTGCATTGCATTATACGAGTAAATTGTAAATTAAAGATCTCTATGTCCAAATATCTATACAAATCGTGTAACGGGAATACCGGTATCTGTTAATCTACAGTTGCATTTTACTGTACAATAGTTTTGCTTTATTGATGGTACAATTATGAATTTCACGCAAGCTTTTTCGGATATAAATCTTATTCTTAAACGCGCCAATAAAAAAAATACATTCAGATTCAGATTCTATTATTAATTTAAATTCAAAGTCTATACTTAATTTTATAAACTTGACTAGAAGTACAAAAATACCGTATAAAAAGCGATGCCGGTTGTTAAAAGCCTTTACAAAATAATAAAATTTCTTATTTTACAAATTCGGTATGTCGCAGACTCGCAGTATAAAAGGTACACGGACATAAGAATACAGTAGTTAGAAACTTAACAGCAGAATGACGTCCACCCGCACGCGGTCGCCAGTCTAGGCATCCATAATGTACGTGCTCATTCCGTACGAGCACTGTACGAAAAAATGAATGAAACCATTGAACACAAACGAAAAACCGACCGCTCCATCCAATGAAAACTACCGTCGGTCTCCTCTGTTTATGAATGACGCATCAAAGAGGGTGGATAGCACTTTGCGCAGCGGCCAAAAGCCGAGCTGACTAAGTATTTCGTGTAATATGCGCTCTTTTACAGTAGTAGACCAGTCAGGCACGCAGACGTTGATATTTTCCTTCGAAGCAGTTGCAATCTCGCGAAGACAGCTAGCATCTTTTCTAACGGTTACGGACTACTTTTTAGGTCGCGCCAAAACATTTTATTTTCTCAGTCGTGAATATTCTTCCTAAGACAAAATGAGAGAAATTGTTCATCTTCAAGCGGGACAGTGTGGTAACCAGATCGGATCTAAGGTGCGCAAAATAAGTCAGCTTTTAACGTTAACGTGCTTTGTGGCAGGCCTTAACTTCCGAGGTGGATTGACCTTGACGATTAAAGCAGAATTCTATTGGCTGACTAGTGCTGATGCTTCATATATGTCTTATAAAAATGTTGGATTTCCTATTCGTAGTTTTGGGAAGTCATTTCCGATGAACATGGCATCGATCCAACAGGAAACTACGTTGGAGATTCGCCGCTGCAGTTGGAGCGGATCAACGTGTATTACAACGAGGCGTCTGGTACGTAGTACAGTACTAATAGTTGGCGCTGTGTGGTAGTTAACCTACATAGGACAGAGTAAAATAATTTTATTCATCACAGATTTCAGCATTATGACCGCAAAGCGCTGATACAGGCAGCGGTGCATCGTTTTGATTTAAAGAAAAAAGGATATAATTATGATATCTTATCGATCTGTTCGGCCATTTTGTGTTAATTTGTCCGTTGCTCACGTCAGACTTAGATAGTGGCATATTGCGCGGATGTACGTAACATTCTGAATGACATATGACTGGAGATACAAGTGCTTAAAAGCTATTCTAGCTGTTGCAGACTTTTATTTATTTAAGTTTTTATTCGGACATAAACACCATATTCCATAAATATTAACTTTCCAAGTTTTTTGAAGTCGAATTGTAGATCTATAAGTACATGTGCTTATTTAATTCCACAAGACGGAAGTTGTTCCTTTTCGGTCACTATGCTGTTTCCAGTATTCTAAATTTGGTGTATATACAAAGGTTTTAGCTTGTAAGATACAGTATGGTCAAACCATTACTACTTTTGATGAATTCATCAAAGCTGAGAACCCAGCCATGAAGTAAAATAGCAAATTCAGTGGTACCAGGGAGCTGTGTTTTATAGTTGGTGATGTGTGCATTTACTGCATTGATTAAGAGAGCATGAGTCATTGACCTTGTAGGCACGACTATTTTCATCGCGCCGGCTGAGATTCTTAGCGGTTAATGTTCTCGTCACCTTGTAAGTTGTTTAATGATTTTCGTTCATTGGCAGGTGGCAAATATGTTCCCCGTGCGATTTTGGTGGACCTCGAGCCGGGAACCATGGACTCAGTGCGTTCCTCGCCATTCGGACAGCTTTTCCGCCCGGACAATTTTATCTACGGTACGCATATGATAAGTTTGAAACAGCAGACAGGAGCCTAAAGCGGAGCTCGCAGATATAATCTGCTAGTTACTTACATAAGCATTTTCGTGTTTAATGACAGGTCAAAGCGGAGCTGGTAACAACTGGGCTAAGGGACATTATACTGAGGGTGCCGAACTAGTCGATTCTGTGCTGGATGTGGTGCGCAAGGAAGCGGAAGGCTGCGATTGTCTGCAAGGTTTCCAGCTGACTCACTCACTGGGTGGCGGCACTGGGTCTGGCATGGGTACTCTGCTTATCTCCAAGATTCGTGAGGAGTATCCCGATCGCATCATGACAACGTTCAGCGTGGTTCCATCGCCTAAGGTACGTACAGATCTAGAAGATGTAGTTGATAATTATTATTGTAGCTTTGGGATGTGATGGTGATCAGCGGCCTGCATGCCGAGTAGTGCGATACAAATGCCAGTACTTAAATTCTTAACAATTTCAGTTCATTTATAAAATTAAGCAGATTAATTTATTTTTAATAGGTGTCTGACACAGTGGTCGAACCATATAACGCGACATTGTCAGTCCATCAGTTGGTTGAGAACACGGATGAGACGTTTTGCATTGACAACGAGGCGCTGTACGACATCTGCTTCCGCACACTGAAGCTGACCACTCCGACATACGGCGATCTGAACCACCTGGTGTCGGCCACGATGTCCGGCGTGACCACTTGTCTGCGTTTCCCCGGCCAGCTGAATGCTGATTTGCGTAAATTGGCTGTCAACATGGTGCCCTTCCCGCGTCTGCATTTCTTTATGCCCGGCTTCGCCCCGCTGACAGCCCGCGGTAGTGCGCAGTACCGTTCCCTGTCCGTATCGGAGTTGACTCAACAAATGTTCGACTCCAAGAACATGATGGCGGCTTGTGATCCACGCCATGGTCGCTATCTCACGGTTGCTGCCATCTTCCGTGGTAGGATGAGTATGAAGGAAGTTGATGATCAGATGCTGCAGATCCAGAATAAGAACAGCAGGTGTGTGACATAAGGAATTAGCGCTGCATATAAGTAGTGTAATGACCTGTTAACCCTTTACGAGCGAAGAAATTTGATTACTCAGTATCGTTGACGCATGGCATTTTTTTCAGCTTCTTCGTTGAATGGATTCCTAACAATGTTAAGACTGCCGTGTGCGATATTCCACCCCGCGGGCTCAAGATGTCTGGAACATTTATTGGCAACAGCACCGCCATCCAGGAACTTTTCAAACGCATTGGCGAACAGTTTACGGGTAAGCATGCAGCCTAATTTGTGGAATAATGATTTACTAATGAATATTTTTAACTAGCCATGTTCCGCCGAAAAGCCTTCTTGCATTGGTACACTGGTGAAGGTATGGACGAAATGGAGTTCACCGAGGCCGAATCCAACATGAATGATCTGGTATCGGAGTATCAGCAATACCAAGAAGCGACGGCCGAGGATGAGGGCGAGTTTGAGGAGGAACGTGCTGAACCAGAAACTGAAGGCGCATAAATTAAACGCGCATCTTGGAACTTAGATCTTTGCCCATGTCAACTGGACTGGTTGACATGGACAGAGATCTTGAGTTCCAAGATGAACACTTGTCTCACTTTATGTATCATTCGTCATTTGATCACTTTGATCATCAAAGTTAATTTACTGTACTTACAAGTTCGCTTTTTATTCGGTGTGTTTTAGCGGTATGTTATCGTGTACCCTTTTTTATTGTGTGTTTGTGTGGAAACATAATGACTTTTTCTGGATTATTCTGTAATTTGGTCGACTTTTTATCTGAGTAAATAGGTAATTTGTGAAGGTTCCGTTTGTTATTGCCGATCAGTACGAACTTAAAATTAGCGGTACTGATAAAATCGACGACAACGGCCACTGTCCAAGTTCCAACAGCACGAAACTCAAAGAATACTTAACCAATGAAATATTGTAACAGTGGCCTATCTGGCTACTGTTCTAGTGGGGTGGCGATCAGCCTTTACCACGATTAAACGGCTGTTGGTGTGAAAGGTGGCACGGCCGGCAACGATGCTGGCCGAGGACGCTCTTACAGATGTAACGCAATTACACAGGTGGCTCCGATTGAGATGACGCTAGTTCATCCCAAGCGGTCAAACACAACAACGTAACTCAAGGCATGTTTAATGACAAGGCGTTCAAGAAACGGAGCAAGGTTGTTAGCAAGCAGTGATGTCCCGTTTTTTTCACGGGCTCGGTAAATCACGGGAATTTCCCGCATCCCGCACCCGCTTTTGCTCGGAAAGCGGTGCGGGAGGCTTTCTGCTCGGATCGGGTGCGGTCGGGAATATAGCCTGATTAGTACGCCCGCCCGCTACTCGGGAAAACACGGGATTTCTTTGAATTAAAAAATTTTTTATAGAATTTCTAGCAATTTTCGCAGCCAAAAAGTGCGTCAGCTTCTAGCTTCGCGCGAAAGTTGGTGTCTTAGGGTGGGTCTCTGATTCAAAGCGAATCCAGTTGCGATACAGCGATTTGATAAGCGGCGGCTAGCTCCGTAGCTCCTGTGACGCAAACGTCGGTTTCGAAAGAAAATATATTTACGGCAATTGTATAAGTTATAATTACGAGCCAAGTTCAGTTTTTTTGAAAAGTAAAAGTAAGATTTATCATGCAGGTCTAGTCTTCTAGAAAATGCGTATCCATTAAACTTTTCGACGAAACTTTGTCACAAAAATTTTGTAATAGATTTGTAACAATTATTAAAATTATTGATTCATTGAAAATCGGGAATCGGAGCGGGTTGCGGGACGGTCCGAGCGCTCGGGTGCGGGAGCGGGTGCGGGAAAGTTTTTGATCGTGAAAGTGCGGTCGGGACATGAAAAACTGCAAACGGGACATCACTGTTAGCAAGGGTTTCAGCAAGAGGAACAATCAAGTAGATGCAAGCTGTAGCAAGCTGAGCACAAGACTGAATTCTAGAAATTCATGAGAAAGGAAACTAGCCGGTAAAGTGGACAAATTCATACCGCGGTGGAATGATTCATCATAACTAGGCGGTCTTATCGTTCGTACAAATACTATCGCTACATCCCTCACGGTAGCGATGAGATATACCTGTCTCATCAAGACAACAAAACAAAAGTTACATAAGAAAACAGGAAAATTAAGCGTTAGGAATTAGTAAGCTGTACAACACAATGGTCCGGGATGATCCTTAACGTACGGCGTGGTGGTCCCTCACGTTGAACTACCACGAGAATCCATCCGGCGATCGGAAGAATCCTACAATCAGGTTCCGCTGGATATGTCCGGGATTGGGAAGGGGTCCCTCACGGTATCCGGAAATTTTCCGCGTTTATCCGGTGCTGTGGGGAAGTAGTGGAGGTTTCGTGCGATGTCGGTGCAGTTGCGTTTGGGAAAATAATATGCGTTTGTCTCATTAATCGCTGGTAAAATGAAGACAAGCGAATACTTTGTATTATGGAAACCATTTCCTTTAATTTTTCTTTTAATATCGTTGGTGGCGAATATTTAATTTTTGGCACTTCTTGCAGAACGGAAGTGTGTGTTGACTGCGAAGATGCTTTAGTCTCGGTTGTCGGTTGTAATGTAGGCGTTAACAGTTCCGTTAAAATTTCACTCAGTAATGTCTCACATAATTCCACCTTCTGCGGGATTGTAGTCGATAATTCGCTTGAATTCGTCGAATGTGATACATTTTGGTTTAATTTTGTGATGTACGGTGTCCGCGGTTTTAACAGATCAGGTTTGTTCATTTCTGCTTTTTGTTCGGCTAACAATTTTCTGCAGCGAGATGCCGGGTTATCTGAGCGGCTGCTGTAGAGATTAATTTCCGTAACACTGTAAAACACGGGAGGTACATAGTCATAGCCGTACGTTCCTCCTTTCCTGTAGGTGTTCATTCTTTTCCACTGCCTACTAAATAGAAATGAAGTTCCTTTGCGTTCCACCGTGCAGTTAATGTAATCGTCATATTCTCCTTGAACATTAACTTTAATGTCATCAGGGCATATACGCGGTATGGTATATTTGTCATTGGTGCTGTAGTTGGTGCATTCTCCATACGAATGGAAGAAATCCAGACATTTAGGACAAAACAATTTTCCATTATTTAATCTGTAGCTGTCGAAGTCAATAAATTTAGGATGTATTCTCTTTTCCGCATTGTAATTTTTTCGATTACAGTATTTTGTGTAGTCACGTTTGGGCGAAGGACTACGGTGCTGGTCACGATAATGTGTGTAACGACGATCACTCTCGAGTGTGTGGTTGTGGTGTTCCCGGTAATGTGTACGGCGATTATCAGCGCTGTAATCGCTGTCGGGCGAGCAGGGACGGCGCTGAGCACGGTAATTCGGGGAACGTGAGCAGCGGCGGTGCTCACTGGGTGACCGGTTGCCATTAGTATTTCTACGGAGGTGATAAGAATCAGCACGTACAAGATGCCGTCTCGGGCTGGATGACCGATGGTCATCTGAAGCATTATAATGTTCCTGGCGAGTACGGTGTCGCTGGGCGTCGGTACCCTTGTTGTCACTGTGACGGTTACAAGTGTCGGAGAGTTTAATTTCAGTTTGAGCTGACTGTACAGCAGTGTTTACTGCGGTGTCGGCAGCAGCTACTTTTTCAAGTACAGAACGAGCTTCAGAGAAAGTAACTGCGCGAGAAACTATAAGATATTTCCTGCATTCTGGCATATTGTAAAATGCGCGGTGAAGTTCAACAAGTTTATGCGAATCAGACATTTGAGGATCTATTTCGTTAAACAGAATTTCCAACTCCATCAGAAATGTCTCAATATTTGACCCTTTCTTGAACACCTTTTTTGATAATTCAATGCGTTTCTTTATTAAGTAATCTTCAGGGAAAAAGCGGTCAATTAATTTGCATTTCAACTCTTCATAATTTAATTTCGAACATGTGGGCCAACTGCGCTCAAAATACAGACGTGCTTTATCACCAAAGTATGTAGGTAAGATACAAATTCTATCTTCTGAACTCCATCCAATTGCGTCAGCAGCTCTTTCGAATTGTTGAAAGGACGCAGTGATAATATAATCAGGAGTATCATTAAAGACTTTAATATTGAAATCTTTTGCAGTATATCCGTAACGCGACTGTAACGCGAGCACTTGTACCAAGCGGTTAATATCAAGCGGCAGTTGTACAGTAGTAATGTTTGTATCGGTATGAGCGGATGCGGCGTGCTGCGCGGCTGTGTGCGCGGCATGCTCTCTCTGTGCGGTTGCTATTGGAGCGCTGTGCAAAGCAGTTTGAGTGAGTGACTCATCGGAAGGCTCATCATCTGAAAAGGTAATTAATGTTTCTTCCTGTTTATAACGTTGCTCCAGTCTGTCGTGTCGAAGCACCGGTTCTGTGTGGCTGATGTGAGTGCATGCTGTATTCCCACGCACTGCGCTCTGTCCACTGTTTTCCCTTGACGGTGCATGTGTAAGGCTGCGGGCCGGTTGGGCAGAGGACCAAGACTGGACAGCAGACGTTGACGCTGCGTGTAATGTCGACAGGGAAAGCGCGTTAATCTTTCCAGTGTTATCATTGTTGATACAAGTGTTCGGCAAAGTAATGTTGTGCTTTAACATGTAGGAAGATAATTTATCAACATAACCTGACCTAGAGACTTTCCGATTAATGTACACGTTTAGACTGTTGCTGATGTCCTGCAACTGCGCCTTGGTGAGTTCACCAAGCTGAGACTGCAAATTTATTTCCTCAGATTCCATTGAACTGGTGGACCATGACAGTTAATGTTGTGCTCTCAGAGCATCTAGACCAGTGTTTACGATACACAAGGAAGTTTTGGCGCGAACCAGACCACGGCGGCACAGCGGCGCAGGGTGAACAACGGTAATATAACGGTTAGCCAAAGCGCGAACAAATAATGCAGCAAAAATTATTTTTCTATATTCGCAGTTTTAAGATTTTCTGATAAAATGGCATCGTAACAGGAACAGTGATATTAATTAATTTAGCGTTCGGAAAATTAATACAAAACTTTGATGTTATTAATGTATCAAGACCGAAAAAAGCAAATCTCACTGCGTCAACGGACACAGTAAACACTCACGAAACGGCGATCCGTTCCGGGACTTCCGCTGGTTGGTGTGGGAAGTGGTGATATTATGGAAATTGCTGGTATATGCAGGCGTCCAGGTGGAATGGTTCTTTACAGGAGCGCCATGTAACAGTGGCCTATCTGGCTACTGTTCTAGTGGGGTGGCGATCAGCCTTTACCACGATTAAACGGCTGTTGGTGTGAAAGGTGGCACGGCCGGCAACGATGCTGGCCGAGGACGCTCTTACAGATGTAACGCAATTACACAGGTGGCTCCGATTGAGATGACGCTAGTTCATCCCAAGCGGTCAAACACAACAACGTAACTCAAGGCATGTTTAATGACAAGGCGTTCAAGAAACGGAGCAAGGTTGTTAGCAAGGGTTTCAGCAAGAGGAACAATCAAGTAGATGCAAGCTGTAGCAAGCTGAGCACAAGACTGAATTCTAGAAATTCATGAGAAAGGAAACTAGCCGGTAAAGTGGACAAATTCATACCGCGGTGGAATGATTCATCATAACTAGGCGGTCTTATCGTTCGTACAAATACTATCGCTACAATATATTACTGTATATACTTAATCTGTACATACTGTGATATTTTCAGCCTTTGCATATGTACAATATTCCCAAAATTCGAAATATTTCTGCCATTCTGTGTACAGTAATCCCGAATGCTCGTAATTCGTATCTGTAAATACTGGTACCGAACTCGCCGCTCCAAAAATCCGAAACCGGCCATCGAGTTCCGGAAATTAAAGCTTCGATATTCGGCAAAGCGCCCGCCTCCCGTCATGCTATGTGGGCGGGAATAAATGTCTGACGTCATTCAGTACTACGGCTTGCTTATTATCGGGAGGGTGTTTCAGTCCAAGTCCAATGTGTGCGATTGATCCGTGGTCCATAATTCAAGAAATTTGATTCCATCCAGGAATTTCACGCGATCTGCCATTCCTCCTGCATTTTGGAGAGTTTGTTCTGGGCTGCGTTTTGATTTTGTAGTTTTGAACATAATCTGACAAAAATGGCGCTTTTCCGTCATGCTGCCACGAAGTCTTTTGGCTTGCCGTCGGTAAGGGAGCACTCGGAATTGCATCATTCGGACTGGGATGCACGTGAGCCCCTGCAGAGTCGCATTATTCACTGATTGGTGTTATTAATCTTCAGATGCTGCAGAACAACGCGAACTTTCCAAAGGTTGTACGAGGTCTGGCTGCGCAGTCCGGGAAAGACAAGGAATGTTCTGGCTCCACGGTACGCATGAGCGCGTGACAGCGACCTGCGCGGTTTTGACGTCTGAGATTCTTAGCTCATTTTCTAATTATGCTCTGACTACAACAGAATCTGAAAGAAGTACTGGCTGCCAAAATTCCTGCACATAATGCGAAAGTCAAAGCCTTCCGTACTGCCCATAATAACACCAAAGTGGGAGAAGTCACCCTTGATCAGGTATAAAAAAAACGGAAAACCGAGAGTGTGCACATTTTTGTGTGGTTTATAATTTGTCCACGAAGTTTAATTAGCCTACCATTATTAGGCCTATGGAGGCATGAGAAGCATCAAGAGTATGGTATGGGAGACATCCGTGTTGGATCCGGAGGAGGGCATCCGATTCCGCGGCTATACTATCCCGGAGTGCCAAGAGAAGCTCCCCAAAGCGCCTGGTGGTAATGAACCGCTGCCTGAGGGCCTATTTTGGCTGCTATGCACTGGGGACATTCCCAATCAGCAGCAGGTCAGTCTTCGGATGTAGTATTTTTATTAGATGGCAGAGTTCATGAACCATCGCAGGAACTTTTGAGGGCATAACAGTTTAATATTAAGGGCGAATTGCGACGCGAATGCTTTTTTAATATGGTGTACTCACTGTATACGGTAGTGCTTTTTTGCCTTTACTTAATGTTTCCCCATTCAAAAATGATTAGCATTATGGATTGATTTTCTAGTAACAGTTCTGAAAAATACTTATAAATTTACCGTTGAAATTTCATTTTATAACTGACTTGAACTTAAAGCGTAAGTACTGGCATATAAATATATTCACCGTTAAAACTGGTTTTGCAGGTTAACTGGGTTTCCAATGAATGGGCCCAGCGCGCAGCTTTGCCATCGCATATTGTTAGCTTGTTGAACGGATTTCCGTCAAACTTGCACCCCATGTCACAGTTCGCGGCAGCTGTTATTGCGCTCCAGAGTGAGAGTAAATTTGCTAAGGCGTACGAAGCCAAAGCTCACAAGAGCACGTACTGGGAGGTAAGCTAGTTTACTAGGAAATAGTAAATATCGATATCTGTCCTGGGTTATGACACTTTCTTAAATATTTAAAATTCTTGAATTTCGTTAGCATGCCTATGAAGACTCGATGGATTTGATTGCCAAGTTACCGGCTATTGCTGCAACGATCTACCGTAATCTGTTCCGTAACGGCAGCAGCATTGGTGCGATTGACGAAAAGAAAGACTGGTCGGCAAATTTCTGCAAGATGCTGGGCTACAAGGATGAGAAGTTTATCGAGCTGATGCGCTTGTACCTGACAATTCACAGTGATCACGAGGGTGGCAATGTCTCAGGTGCGGTTTTTCGCGTACCTAGATATTTAATCGGGAATGCACTTCAAAATTGATGTTATTGTAGCTCATACGTCTCATTTGGTGGGCAGCGCTCTGTCGGACCCTTACCTTAGTTTCGGAGCGGCATTGTGCGGTTTGGCTGGCCCGTTGCACGGCCTGGCTAATCAGGAAGTATTGGTCTGGTTGACAAAATTGAACGAAGATCTCGGTGGTAAAAACGTGACAGATCAACAACTTACCGACTGGATCTGGAAAACCTTGAACTCAGGACAGGTATACCTGACTTCTTACAGTTGGTAATAGGTTTAATTGGAAAAGAAATTTTGTTAGAAAAAGGATTTTGTGGAATCTGGAAAAAGTTTTTTGTAGTTAAGGAAGTTTTGCACTTGGTATCGAAATTTTGTTGTTTGATAATGCCATCGGAAAACTTGTCATTTTAAGCATTTTGCGTAGGTGGTGCCCGGCTATGGACATGCAGTACTCCGCAAAACAGACCCTCGCTATACATGCCAGCGAGAATTCGCCCTTAAGCATTTGCCTAATGACCCTATGTTTAAGCTGGTTTCGCAGCTGTACAAACTAGTACCGGACATTTTGCTGAAACAAGGCAAAGCAAAAAATCCTTGGCCGAACGTTGATGCACACAGTGGTGTACTTCTGCAGGTGAGTGTATATAAATCGATAACATAAAAACTGTATGATTACTGTAAGTAATCAGTGAGTCTGCATTCTGCAGTTGGCACAGAAATTGCAAGCAGAAATTGCAAGTATTACTGTTCATAGTTTCTGCATTTTAAATTGAGCAGTATCATATCGAGAGAGCATTCCTGTTCACTTCGTTTTTTTATTTCAGTTTTATGGAATGAAGGAGATGAGTTACTACACCGTTCTTTTTGGTGTGTCTCGGGCACTGGGTTGTTTGTCTCAGTTCATCTGGAGCCGTGGTATGGGCCTGCCTTTGGAACGTCCGAAATCTTTGAGTACGGAAGGACTTATGAAGTTGTGCAAATATACGGAAGGAGATACGCCTCAGCCGCAGAAATAATCAGTTTGTCGAAATGACCGAAATTGCAGCCAGAATGCAACGGCACTTCACGGAAGTTGGTGTTACTGTTATCAATACTTTATTGAGAAGTTTCCCTTCTAGAACTATTTATTGTGTTTAAGGTACACGAAGTAGCGTCCTGTACTTTGTAGTTTTGATTGTATGGTCCCCGCTCGTTGGCATAGGCCTTAATGGCACCGTGACACTGATTGAATAGTTATGATCTTGATAAAATATTTATAAAATAAAATCCGCGCTTTGGTTTCTCTATTCATTCAACAAGTCAATGCAAATTTTCACAGAGATTTTTAGTTGTCTGTGTTCAGCAAACACGCAAGTCTTGTAAAAGACACAATAAGAACCCACTAGCCCTCGATCAGATTTCATTCTGAACTGGTTCTGCACTTTTCGGCATCACTGAAACATCCTAAAAAGCACAGCACACCACGATACGTCACAAGGCCCCACATTAAAAATCAGTAACAGAAGATAAAACGATAACAGCAAAATATCCAGCAACGAGGAATTTTAAGATCCTTCCCATTTACCTAAGATGTCGGTATCTCTGAAGAGGAAATATTCCTGCAAATCAGAACCATCACTTAGTGTGAACAGCAGATTTAACCGGCGCAGTTCTAAATCAGTAAAGTCACGATGACCAATTTATTGTTAGACCAATCGCACTCATGTTGCGTTATTTTTCACTATGAAATCAATAATAGTGTATGACATGTATGTCATGCCAACCACTAGTTAGTAGTTATTATTATCAATAATGACATCGACTTAGTTTTCACAGTCGACCACATGCAAAAAAGCCGAAAACACAATTACCGAATAACACGAGCAGCAGAAATAATTTTTAAAGCTGGCTGCTACAGCCTACGCAATGCAATCCTTAATAATTTACCTTATTATCAATTTCAACTTTGGTGCCTCCGTATTCCGGAAGAAGTACCCGGTCTCCGGTTTTCACGCTAGGAGGAATTGTTTTGCCTTCCTACAATAACTGAATATGTCAAATGTTGTACATATTATCAAATAATTTATTACGCACGTCGTTTCGGGAACCAGGACCCACGGCAACCACCGTCGCATCAAGAACCTTCCCAAGAGCCTTCTCAGGCAACATAATGCCGGATTTCGTCTTTGTTTCCGCAGCAAATCGTTCGACCAAAACTCGATCGAAAAGGGGCTTGAACTTCGTGATTTGGCGAGCCGCGGCAGCCTGAAGAAGATAAAGACATAGCTGAAGAAGATAAAGACATACTTAATCATTCGCTCGTGAAGCAAATCGCGAATTCGATGCTGATAGCCAAAATGCGAAACCACAAATTGATACAATATTGAATATACGCACCATTGCTCAAGTTTAGAAGTAAGAGAGAGCAAAAGAAGAAAAGGGGTCTAAGGTTCTCAAAAAATTTTTTTCTGCGATGATTCGCGCTAAAAAAACTTGAAAACAACAGAAAAGAAATTCTTCCAGAACGGAAGTGACTGGAAGTCCGAAGAAAAATTTACTTATTTTAAACCGGACGTTCACGAAAATGCACATTTGCAGCAAGGCTGCAAGTAAGTACTGTACACAACCGCTGTGCACGGCCGGCTTTTAACCACACCCCTCCATCTGGAAAATTCGATTATGCCATGTCTGACGCAATCTTTTCTTGAACAAGTGCAGTGTCCTAAAATTTTTCAGGGATTGTTCAAAAAAATTTATGCTGTTCTTTGAAAAAATTGTATTTCGATATTTCAAAATATGCCCGTTCGTACAATTTTTATCAATTTTTTTACTAATAATAAAGTCTTGGGCTCTATCCAATGTCCGAAGTGCTGATGCAATAAGTACTTGTACAGGATGCGGCGCTTTTATGGGCGGGTCTAATTCAGTTCAACTGATGCGCTAATGTACTTCCCTGTTCTTTGCAAATATATTCGTGCATTTGGATCTACATGGAACGCCGAAGTAGGGTAGGGCTCCTGCAGCATTGCTTCCGGCGATAGAAATACAGCTTGCGAAATTTACCGTCATTCCAACTCGTTCTTGAAGTTTCTTTTGCGGCTTTTTCTTCCTGTGCTGTAGTTGCAAGTGCAGAACGCGGAATTTTTCAAGCTTTTGATTTCATCACTCAAAAGTTCCTGCGTGTTTGCGCGTATCAGCTATCGCGATTGAGGACTAGCTTGCAGATTAGAACAACTGCATTCCATCCCGTTTATCTTGCAAGTCCTATTAACCGGTCAAGCAAGTAAGTTCTGTATCCTGCCTGCGTCCGGGGTTGTTTTACAATCTATTTTTTCATCATAGAAATTGCTTACTTGCACCAGGAGCGCACATTCTCCCGTAATAAGAGTTTTTCGAATTTCTTTCGTTTAAAATATTTCTGTCTGTTTGGCTCTGAAGTAATGTAGTCTTTCGGCTCATCTTAGCGGACTGCTGCGGTTTTACAGTTTTTCTGAATCTTGGAATTTTGTGTGCCGGCGAGCGGTGCTTGCCGCATTGCTAAGCTGTTCTGTGAAGCACTCTTACATTTGTTTTCAGAATGATGCACGCGATCCGAGCTTCCCGGCAGTTGCAGCGAATAGCGCCGGCCCTAACGCGATCCTATGCCAAGGACCTGAAATTTGGCAAAGACGCCCGCTTGGCCATGTTGAAAGGTGTTGATCTCTTGGCTGATGCAGTGGCTGTCACAATGGGACCAAAGGTAAAGTGTATTTGGAATTTATAAAGATTTAAGCACTGATACACACCTACACGAGCTTAGGGTGGAAATTGCGAGCTCGTCGTCGTTAGGTACTTACTACGATGGTTGATTGAATTTCGATTAATTTTTGCAGGGACGCAATGTGATTATTGAACAGAGTTGGGGCAGTCCGAAGATTACCAAGGACGGAGTGACGGTGGCCAAGGCGGTGGAGTTGAAGGATAAATATGAGAATATCGGCGCTAAACTCGTCCAAGATGTTGCCAATAACACCAACGACGAAGCAGGCGATGGAACCACAGCAGCCACTATCTTGGCTCGCTCCATTGCCAAGGAAGGATTCGATAAAATCGTCAAAGGAGCCAATCCTATTGAAATCCGACGAGGTAATAAATAGGTTGGAATACACTGGTTTTTCTTTATTGCTGATGTGAAAATAATATTATAAAAAATTATGCTGTTTTATTGTGATACTTATAAGTGTAAAATGATAACACTCATGGAGATTCACACATATACTTCTTTTAGCGAATAAAATAATATTATTCGCCAATTCTTCTTATTGTTCGAAAGGCGTTCTTATGGCTGTGGAGAGTGTCGTCGCCGAATTGAAAAATCTCTCGCGAAAAGTCACGTCGCCCAGTGAAATTGCTCAGGTGGCCACAATCTCAGCGAATGGTGACAAAACGATTGGAGATCTCATTTCGAAGGCCATGGATCGCGTGGGGCGGGATGGGGTTATTACTGTCAAGGTTAGATAGATATGCAAACGCACACGAAATAAAGACAGCTGATGTGCGTGGAGAGAATTATGCGTTTTTTACTTAGGATGGGAAGACTTTACAAGACGAGTTGGAAGTTATTGAAGGCATGAAATTTGATCGCGGTTACATTTCGCCTTATTTTATCAATGCCGCCAAGGGCATGAAAGTGGAGTATCAGGATGCTTATGTGCTGTTCAGTGAAAAGAAAATCTCCAACATTCAGCAAATTTTACCGGCACTGGAAGGGGCACTGGGAGCACGAAAGCCACTGATCATAGTTGCCGAGGATGTTGACGGCGAAGCCCTGAGTACCCTTGTGCTCAATCGGTATTTTTTTCAAACTTTCTGTGTTTGATCTTTGGATGATTGATCTTTTTTAATAAAATTACGTCGTGTACACACACTGTATGTTTTCGCAGTTTGAAGGGCACAATACAAGTAGCGGCGGTGAAGGCTCCCGGCTTTGGAGACAATCGCAAAAATATGCTGAAGGATATGGCTGTCGCCACGGGCGGAACGGTGTTTGGAGATGAGGCAGAAATGTACAAACTGGAAGACTGCAAGATCTCGGATCTGGGCCAAGTTGGCGAAGTAACCATTACCAAAGACGACACGCTCCTGTTGAAAGGACGTGGTGAAAAGAAAGCCATTGAGCGACGGGTTAATCAGATTAAAGATGAATTGGACGATACCACCTCTGAGTATGAGAAGGAAAAGCTGAACGAACGATTGGCTAAATTGTCCGCTGGAGTGGCCGTGCTTAAGGTAAAATTACAGTGACCGACGTTACATTTTTGATTTTTAAATGGTTTGCATCTTTACGGAAGGTTTTCTTCTGGTACGAGTAGTTCGTTGTTAATGCATTCATAATTTGGTATGAAATTGAGATTTTGATTCTAGGTTGGTGGTACCAGTGAAGTGGAAGTCAATGAGAAAAAAGATCGCGTAACTGACGCATTATGCGCGACCAAAGCTGCTGTTGAAGAAGGAATTGTTGCCGGTGGCGGTGTTGCACTGCTGCGGTGCTTACCGGCTTTGGATGTCCTTAAAGCACAAAACAGTGATCAGCAAATGGGTAAGTTATCCGCTGATGTTGGATATGACGTCGAGTAACAAATATGCTTTATCGTTTTTATTCCAGGCATTGATATTGTTCGTCAAGCCCTACATGTTCCATGTCGTCAAATTGCCTATAATGCGGGCGTTGATGCGGATGCTGTGGTACAGCAAGTTTTAGCCGGACCGAGGGACCATGGCTATAACGCATTAACCGGCGAATTTGTTGATATGATTAAAGCCGGAATTATCGACCCAACCAAGGTACGTTTTAGTACTGAAGTGTGAAGTTTATAATGGGAAGAGATTTTTCGTTTTCAAGATGTCTGATAATCAACGGTTTCAGGTCGTTCGAACCGCCTTGACAGACGCAGCAGGAGTTGCATCGTTGCTTACAACGGCAGAAGCTGTGGTGACAGAGATTCCCAAAGAGGAAAAAGAAATGCCTATGGGTGGTGGCATGGGCGGAATGGGAGGCGGTATGGGAGGAATGGGTTTCTAGACAAGTGCTAGTTTGGTTGTTAATTTGTTTGCGTTGTTATACTGTTTTACCTGTTCAAGCTGCGTGGTTCAGTGAATGATTATAGTAGTCATTCTTTATTCCGTTTCTCATTTGTACAACATATCGTCTCCATATTGGGCTGATTTCCGGCGGTTTTATAAAGCTAATAAATTCTTTGATGTATCACAACTATGCGAACCTATAATTTTCGGAGAAGATAGTTCAAAAATGCAGAAAGAACAGCGAAACAAAATCATTTCGCTCGTATAGATAACGGCTTTTGATCCGGGATTGAAGCCGCTCCGTATTTCAGCTTGGCTCGTTTGAGGAAGGCGTTTACCATCTGACGGACAACTTCGTCGAAAAACAAATCTGACATTTTTGTATAAAGCACATTTCGAAATTCAAAGGAAACCTGCAAATTTGATAGTTAAGTCAGATACAAAAGGATGCAAGACGCAGCTTCGGCTTCGCCTTACCGTTAAAACAAAAACCTATCACCAACAATAAAGCACGTAAAGGTAGATACTCATAAACTACACTTACAAATACACAAGTAGTTACACTAATTACTGAAGTGTATGAAACTTGTATGCTTGACTTGCAGTACCCGTGCAGTTCCAAAATGGACACTTGATTGCACCAAAGCAAGGAAGTTTCGTTCAAAAACTACCCCCAAAACAAGCGGCAAATCAATCAATCCTCTGCTTTTACACTTTCACTTACAAAAAAATCTAGCGTGCAAGTTGTATCACGATGATCTTTTAGGCCGGGACTAAACTTCCATTCCGTTACCAAATGATTGAACAAACGACCTTCCGTGCTGACGGCTTTGACTAGATAAGGTTTGACAAAAGTGACATTGGACGTGTAGCGCTCGGTAATGGGAGGAAAACCGATTTCCATTTGGTATTTCTCATTCCCAGGAGACGCGGTGCTTTCCTTACTGTAAACCAAGCTGGAATTCGTACACCATGGAACAAACTCCTTGTATTTCCGCACATCCGCGACGACGTCATACATTTGATCCATGGAATAACTGAAAAACACAAATCCAAAGTTTCAAAATATTGGCAACAATAGGAATTATACAGTGCTCACGAACGATGGAGATGAGTTTTCTTGCTAAATAGTAAATAATAGTAATAAAACTGTACGAGTTTTGATAGTTGTCATACTTATTGTCGCGTGCCGACCATAGCTTACCCTAGTACACGTCTTTCGGCATATTCCTTTGTACGGCTTTTAAGTAAGCCAAAGCCAATGGATCTCGTGGTGGGGAAAATAGCCTGATGGCGCGTTAAATGCAGTTTGCAAGATCTGAAGAATAAATAATACGTAAATTAATTTCTTTGCCCATTCACTTTGAACTGTTGAGCTAATGGTAAGGAGCGATAAGCTTTGAAAAGAAAGCTTAATTAATCAGAATAACAGGTAACAGGTATGAAATTTCGAAAGGTTCGAATTATGCGAACAATTCGCATAATTCGAACCTTTCGAAATTTCAAAAAATTACTAAACTTTAGCTGTTTAGCATACGATAAAGACGGATAAACAACAGTATTACCCTTCACCAGTAAGTGCCAGTAACCTTCCATAAAGTTAAACCAAAAAGGCAGGTTATTGAGCCTAATTCTAAAATTAGTCCAAGAAAACAGCAAATAATTAACAAAATATGACGTGCGAGTTGATATTTAATTAACATTTTCTTACGCAAGGGGAGACCGCTGCAGCACAATCCGGGAAGACGAAATAGGGAAAATCAGTCGAGCCATCACTGCATTGATTTATTACCGTGACAAGAACCATAAGAATTGCAGTTCCACATTCCGAATAAGAATTCTGTTTTCGAAGAGTAACTGTTGTCTGCAGACTGCAGTGATGGGCTTCCTTCATAGACCTAGTAGTGGGCACCGATCTCCAAAATCCCTTTCACTCCGTGGATCCTCCATACAATAATCGCAGGTTGTACAATCCAAGGCGTTGATGAAATCCAATGAGTAGAAAACTAGAAACGTAGAATACAGCATTGCCTGTGACGGCTGTTAATCAGCTGATATGTCATGTCAGTAAGTACAGTACTGATTCTTCCAAAGACAGACCTCAGGCACGGTACAACAAGCGCCTATTAATGCATAAGATGGCATAAGCTGATATAACAGCAGGTACGACCGAAAAAAAAATTATTGTGGTAGCAGTGGGCCAGTGGCAAACTCAAAGTGAGCAAAATAAACCCAACGCAAGATAAAAGGCTTAAAAGCATTGGAAATAAATAATATTTACGATTTTAAACAAGTAGCTATAGTACGATAATTATTAGCAAGAACTTACTATAGGTCACACTATAGTAAGTACTTGTTATTAGGTATGAATTTTGCCATATTTCTCTTTTTCACTTTCAGCAATTTCTGCATCCCTAATCCCTATCCACTATCCAGTCTCCTTGATAGCTACGAAATTACGAATATTACAGTAAATTAAAAATTAGGCAGACACTGCCGTACTGGCGGTATTAGTGGCGTGGATATTCGGCGCAAGACCTAGCCACCCTTGGATGGCGAAACGACTTACGATAGGGGGTGACGGTGTGAACCCAAAATTTTTTGAGTTTTGGTAACTTTTGGACCTTTTTACTTTTAGCTTTTGCCTTTTTGTGACTTTGTCACGTTTGTCAGTTGTTCTGTTTCAGTTTTCAGTGGCTGTACATTGCTCATTTTCAGTTCCTTTTTAGTTTTCGGATTTATTTTAAGATCGCTTTTTTGTTCATCGTCAACTATTGATCACCTTCATGATTCATCTCCTCTCGATACAGAAGCCAGTGTTTGGAGCGTCAAAGAAGACTTCAGCGAGATCGACGATGATGTCATTTTAATTCTTTACACGTTTACCGTGAAGCGCGCAGTGAAGGTTTCCAGAATCTGCAGGTTATTTTGCGTGACACGAGCTGTGGATCGACGATATTTTTCTGCTTGGAAGGACTACGTCTTCGAAGCAAGATCGGTCCCCAGTCATGGGGGCTACAGGGGCTCGAGTTCCAAGTCCAAAAAAATCCAACACATCCAACATCTCTGCAACTTGTAAGTCAAAGTTTTGAGTCTAAGGCAGCGTTATCGTTCTATATCTTCTTTGTTTTGTTATGAGACTCGTTAATCATATGTGGGTGAATAATGAGTGTGCTTTTGAGATATTGGTAAAACTCGCGTAAAAGTATTGATCGCAAACTATTATAACTGTCCTTCCCAAGGTTTGAACCGTTTGCTGATACGTTATCGCTGAATATAAATTAATGTAGTTGAACATTTTGTTATCGTATTCTCTTCTCACTTCTGGAGTCATATGATGAAAGTTTTTTCTTGATTAATTGAATTGTTCTTTATCGTTGCACTGGCATATAGCGGACAGCACTAGCATCTATAATCGCTGATTCGCCTTTATTATCTTATTGGGAATAAAAGTATGCTTTTGCAACAACAACACGGCAGTTCTAATCTGAGAATAGATTTAGGAGCCAGCACTGTTATGGGGAAAATTACAATATTTAATTGGTGTTGGGCCTGGTGGCTGGTCTGTGTTCCTTCTATACTTTAGCTAGTCTTATAAATCGTAACAGCACAAAATTGAGCATTCCTTTTCTTGTAATTTTCAGATATACGGCATTTATTGCACAGGAGAACACAGGAGAACGCGAAATCCGGAAAGATGAAGGTAACTACACGATTACGAAAGCCAAAAAAGAAGGCCGTGAAACCGGCTAGCGACACCTCCGGGATAACGAAGAAACGGCGCACCCGGAAACGACGATATCGTCGCAAACGTCGGACAACTGCTCCCACACTTGCCAAAAAACCCGTTGTCAGACAGCCTATACCTAGTACATCTGATGTCACCGTGGGCACTCAAAGTGACTCAGAGTCCGAAGAGAAAGTTATACCGAAGAAGCGCGGTAATAGAAAGAAGGATGTTCCCAGAATGCTGGAAAAGAAAATAAAGCGTGATGATGACAACTCGGCACAGGGGAGTTCAAGTCGAAAAGCGCGAAAAATTGTAGATGTTATAACTCTCAGCGATGATGACGAAATTAAAAAAGTTCCAGTGAAAATGAAAGGAGAAAAGAGCCATCAGAATAAAGCTACGCAGCCGAAAAAGAAGAAACGAACTCGTTTGCGGCAGTTTGCTGCGGCTGGAACATCTAGTGATGATGATAGCGATTACCGTCCGGAGAGTAATGACGATGAAATGCCCAGTACGAGTACGGCTAGCAGAAACGATACTCGAAAAACAAAAACTTCCGCCTCCAAAAATGGAAATTTTTTGAAATCTGATGCGATGACGTCTGTTCCTAGTGTGCCTGTTGAGGTTGTATCTCAACTTCTTTTCATCCCTCCGGTGGCGAGAGCGATTGCTAAGAGCTTACCGATGAGATCATTGTTGTCACTTGCACAGGTATTGTTAGTAAATATGTTAGCCATTGATTGGTGAATTTCGTTTTTGCAGAGATGAATGATTTGTAATTTTTTCCGTATTTGCCTTCTGGATAATAGGCTGTTAGTGCTGTCTTGATATCATTCTCCTTCCTAATAATCTCTTTTTCTCTGACCATTTGCAGGTTAACAAGGATATGCAAACCACATGCACTTACGAAAGGAACCTTGCACGTCGTCAAAATTTCGACTGGGCTCACTTCCCCAGCATTATAACAGCCCTCAATGATTCTTCTTTGTTACACGAAAAAGATATTTTCGGCAGTTCGTTACAGGAACTATATTGCGAACCTGAGATGGTGATTTGTTTTTCGGCTCCTAAAATCATGTTTGGCCATAAATTAAGGTTTGATGACCCAAGAAGTCCAGATTTTGGAGAAAGAAAAGATGTCTGCAGAATATTGTCTGATTTGATGCCGAAAGATGCTCGAAAGATTTTGCATATTCGGACACAGGGTGTGCTGCCGCCGCTTCCCTCAATTATGACTGGAAATCCTAGAAAAATTGATCACTGGGGCTGTAAGACATCCGCTCGGGATCTCAGTGTGCTGGTATTTCCAAAAATCAACGGAGTAAACATATGGCGTGAACATCTTACGGAAGCAGAACTGCGAGTGCAGCTAAAAAATAATGGATGGTTAGAAAACCGGTCCCATAACCACTTCTTATTGCCGATGATCAAGGAGCTAGAAATTGTCGCTCCGAAATTGGTAATCATGTTTACCAGGCGATTCGCTCACCATTCGCATGTTTTGTCATCCGAATTTCCTGTTTTGGTGCTAAACACTGTGGATAATCTTGGCGAAGAACGCTACTCATCTCACGGAGATCCTACATTAGATTATGGGCTAGAGTGGTTGGCGTTTGGTGGAAAAGATTGTATTGCTTATCAGGTTGCGTTAGACGATAATGTCGGTCAGATGGAGCACGCAAGAGTTCTTCGTCAATTGCGTGATCAGTTTACCGCGCAGCAGGTTATGGGAGGCAGAATGCTGCTGTTTTACTTCAGCAAGGTTAATCAGGGTATAAGGGATTCCGCTGAAATGGACCGGCTGTATGAGCAGGATGTGAAGCAGTTAAGGGAAGAATTCCCTCGAGTTCCTATATTTGGTGGAAGTTATCCAACAGTTATTGGAAGTGTTTTTACGAAGGATAAAGCGGATGGCAACTTCGGAAAATTTTTCCACGGCGCCTCAACATCATTTGTGTCTGCAGTAATTTTGGGTCAGCATTAGAAATCTGCCGCTTAGAATAATGCATCACTTTATACGTTTGTTGTAAATATTATCCATATTAAATATGGAACGCACCTATAGTATCACATTTTGGTGTAACGGTGCTGTCTTTTAAACTCCTATGGTTCAGTTGTGCATTTCTTGATCTGCAAATTGCCCCTTTTTTCATTAGAATGGAATTACGGCAAGAAAAGTTCGGACAGGAGTCAGCCACGATGTTTTGTAAAACTTACTCAAATAAATATGCGTACTGGCAGTACTTAAACTATGCAGTATTTGCCGTAGTATATATAGGAAATTATTTTGAAATCATCCTAAATGTTAGTTCAGCATTAATTTGAACAGGAAGTCGCGTTTAGTTATCTGTCAAGAAAAAAATTCAATAATAATTTAATACGCATCAGTCATCAGATGGTAAGTAGGTACTTACTTATAGGGTATCTGTATTCTGTACTCTTCTAAAAAATTAATAGTAACAGCCGCCTCCAAGCTCACGCAGTGTGCGTAATGAGCGAATGACACGTTGGCTAGTTCACAGCAAAATCGTTGAATCTTGAATCGTAGTTAAATGCTTTTTACAATTTTAATTGTGTAGTTCTGTCGACTATTCTGATTTGTTTTCAATTGGTTTCTACTACGGTTACAACTTAACAACTTTCAGGGCTCAAGTAGTATACAGCACAGTTAACCCTTGGTGAACATGCCGCATCTTGGAGAAATCCTTGTGAAACTGTATGAAGAGTACCGCGGGAAAACTCCGAAACGATTGAAGCTGATCGATGCGTACCTTGTATACGTGCTCCTAACGGGAATTATCCAGTTTCTTTATTGCCTCCTGGTTGGCACTTTCCCTTTCAACAGTTTCCTGAGTGGGTTTATCTCAACTGTTGCTTCGTTCATTCTTGCGAGTAAGTGGCACATCTGAGTTAAGTTTTTTGCTCAAAGTCAGTAATGGCACTGGAATACAGGAATAGTAATTATTGTAATGTCGAACCGGCTTGTTTTGCAGCATCTACTTTAATATTGGTAATCACTAATTCATTAAAACTTATTAGTTGCATTTTACTGAAAATCTGTACTCTTCTAAAAAATTAAGTGCTTTTTGTATTGGTTTGCACTTTGCAGTAATATAGAAATATTTTACGGTGGGAGAATAATTAATGGTTGTTGAATATTTATCTAGAGCTTCGTTCCGATTGTTCGTGTAGATCTGTTAAATTGCAGATTTCTATTAATTTTTGATTTGTAGTAAATAGTGTAAATGTTAAGTTGTTAAATGTTAACTGTTGACGATGAATTCCTTACGGTTACTTCAATGGTTATGACAAGTTTTGCCTCGAAACTTTTCGCGAATATTTCCGCTGTAGTCTGTGAAGTTTCCTTGTTACAAGTAACAAGTTACATGTTTCCGATTCTAACAATAAGTTTCGATGTTACAGTTCGATTGTTGCAGCGTGTGATTTTTCATTTTTCCAGCATGTCTGCGGATGCAGGTCAACCCGGAGAACAAGAGCCAGTTCGGCCACATTAGCCAGGAGCGCGCCATGGCGGACTTCATCTTCGCGCACGTTGTTTTGCATTTGGTCGTCATTAATTTTATGGGATAACCTGCATTTGTGCAATAAACTTCACTCACGCTTTGTGCTTTGGTTAGCCGCTTTCTTTACTGCCAAATTTTGATCCACGATTCTTTTCACCATCAGGCGGAATTGTGCGATTCGCCATGGCAGTTTGTTAGTTTTCTGCGGCAACTATTTCCGCAATAAAATTCAAGTCCGACTGAGTTCGTTGAGTAAGCGGGAAACAGAAACGATGTCAAACGTTAATGTAGACTGCAAGTGTAGGATGCATTACAGACCAATGGATTAATAAGTCCAAATTTGACTTCCACAGTGTATTTACTTCTAATCTGAATAGCATAGAGCACTGAGAATTGTAATAATTGTTAAAAAGAAATTTCAAAGGGATAGTTCAAGGACACGGCTATTTATACAGCTGACTGCTGTACAGCCTGTACTGACTACTGACTGAAGTTGTTCACATTATTAGATCAACAACAGAATTAACAGATTTCCGGAGAATTTACATCCCCGGCTTTTTAAAGCAGCCTACCTTGCAGTTATTAAAGGCAATGCGGCTGCGGTTTTAGGAACTTTCCGGGGAAAGAACAAAACTGATAATAAAAATTTTGGTTGTTTTTTTCAGTTCTTGATTGTACATTGCCGGCCGTAGTAATGTTACTCACGACTGTTATAATTTGTAGTGCGGTTGTAAAATTCAGTAAATAATTTATTAAAAGATTTTTGGAGATACATATTTAAGCTTTTCCTTTTTTGTTGAAATATAGAAGAGTTCACAAATTTCATTACATGACACGGAAAGGAAAAATAATAAAGTGTATCCCTTTCCCGCTTTCCGGACTTTCCTTACTACGTATGTATTCCCTTTCCAATAAACCCCGAGTGGTGTTTTATGTACGTATTTATTTACAGTACTTCCTAGTTCCTACTATGTTGTTAGTTACCCACTACCCAGTACCGTTTCGGATTAAACCACCCCACTTCCAGGCGCGTATGCTCGCAACGGTACCAACTCTTCGAAATTACAAAATTTTCTTCAGGCCCAATCAATCCTATCTAACCTTTCTACGTTTGGTTTTTCACTCTGACTACAGAATACGCAGTTTTTATTGAAATTATAAGTTGACTTTTGAGCGTTTTTTTATGTTATCTTGGAGAATAAAACTGCATGACTTTTTTACTGCTTCTGTTGATGGATTAACTGCGATAGCTTGAATGATTCTGGCGTCCACTAGGAATTCTGGCTAACAAGTTCTAAACTTAGAAAAATTAAGTTACTATCTGTTATTTTGAGTTTGATTGGCAACGATTATGGGCCGTCTTAAAAAAGAGTGTTATCTAAAGCTATCTGCACGCCCTACTTGGAACCTCGAAGTCGAATCAGTAGATAAAACCGTGCGCTAAATAAATCATAACGAAGTTAAGGACTCCAGCTGCGATCGACAAAGGGACTGATTCCTTACACAATATTATCTGCGAATTGTGAATGGTGTTGATCGTGACATAACGTAAGATTTAACTTTTAAGTAGTTACCAAATACCAACTACCAAGTACTAACTAATTAGCAATTGCCAATTTGGAATCGTTTCGTTATTGCGTTTTCGCAATTCGCACACATTATATCGCAAAGCTTATGTACAGACTGTTGCAATTGATGTTGAATGATGTTGCAGTTTATGATAATTTAATTACTTAGTTTCTGTACACTAACTACTGTTTGCTGCAGCCTCGCAGGCGCCATTCATGGACAAAAATGACAGAACAGTGCAACGGCATCTTCACGGAGAACAGTTGCCCAACGAAACCCTTGTTCGATGTATCCGTCTTCGCGGCCGACGCATCAGCCCGGGCTAATCATCCCGCCGTATCCCGCTTCCATGAAACCACCCTCCCGCAGGCACAGTCAATAGTGCGGACCGGTTTGGAACGGTATGGCACGAATAAGGCCGCCATTGCCTTTAACGGCGGCAAGGATTGTACCGTGGCGCTGCATCTAGTCTTAGCGGAGATCGAAAAATCATACCGTTCTGAGTCTCCCATCCAGATCCCAGTCGTCTATTTCCGCAGCCGTCCGCAGTTTATAGAACTGGAGGAATTTATCCAGGATAAGATTCGTTTATTGGGTTTATCATTGACGATCTACGAAGGCGATATTAAGGATGCGTTGTTCCGATTTAAAAGTGATTTTCCCGATGTGCAGGGAATTTTCATGGGCACACGGTGTAAGGATCCCAGTTCGCGGCACTTATCTGCATTTAGCCCGACCGATCCCGGCTGGGCGGAATTCGTGCGAATCCTTCCCATTCTGAATTTTTCCTATCATGACGTGTGGTTATATTTGAAGGAGTTTAATATATATTACTGTAAATTATATGATGACGGGTACACGTCTGTCGGATGGGAAGGAAACACTGTGCGCAATGAGAAATTGCGGAGAGTGGCCGATGATGGGACGGTGAAATATTTGCCGGCATATTTATTGGAGGATTCCGATGATGAACGGGTTAATCGCGAATGATGGTTTTTGGAGTGTTTTTTATGCTGTTCTTTATACCAACGTTCATATGCTAGATAATTGTAGTTTTGTTGTTGTTGGAGTTTCAACTGGTTATTCTACTTAAGGAGAGTTTGATTCTCTTATTAATTTATTGATGCAATCCCGGTATTGAAAGTTAAAATATGTAATAGATTATGATTTGTAATTATGGTGTTTCTGACTTTCTGTAGGATTCGTGGGAAATGCATATTAATATGCACATGCAAAGCAAAACTCAATACCATCCGATACAGCATTGCTCAATTTTAGATTAGCCTTAATTAATAGTTTAATCTGGTTAGTTTTGTAAGTTCCGAAATTTCGATCGGTTTTAAAATTAGGTAATCTCTCAGTGCTGAAGTTGAGCCTTTTAACATCAAGTCGTTCCGTTATGCTTTTAATACACATTTTTTTGCAAATTTTGCTAAACTTGCATTGATGAGAAAAATGCGCCAATTGTTTGCACCTGGACAACGTGTTATTCGTTTTTGTCGGACGAAGATTGATAAAATTATGAATAATGCTTCATGCTCGATCTTGTGGGATCAATCAAAGCCGTGTTGTGTTAATTTTGTTTGTTCACCAAAATAGTCATCGCGCTGTTCTGATTCAGCAACCGGTTATAAGCAAATGCTTCGTTCGTATTAGAATTCATTACTTTCCCAGCTACCACTTGGCGGTCGAAAACTATGGTATCTTTTCATACTTAAGAAATAATAGAGGTTTTGTATACTTGCAAAGTACGAGCAGCGTCAGGCTTTTTCATAATCATTAGCATATTATTGTTGTGTCATAACAGCCGGCAGGCTTCACTTCCGTATTCCTTTTAAAGCTATTGCTGCTGTTTAATGGTGTTTGTTCGCTAGCGCGTGCAAGAAATTAAGTACTTATGTACTTGAAAGTTTACCTGCTGTGTCGTTATTTACCAATAGTTGACACTATGACAGCAAGAACTTGCGCCTCTTTTACGTTGTGATACCCCAATATTAATTTTAATTGCTCTGTCCGGATCCCGAAGACAAGCGTTTGGAAAAGGTTAGTCGTAAGCATTACAATAGGCTTGTTCATATTATACAGACAGTTATAGTAGGATACAATTTAAAGATATTTCGTATGGGATGGAATTTTATGTGCACTACTCGGGTAATGAAAATAGTGTATTTTGCCGAATATGATTATATAAACGTAACAATCTGCTACCGATCTAGTTTCAAGTTTTGGATTAACAGTTGTATACGTGCAGCTAAGATCTTGCTAACATGCCGTTTACACTGCACGTTGGACCGCCAACCGGGACTCTGGAGAGCCGTTCATATGATACGAATTACGGTTTCTGTCTGCATGGAAATAACACTCGTGGCGCGCAGCCGGAAAGATGTCCTGTCTGCAGCTTTGGACCACCACCACTCCCGCACTTTGATGGATTTCGGGATGCCGGCAGATGGTTGAAAAATTATTGGGGTCCTTATGGAATTGGCGGTCCATGGTACGTACAGAAATGATTTTAATGAATCGCTTCTGTATAATAAACTGCAGAAACTGCACTTGCTGCAGAATGGCTTTTTAGTTGCGATAAAGTACAACTTCGATAAAGTACAACTTTATTCTACAGTATTTGTTTTTGGTATAGAAGTACCGCATATAATATAGAGCTGTATTATATACGCTTATTGTGCATGGCAGTTTTGTACGAGTTTAGTTTGATGATTATGGTAGTCAAACAATCATTTTTAGTGAATTGGTTACTAAACCTGCGCTAGCATTCAAACCTTCGACCTTTCCGAGTATATGTTCTGTTGATTGTTTTGATTTCAGGACACTACAAGGCGGCAAAGGATGAATGAAGATTGCATTTTTAACTCATCCTAATAACTACAGGCCACACCAGTAGACATTCCGGACAGAACCTCATCCGCGCTGTACTTTCCTCTGATTAGCTGTGTTTCTAAAAGAATTTCAAGTTACTCGTACGTGTGTGGGTGATGTTTACATCACCTTTGCTTACGGTTAACTGTCGCAGATGCCCATAGGTGTCCCGTTTTGCACGTTTGACCCACGTTTGTTTTCGATGCTCAACATAGACTAAACGTATGCTGCCTGCAGTTCGGGTTTCTGCCAGTGAAGGTTTAATGCATCTGATTTGAGCGTGTAACTCGAGATGACTGTGAACCAAATTTTGTAAGAGATACGAGTATTAAATAGAAATTTTACAGTAATTCTCATAGCTAGAGTAGTATTGCATTTGCGTACAAGTGCATATATACGTATAGACTGCCGGCAATCGCATATAATGTTGCAGGAAGGATTTCTTCTGTTTTTATTTTTGTTTTTTCTAACCTGCACCAGCTGACCGCCAGCGGCCATACAATATCTTATGTTTCACTACATATCTTATAATACAGTAATTCAATGAATGCGCACAGCACCAAGGCGAAAAAATGCAGTACGCGGGATATAAAGGTCATAAACCCTATCGTGCACGAGATCGAATTAACCTTATAGCAATCCTGTGGCCCTTCGAAATTCATCAAATTTCGACGGTTTTGTTGAGCGTTTGGATCCTTGTTTCTATCAGTACTTATTTAAAGCAACCGCACTGTTACTCCATAATTATATATAAATTTACGGTTTGCCCGAAGTATAAGTTCTTTTTGCCCATTTTACAAGCTGTTTTTTCCCGATGGCCAGTGTTCAAGCTCTTGCAAACTACACATGCTCACAAATTTGCGTTCGCATTGTGCCATATCAGCCATGCAGGGGCAGTACTTCGGAAATTTGTTTTATTGTTTGTTGCTCTACCGCCTCTACGTAAAACAAACCGAAAAACGCAGTCTGCCCCTTTTCGAAAAATAACAATATACCTATAATAAATTTTCTGATCGCTGCCAAATCATAGTTTTTGTGCTACGGTGGTCTACAGATACAATTGTCCGTGAGTGCAATTACGTGTTAACCTGTTAACTTGCGAACCAGGTACTGTACCATTTTTTGCTGAAAAAAACGACACGCGCACAGTTTGACTGACACTTGTGAGTCAAAGGGTACGATGCGAATCGATAAGTTACCAGTGTGACAGTGTCCATATATACGAGTTCTACAGATGCAGTGGCTCCAAGGTTCTGATTGAAAACAGAAGCGGCTTTTAGGATGTACAGATACAGGTAACATTGTCGGGAAATAAACAAACACAACCTTTATTAATTTTTCTATCAGGTTATACGGGCCCTTCGTAATCAGTATTTTCACAATTGCGGCAAAAATGATAATGGTACTGTGGAAATTCATTAGTGATATACGGTACTGTATTAGATCGATTTACTGCTAACTTCTATTAACGTTTATTTCTCAAGAAACGCCGGTGGGTTTTTGGGACAACCCATACTCGATTGCAAGGTCTCAAGTTAGCTTCCCAACACGCTCGGTCACCGGAAGGCATGGTGTGCTGGTTGAGAGATGTGGAATGCCTGGTGCGTGCTCGCTTCAGAGACCTTGACGCGTGGTCAGGGTGTACGTATTGAACTTAGCAGGCAAGATCCTTAAATAAAGGAGGTTGTCATTGAAATTACTTTGGTTTTGCAAACTAGTTTAATGTCCGTCTGCGGCTGCAAACTAGTTTTGGAGCCGCAGCGGAGCAAGCCGAAAGGGGAAAGTTATCGAAGCACAGTTGACTGATGCCACGATACGATTTCGTTGCGGCGGCGTTTGAGATTCACGGACCGTGGAGCGGTGGCACTAAGAAACTTGTGGACAAGGTTGGAAGCTGCCTAATATCTGCCACTGGCCAGAAACGCGCCAAAGAGTTTTTTCGGCAGCGTTTGTCTATACTTCGAAGTACAGATACAGCGCGGGAATGCGATATGCGTTATGGGCACGATTCCCGAGCAGGACAGTATAGAAGAATTTTTCTTGTTGTGATTGGGGTGTATCTGCCGCGGATGATTGTTTCATTGTTTTCCGTTGTATTATTAAGTGAAGATTCGTTATTCGTTGCTGTATATTTTGCTGATTTCTTACCAGCTGTAAAAAGACTGCATTCGTACTTATAATATTATACGTTTAATGTCCTTATGTCCACAAGAAAAGTACAGACACCACGGTTTCTATAGTTGCATAAATAATAGCAGTCAAAATTGGTGCGCGGTGGTGACCGACGATCGGACTCCGTATATATGGCTTCCAATACCACTGAAGTCGAGTGAACAGGTGACTTTCGCTACTTTAGCTCCGTTCAATAACAGCACGTCAAAACTTTGCAGAAAAACAGTGCTACAAAAACTACTGTGTGAGATCCGCGTGCTTGCCGTGCAATGTACGAGTAACTTATGTAAGCACGGGACCCATGTTATAAGTTGCTCCTTAGTCCTTACGTACCAGGTTAGTCGGCCCTTACAATACTGTACCTGCTGCAACTGCATGTGGCACAATTTTTTTCACGTGTTGTACATGTTACTAGCAAACGCTATAGCAAAATTACTATAGCAGAAGAACGGCTAGTACGTAATTTTTAAGTACGTACGTATGCACCCTTTGTATTTAAAAGGTTTCAATACCAAAGCGAACCAAACCGCAGCACTTGTTCCACTTTTGATTTATTGTTACAACAAATAAGCATGTGAAGATGTTATTATGGATGGAAGTTGATTTTATGTTGCGGGCAACCACCAAAATGACAATCGGCAGTTACGGTTTTATAAGCGTTGTATTAACATCCACTAGTAATTTTTGACCTTTCAAAATCTATTGCAAAGACATAGCATACATATTACGTAAAACGTTGTATATGTGGAAGTTGAAGCATAATGATTTCCGCAATTTCCTGCTTTCTTGTTGGTAAGGTGTAGATTGCAAAAGTTGTCAAAACGAAGGACAGATGTCAATATTGACATAGAGCAAAGTATTATTAATTCAGCGATTGTTAATTCATTTCTTTGCCGACCATTTGGCGGATAATTAAACACAAGTAAATTGCAGGTTTCGGCAAAAAGCAATTATATATGTGGAGAAACCAGAAAGAAGCTGTTCCAATCATGGTCAGCAACACGCCAGCCATTCAGTGGATTACCTGTTTGCTTCAGTGCAAAGTGACAAAAGCTGACGAGCGCTATCAAAGCACAGCGTAGCCCCAGGGGGGCTAGTTCAATCTTTTTCATAACTCTTGCCACCATTGTCACACCTATAACTTATTAATCACAGTATAAAGTATTTTTCGGTGACTGATGACGATTTAAATCATAGACCGGGCTGCGTTCCAGAAAGCAGGTTCGGAAGCAAACGGAAATTCCATAACTGTAATCTGTGTAAATGACATATTTGATTTTAGATCTTAAGGTGAAGTTGCAGCAAGAAACATTGTAGCAAAGCAGCAAGAAAAATTTGATATCAGAGGTAAACTTACAACGGACTGCCTTTTGTACAATAATAATCCAGTGCCGCTTTCCTTAATTCTCGACCATTCATATTCCGTGCTGCTTGTTATATAGGAGACCTCAAGCAGCAAGCCCTTCCATATTATTGCATAAATTATATTTATACTTCTATAGCTATTCTGCGTATGCCCATACAAGGTATTGTATCTGCTACTGTACATGCAAATTGCTATTCAAAATTTTTAATTAGTTGTGCTAAAGAGCAGACGCGCGTGAGACGTACGTCAGCACTTTATTAGGTAATAACTATATAAGTATTGCACACAAAGAAGTTAAAACAGTGCAACAACAAAAACCATAGTACGCACTGTGCCATTATTTATATATTATTGCGCATTCGCTCAGAAAAACTTTGCTGATTTGCGCCGATCGAAGTGCAAGGCACTAAAGGGCACTTTAATACATACTCGCCTATACAATTCAAAATTGCACCATTTACTCACTCGTCAGCGTTATGGCTTCGTTTTTAGACTGAAGCAAAAATGAATCGTAGAATCATTTTGAATGAATCATTTTTTAACCGGCGTTTTACTTATTAGAAGAAGTACTGAGATACTCCTTATTGTATCAAGACATTTTTCCCTAAAGCGTTCATGAAATATTTCTATTGAAATTCAGAAAGACCACTGACGAAAACCATTACAGCACCGAGCTCAGTCGGCACGCGCTTGACCAAACAACAGTTCAGAATTGTTACTGATTTATGCACTACCAAAAGTTAATCAGTTCTTAACGTGAATTATGTTTAGTGGCGTACTCAATAACCAAATATTTGTGCAGGAAATTTCACAGCAGGATACTGCAGAAGTCAGGCATACTGTGATGAACGCTCTTTTGCGGAATACTAATTAATCAGCACAACATACTTTAGTTTCGTGATGCAGACGCAGGCCGGTAACTTTTTGCGCCCCATATAAATATATATTGAGAACAAAAACTTGTATGAGAACTGTGATCAATGAAAAGTACCAAAGTATTTATTATTCACATTAGAACACAAAAACAGTTAAACGAAAAGGCAAACCAGTTTTTACACGTACGTTATTACGATGTTTTTTTTAGACACCTGGAGTGTTGTTTATCGATATGCTAACCGCACATATGGCCCTTTTTTAGAGAGTCTAGTAGCCACAGCAATATAAGTTCATAAAAATTACACCCTTGCTGGATTGAACGAACAAGGTAATCATTTTCAGGTAATCATTTTTTATTAAATACTTTTATTGTTCGCTCAGATTCTGGCACAGTTGACAGATTTGACAAGAGGACTCATGCAGGACACCTTTCATACAATGTTATGCACACAAAATTCAAACGGACGCAATGCTTATTTTTACTACATGTATTAATCTTCGCCAACAACATCGATTATGTCATTGTCCTCTTCTACTAGTGTATCACCTGGTTCGGCTGTTCTTGACTTTTCTCCCATTCTCCCCGGTGTGCCATTCCCGTCGCTTAAATTTACCGGAGATGTAGCTGCCATCCATCCTCTTGATTCATCATTCGCTGTTAATTGTGATGAAGCTGACTTCTTGTTCGTATTACATGCCGAAGCAACATTGTATGTTGGTAGCCACTCATTGTTTGGTGCCGGATACGTATTAAAGGTCACTGGCTTAAAAGTTTCCGCCGACAGTATGTCATCAATTTTGAACGACTTCCTAACCGGTTTATGTCCACTCCATACAACCGTTTGATTGGAAACAACGAGGTTATTACTATTAAATGGCGCTGTAGGATCGCCGAATAGGCGATAAATGGACGCAGTGGGGATCAGTGCGTTCGTAGCGCGGGGATACATTGGAGGATTGGGACTTGGGCGCCAGTTGCCAGAAAGGTCACATGGTGGTCGAGCATGTACTGGATTAAAAGTGGTCATAGCACAAGATGTATCACATAATTTTTCATTGTCGGTATTGGATTTGTATCGCTTTCTGCGTCGCAGAAAACTGCCATTGTCAAACATATTCCAAGCCTGGACAAGCAAAATTGTGTCGAAACATTACATAATCATGTGTTGTACGTACAATATGACCTATGTTGTATGTATGTACAATATGACATTTTTAAGTATCTGGGAGCTACGGTAAAATATGATTTGAAATAATTTTGTTCATTCTGTTTGTCCTCGTAATTTATCTTTACCTCCGGATGAAGAGTCCAGTAACTACCTTTACCGGGGCGATCTGGTCTGCGAGGAATCTTTACAAAGCAGTCATTGAATGATAAATTGTGCCGTAGCGAATTTTGCCTAAAATAATAATTTCATATAACCTTTGCAATAGACTGGTATACTACCTACTTAGGTTTCGGTCATTATAAGTGTACATTATTGAAAAAGCATGCAGATCTAAAGTTGCAAAAGTTGCAGAAGCACTATAATAATTTCGAAGACACTAAAAGCGTATTTGTTAACTATTATTGTTTCATTCAAATGTTTACAAGACTAACAACAAATAATGTCATTACCATCGCTTCGTATTTTTTCGGTAAAACGAAAAGCGGTCCATGATAAATTTGTAAATATCACTCAGCGTCAGCATTTTTTCTGGAGAGTTTTGGATTGCCATTGCTGTTAATGAAATGTAGGAGTACGGTGGCTTCTTTTCTCCGCCATACGAATTTCGACCGGGACGAGGCATATTTAATCTGGAAAAAATAATGCTGAAACGAATGCGTCCTTTTACGATTTAAGTGTGGCTGTATGCAACTGTTGACCATCTGTTGCACTTTGCACATGTATGACATATGTATGATTTTTTGTTCCGTTTTTACTACATTTACTGTAAAATACAGTGTTTTCTGTAGGTCGTTGGGACACGTTTACAAGATAATCTGGACTAGTATTTCACCGTTAGTATTTGAATATTTCGTGCTATGTAAGTGAAGTCAGCGACGTAAAGAATTTTATGTATTATGTACTTAATGGAATAATTCAACAATAAGTGACAGTTTACCGGTGCATCGTTTACTTAATAATAAACGGCAGTAGTGGTAGTAAACATTTTGGAGAAATCGAATACGAGGCGTGATCTACCGGTACGCGTAACTCATTAAATTTTACTCTTAAATTAGGCTACCAATAGGTAATGCGTCGTTATAGTTGTTATCGTTGGCCACATCCTTACCTGGCTCGCACTAGAAAATTACTGAAGGCAACGTCAAAATGGTCACAAATGTATCCGCATCCACGTGGCTTATCCCGTGTCTGAGTTACCAAAGAATTAGGAGCGCTTATAAATTTTCCACATTCCTTTGCGCAATGACTTTTATGATCATTTTTCAGTAACCTTTCCAAACGGACGCAAATATTTTGCGTTTATGGTATGGGTACATGTAATGCGGCAAACTCGAAGGCAATATGAAACTGTTGCACCACCATCATCACATTGTCTTATGAAAACACGATAATAAAATTATGATCAAAACAAATATTGATTTGTCCCACACTTGATAAGGGCTTGAACCAATATTTGCATTTGCGATCAGGTGTTAATTGGTTCTTGGATATAATTGACTCCACTTGTGTACAAAACCAACACAGCGGTGACCAAATATTGTTGATAACAAATTCACTTTGTACCGTCAGAACTTATAAGCTCTATTCGCACGTTCAGATATTTGTGGCAACAAATTCCATTTGTGTGATGAGATTTGGAGAATTTGTCTCCGCCGTTGTTCTGTCACAGCCCGTAGGCGATTTTGGTTGAATTCAATCATAACTGTCCACTTGCACGGCAATGTACACACTTCTTATTAACACCCATTGATTCTAAAGCAATCTGTCTTATGGGACATAAATGTATTCTTTTGTATTATGAGGCATTATCTTTCATTCGCTTGGCGGCTTAGATCGAAGGGTGTAGCTACGGCGATGGCCATTTGCAGCGCGACAATCTTTGAGCAAACAATGATGAAAACGATCATAATGAAAACAGTTGACGTTAATGATTTTCTATGTTGAAATGCCTGAATAAACTTTAGTCGACTTCTGGTACTAAAACAAGACCAAATACAGCACATGGTGCAGCTGCTGCTGCAATCAAACTATATGATGTATTGTACATAATAATCTCGCTACATATAGTGCTGATTCAGTAGTATCATCGTTATGGAAAAATTTCAAAACACAGTTAGAAATATTTGTATGACCCCAGCGTACAAAAGTTCGCGAAATACATAGAAGTACGAGCATTATAATACTAAGAAACCAGAAATGTAAATGCATGAGAGCGTGCGAATATGCAGATGTGAAATGGTTATTGTAGATAATTTCAGTAGCTGTCGTACTCCCCGAATTATGCTAGATACGACATTTTCATACTCAAGTGATCGAAAAGTAAGCCTGGCGTGAATCACGTTTCCTGCATGTATTTTTTCGAGGCAAGATTTGCAGCAGCCAGGTTTAAAAGTCCACGTACTGTACGCTGAAATATTAAATGCCATGATCTCAACCACGTAAATGCGCCAGCCGAGTTTTGGGTACGTATTTCGTATTTCCCGATTTATTTACGAGTAGCAAAAGTGCCACAAACATTCATAATACCATCGTGCATGGACCGGTTATGGTTCGATTCAGTTACCAGTTGTTTTTGATATGGTATTATTCCTCATAATTGCAATTAAAATGAAGAAAAGTGAATATCTGAACTGCCGCGTATCTGTATGGGCAGTACGTGCCGTTCAGTAATTAAACTTAAAGTCAACTGCAGTATTTCTAGTTTCTACTACACAAACAGCTGACGTTCTTGGAAATATTTACACGGACACTGCATACTGTGAAGTGTGAGTTCGTAACAACAGTTTTCCGTACTGTATCTGGCTGCTGATCAGTAAGGTGGCGATCACCCTTCATGGTTAGTGCGATTACTTACAGTATATAGATATAAGGCATATGTATGTAATAATTACTTGTACATACAGATATAAGGACCTAAGGTATATAAGGTTGTTGGGATGAAAGGTTGCCACAACCGGCAACGATGCGGCAGAGTACGCGACGCGCTCAAAGTGGTCCGACTGGGGAGACGCTCGTTCAAATCATCCCATGCCGCAAGATTCGTGTTTTTAAGCGCGAGATACAATACTCGTACGGTAGTTTTTCGAACAGACAGCCAGACATCAAGGACAAAACAAAAATTTCTCCGCTCTAAATATATTGTAGCACTGACAAACCTTTAGCAGTATTTTTTACCCATATGTTCTGGGAATAACTGAAGCTATTACCTTTCGTTTTTGCCAAAAATTGTACTTATCTGTGTTATGCCGGAAAGCAAGAACCCAAAGGGCCAAAGTACTTGCTGTTTTGTACTGCTGGCGGTCGAAATCTAATCGTAAGTATGGTTCGGGCGAATCGGTTCATATGGTCGTTCACTAGCCAGCCGAACCGTATGCCGTTCTGATTTAGAATGGGCATTCGTGGACCGTGGCCCGTGAGACGAACCGCTAAAGAATCGCTTGTTACTATTCGCCCAGTTGGTTTTTGAAGGCGGTCATTGGATGAAGTTCATTGCTGTTCATCTAGAGTTCATTAATCACGGTCAAGTGTGGGCCGAGGAACAATAGTCGCTAACGCAGCCGTTCAACTTCGTTTCTGCTGTCAGTGTGGTGCTCTGTGGGTCGCGACTCGCGAGAAGTAGATTTGGTCACTTCCATCTTCCAACAGTGTAAAAGGCTTCTTCATCTCCCCTTTTACTTGAATAAGGTGTTCGAAATTATTCTGGTGGCAAAATGCGTGAAATCGTCCATTTACAAGCTGGCCAGTGTGGTAATCAAATTGGATCCAAGGTGCGCCGTTAACGTTTGATAGCAGTTCTGAAATTTTTGTTTTGATGAGGTTGACAGGTTCGTGGGCATTTATATTATGTACACAACTCTGAATCTTTTTAGTTTTGGGAAACCATTAACGGAGAACATGGCATCGATCCGACGGGGTCATATGTTGGAAACAACAGCAATGAACTGGAAAGGATCAATGTTTACTATCAGGAAGCTCCAGGTAAAAACAAGGGAAAAAATCATGAGAGTTGTTAAACTGATAATGAGACAACGGCGAAAACGCTTATCATTTTAGTTAAAAATGTAAACAGTAAACCTGAAGTAAAGACAAAAAAATGTATTTAACTGGTTTGACACGTTTAATATACGCTTAATTTATTATTTATTATCTTGATTTTGGTAAGATTATTTATTTGATATCAAAATTTGTTAAACATTTTTCCAGCTTTTTGTTAATCACACGGTACTGGGTACATTTCACAGATTCACTCAAAATTGATGGAATATGTAAGAAACTGATATAGATTGAATCGTAAGCGTTACAAATTTAGTCAGGAAAGTAGCACGAGTCCGTTGTGCTGGTGCTGTTGTTGACGGGAAGATTGGAAGAACCGTAATTAAGGTCTTTCCAGTTTTGGCAGTTGCTAACGTTAACGTTGCAGGTGCAAAATATGTGCCTCGTGCGGTCCTAGTGGATCTGGAACCCGGAACTATGGACGCTATTCGATCCTCTGAATATGGCCAGCTATTTCGACCTGATAATTTCATTTTTGGTGGGTAGAATTGACCGTTATAATTACCATCCAAGTTCCGTTTTAGACTTTTAGTAGAATGTACCGTGCACTTATTGCATGTTGTCATTGCATTAAACGTGGGTAATCAATTTAGCAAGCAGTACGGGTACACTGGGTTAATAAAACCACTGCTTTTGTGGCATTCTTAATGTTTGTTTGTGTAACTTATTGTAAAAACTAAAATGTAAATGGGAAGTTGCATTGTGTTGCAAAGTTGCAGTCTGACGTTTTCTCGTCAGTGGACTGTCTGTTTTAATTGTGCGATTGGACCGTTGGTGGACTATGAACTGTGCGGAATGTGTGATCTGCTTATCTGCATGGCCGATCACGCTGACACTTGACGGTCCGGCTTTGCGTTGGCGTTCCGTTTCCCGCTTATATATTTGCACCTTTGAATTAATTAATTTTCCAGCATGTTCAACATGTTGTTATTTACAGGTCATAGTGGAGCTGGGAACAACTGGGCTAAAGGACACTACACCGAGGGAGCTGATTTGATTGAGACGGTGGGTTTGCGAAATTGACGCAAACATGTTGAAAGCCGGAACTAATAAAACACAATAATGACTGTAGGTAGTGGATGTCGTGCGAAAGGAAGCGGAGCACTGCGATTGTCTCCAGGGTTTTCAGCTGACGCATTCTCTCGGTGGCGGAACTGGTTCGGGGATGGGTACTTTGCTGATATCGAAAATCCGAGAAGAATTTCCCGATCGTATTATGACCACATTCAGTGTTGTGCCGTCACCAAAAGTAAGTTCACGGTTCGAAATGTTTTAACGACATCACTGGTTTAAGGGCTCGGTTATACAATCATGTATACAGTATAAATATCTGAAATAACAATATTTAGGTGTCGGACACAGTTGTTGAGCCGTACAATGCCACTCTGTCGGTACATCAGTTAGTGGAGAATACAGACGAAACATTTTGCATTGATAACGAAGCTCTGTACGATATTTGCTTCCGCACACTGAAGATGACCAACCCGAATTATGGCGATCTGAACCATTTGGTGTCTGCCACAATGTCCGGAGTGACGACTTGTTTCCGTTTTCCTGGTCAGCTGAATGCCGATTTACGTAAATTAGCCGTCAACATGGTGCCCTTCCCGCGTCTTCACTTCTTCATGCCGGGCTTTGCTCCACTGACCTCTCGTGGGTCGCAAGATTACCGTGCCCTAACAGTTCCCGAATTGACCCAGCAGATGTTTGATTCACGAAATATGATGACGGCCTGTGATCCGCGTCATGGTCGCTACCTCACCGTGGCCGTGATCTTCCGTGGTCGCATGAGCATGAAGGAAGTTGACGAAAACATGCTCAGCGTCCAGAACAAGAACAGCAGGTAAATTTTAATTATTTGTTATTATGAAGAAATAGAAAAATCTAGAACGGATAGTGTTGGCTATAAATAGATATTTTTATTTGAAAATTAGTTCTGTTTGATCCACTTCAGTTTACGTTGCTTAAAACAATTAACCACATCAAACGTTCGATAGTTGGCAATCGTATTAATTTTATAATGCTATTTGGACGGTCTCAGTCTTCAGTTCATAAACAGTTAAACTTTATCATTTTTCGACGCTTCTGCAGTCTGCATACGTTGTACTCAATGGTTTAATCACGCATTGAGAACAAAAGAGTGCATATTTGTCTCTAGGGCCTTGGCACCGGTTTGTAATGCCTTCCTTGAACTTGTTGCCCTTCCTATTTTAGCTTTGTTATGCACCGCTTATACAGATACATCAGTAGACGCTGGCCACTCACGCACTGAATCTTGCAATACAAATAGTACGGTAGTCCGGTACACCCTGCGTGATAATAAAACATCAGAAATTTTGTGTAAACACTAGAAAATTTTGTTAGGTAAATAATTGTATAGGTTTAAGTAGTGTATTTTGCCACAGTCCTTTGATTTTTCCACAGCCATTTCGTCGAATGGATTCCCAACAATGTTAAGACGGCAGTGTGTGACATTCCGCCTCGTGGTCTGAAGATGTCCGGCACTTTTATCGGGAACAGTACCGCCATACAGGAAATTTTCAAGCGAATTGGAGAACAGTTCCAAGGTAAAGAGTAAATTAAAGGCATTGAAGCGGTTTCATGGTACATGTAGTAATTTCGAGCATAAATCACTGCATAATGAAGAATGCGCTTTTTCCCGCCATAATGTTCCAAAAGATTGATATCTAAACGTTACGATGTGATTGCAGCGATGTTCAGGCGTAAAGCTTTCCTCCATTGGTACACTGGTGAGGGCATGGATGAAATGGAATTTACTGAAGCGGAGTCTAACATGAACGATCTGATCTCCGAATATCAACAGTACCAAGAAGCTACGGCAGACGATGAAGGACAGTTCGACGACGAAGCAGTGCCTAATGGTCATATTCAGGAGGCCGCTTGAGTTGTTATATTTTTGTGCCCTTGAAAACCATCATGCTACTCAGATTTTTAATTTTCATGTTTTCATATCTACGATGGTGGTATTTTTTAGTGTAAAGTAGACTGCGACCTTTTTGATTATTATAAAATTGCTTAGTAGCGATGTTTGGAAAATTTGTGCATGACTTCTCCGTAGAACTAGAATGCGTCGCAGCGTTTTTCTTTTCACAATTGGTCATTATTTTCATGCGGTGTGTAGCATCAGTAATTATTGTCAGCATCTGCCTTTATAATCTCGTACGGAATTATTCTGGCTTGTACATTAAATTTAAATCTAGTACACTGCAGAATAATGAGATAGTACTAATATTCCGGAAGACTGCAACAACAGATGCTTAGCAAAGTTAGCATAGCAGAGATAGCCTGATAAACTGTCGGCTCGCAACTGGTCTCGCCAAATTTCATTCACGGCAGTGACGGCACGTCTAACTTTAGTAAAAAAAATGCTCAAAAAGAATAACTTATGAAATTTTTTCAAATGCATATGAAGTATGTCGGAATTGGATCTGGAGTGGTTCGGGACTTTGGCCGTCGGGAACGTGAACGGGTCCGGAGAGAGTACGAGAAGGGCCGACTGCGCTGTCGGGGCAGCACTGCTATGTACTTATGAGTTATGGTTAGTAGCCTCTATCGTCAATGGTGACCACTGGCCAGCTTGACTATACTCGTATATACGATAAACAGTAAACACCCATTTGGCCATTTCTAATATTACACAGTTGAACATCTTTTTCGTTTTTGCTGTTACATATTTTTGCGAAAATCTTATGTTTCCGAAAACAACTTCTTACTTACAGATATGCGAAAGTTGACGAAACAAACCGAATCGGCGAATCCTCAACATATGTCCTAGTGGCGACCGCCTACGTTTGACAGCGAAAGATTACAGTAGTATTTTATTACCCTACAGCTGTTAGGGATGACGCTAGTACGTCACCATCTCCCGTGCATATGCAGTACTTATTAGCATTACACGTACGTCTTATCATTACCTGTTGCACCGCATTAACTGTGTTTAGCACTTGGCTCGATAGTCAAGACAGGTACGAGCAGTACACATACGATCAGCATTACACTGTTGCGATAACACTGGGCTTTGAAGTTCTGATCCGCTGAATGTTTTGTCAGAGAACTTTAGTCGAGGAGTTATGATCGCACAGCTCTGGAATTTCTTATGATTACTGGTTTCGACTAATAAAAGCGTAACGGAAGTCGAGCGGTGTTTCTCCCGTAGATTTTCATAGAAAATCGTTCTTCTTCCTAGCCTGCCCCGTGGCATGGCTATCATGGTAGCAGATACTAAGATCCGCCAAATCTGAGCATAATTTCATATTGGAAGCAATATCTCATCTTTGTCGGAAGTTGGTGTGGTGGACGCTGATTCTCCAAAGCAATATCGTCGTGAACTTTTATTGTACAGCATTGCCCTTTATTGGGATTAACTGACAGCAATATCTCGAGCCTAGTTGCAGAGTTTTGGTTTTCGTGGACTGCGGAGCGGTGAGCCACGGTGCGCGAAACCCGTGCAGTTTGGACGTGGGGTGGTGTTGCGGTGAGACACGGTTCCCGAAACTCCGTGCAGCAAGGATTGTGGATAGTCGAAGCAGTGAGTTGCCAGCAAGGCTGGTTAACTGTTTGAAACTTTCACCTTACAACTGCAGTTTTCCTTTTCTTTTGGTTTCGTTTTGAAAATTAACTGGAAGTAAGGGACAACAGCATTGTACACAGCATTAATCTCGCATTTGACAAAATACACAGCAGTTTATCTTTTGTACAGCATTTCACACATTTAGACACAGCATATTTCAGGATTAAAATACAGTTTTACAGACTGTATTTTAGCATTGGAAACATTAATTTTTCGCATTATTCTGACCTTTTAAAGTCGGAATTTTTAAAATTTCCGCATTAAACGATCAACGTCTGACCTAGACGTTGAACGGCAGTGCGTCATTTGTCTCGAGCGTCAACCTGTTGCTGCCTGAACAGCCCAGGCACAGCATTTCCGCATAGCAGCTCATTCAGACTGGCACAATTCATTGTGCCAGCTGAAGATTTTAAACTGTGATAAGCACGTGCCTAGCACGCCTTGCACTAGAAACTGAAAACAAGTTACGTAACGCGTGCAGCATGTAGCTGCACGCGCCCTGCATTACTGATTGATTTGTCGGTGCATAATTTCAATAAAGCGATATATCTGTAATTAAAGCAGTATTGTGAAAATCTGTAGGCAGCATGGAAGAGAAGCGGTCTCCTGTGAGAGACTTGCTTAATGCTGTCGGAAGTCGCATTTTCAAACCGGCCCAGGTCGTTAATAAACCTGGTGCACAAAAGCAGCAAGAAGAAGCAGTCGGAAAGAAAACTCAGAAAAGTAAAGCAGTATCCAGCAAAACAGCAGCAGTAAAACATAATGTGAATACTCGTGCGCATGCTCGTGCGCATAATCCGCAGTCAGCGTTTGCATTATTAGCTGATGCTGCCATTCAAAATACAGGAGCGGCAGCATTTGCGCGTAGCAGTAAACTGCAAAGATCACCAGCATCTACATCGGCACTTAGCGCACTTAGTGCTAATGCCGAAAAATTACCGGAAAGGTCAGCATCATCAGCCTCGCAGGTTTCGTATCAGTCTATCGCTAGCAATATCACTCATGATTCAGAATTAATATCAATTTCTGATCGCGATCAAGAAATTGCATTTGGTGACGAGCATGAACTGACGTATATTGATAAAAGTCAACAAGCATTGTCGAAGCAGTTACCTGTTGATAACGGTGATAATAATGAGCATATTGAACCTTCTAGCAATGAGTCGGATATTCCGCTCAATTTATCGGTCAACAGATCTCCATCTGAGGAGAGTCTGTCCAGTAATCCAGCATTTCATTCTCCGATGCATAGTTCTCCTAAAGAACTTTTACCGGAAAATACGCAGCAGCATTACGATGAAATTCAAGCATTATTGCATAAGACACAGCAAGATTTGGTAGATACGAGTAATCGCTATAAGGAATTAACTGAGCATAATGAAAAATTAAAAGCAAAATTACTGAAAGCACATGATGAAATTTTTCGTCGTAGAGAAGAAAGTAAGCATGCAAATGATGTCTGCAAGGCATGGTCAGAAGAGAAGAAGCAATATGAACAAGTTATTGAAGCGCATGAAGCAACTGAAACAAGGTATAAAGCAGAAATTGATCGGCAGTTCCAAGTACTAAATTCTTGGAAGCATGAAATTATTAAGCTCCGTGCAGAAGCAGAAGAGCATAATAAAAGCATACCGCAAGCAGAGGCTATTACTAAAATGGCTGATCAGTTGAATAAATATAAGGATAAATATAAGCATGAACAGGCTGAGCGTCTAAAAATCTCAGAAGAATTAACGGCCACAGTAAATTCCTCGCAGATGTATAAAGCACATGGAGAGCAATACGAAAAGTTGTATGAAGATTTGCATAAAGAACATGCTGGATCGTATCGCAGAATTATTAAAGCATAAATGTGTCATTAATAAGCAGCATAAATCAGCAGTAGTTGACATCAGTGATGATGATGTTGAAGCTGCACCGGTTGTACGGAGAGCAGCCGAATCTCAGCAAGATGATATTACGCAGAAATTAATTACCGCATTACAGGCAGTAAAGCCCGCAGTACACTTTAAAGGCAAATTTAGCGGTAACAAGGACGATGTGGAATCGTTCCTTGTTCAACTGGATAAGACCGCATTAACGTACGGTTGGGATGACGCAACTAAAATTATTGAATTCAGCAATGCATTAGAGAAAGATGCGAAGCAGTGGTACGGTTCTGCATCTGTCGCGGTGGATGCACCGACCAGCTTCGACGAATGGAAAAAAGCATTTGTGGAGCGCTTTGGCGATCGCGATAAAGCAATTAACGCATTAAATAAATTAGCTACGAGAACATTTGATAAAAATAAGGAAAGCATTGATGCATACTATCAAGCAATGTGTACCTTGCGCGACCGGGCAGGTTTTGCCGGTCCGCCGGAGCATTTCGTGAATTACCTCATCCAAGGGTTACGCACGTTTAAAGCATTAAAGGATGATATTGTTCTGCGCAAGCCACGTACGCCCGCTGAATTTCTAAGCGAGGCCAGGTACCTAGAATCAATGATGCCCAGTAGATACAGTACAGATGAGTACTCGGTAAATGTACTGCAGCAGTCTACTTCCGGCAATATTGTACAGCAGAAGCCGTTTAACCCGGCAAATAAATTTAATAGACAGCAGTTTAGAAGCAGTAATCGAGTAAATCCAGCAGCAAACAGCAAGCTGTCGTATGCGCAGGCAGCTGCGCAGCCGGCAACTGTGAGCAATAATCAACCGGCACCACAACAGCAGTCGCGTGCCGGTCCGCAGCAGGGCCCTCGCAATGTGCGTACCACACCGCGCCCTGGTATACCGTATTGTACGCATTGTGTAGTGGAAGGCCACATAACAGAGAACTGTTGGTGGAAAGACCTTCCACAACATCAGAACCCTAATTATAGGAAGTACCATTGGCCTAGCGGTGAACAACGAACACGCAGGCAGTTTGAGGCATTCCAGGCTAGGAGAGCAGAAAGGTCCGGCTCCTCGTCGCCGGCCAGCTCACGCAGTACATCGCCTGTATTGAGGCAAGGTGGTAACGGCATTGGTCGAGGGAACCCACGGGCGCCGGTATTCCGGATGCCCGAGGGACCTCCGCCTGTATCCCAGCAGAATGCATTTGCAGCATTTATGCCGGATAATGAACCAGACAGTTCAGACAGCAGTGACAGCAGTAGCGTTAGCAGTGAATGCAGTGAGTCTTTAAACGAGTAAGGGCGGCAGGTCCTGGCACTGCCAAGCCCAAACCACGTAAACCGCCAGATAAACAGCATGTGAATGTACAAGGATATACAGTATATATTCCACAGCAATGTACTTTGGTACACGCTTCTGTGCAGCAAGTTGGCACTGTAGTTTCTGAACCAAAGCATGAAAGGATGTTGTTTCATAATGTTAAAATCAGCAATATGCAAGTCAAAGCATTAATTGATACAGGGGCGGAAACGTCCCTGATATCACAAGCATTTTGTGCTGAAAACAAATTACGTACTTTACCGTTAAATAAAGCACTACATATCTGTGGAGTCGGTGGTAGCCGTTACTTCACCGTGACTCATTATTGTCAGCAATATGTAACAATAGGACAGCAAAGAATTTTGCACAGCATGTATGTAAAACCAACATCGGATAAAATATTACTAATTCTGGGACAGGATTTCCTTAAACAAGCAGCGTACACAGTCGAAAAGAACAAACTAGTCAGTATTAAGTTCCTGCAGCCGGTTGCTGGCGACCGGTCAAAGCAGCTGATCACTGCCTCTGTAGGAAATGTATCAGCTTTCCCCAAACCAGTGGCACTGGTCCAGGAAAAAGCTGCGGTATTGCGCGCGCCTAAGACCTTTTCTAAACCCGTAGTATTGGCCAGTACTAGGGTTGACGTAAACAGTAACCTTCTGAAGGAAATCGAAAGTACTTGTCAATATTCCCAGAATTATGTAACTTTGAAAGAAAAGCATGGTAATGCAGTAGTTGAAAGGAAAGTAAAAGCACGAGCATTTATATCGGCAATAAATAAGTACTCCGCACATTTGCTTGAGCAACATGAAGCGAAATCTTCCCCTGTACCAGTGGCACCGCCACAAGTACAGTGTAAGAAAACTAATAGCAATAAAATTGTTGTACCAGTAAACCAGCAGCAGAATAAAGCAGTAAATACTGTATCTAGCACTACTGTAACTAAACGCAATGGTAATGTTATACGTGAGCTTGATGATAGAATGTTGCAGCATTTATTAGCATATCGTCAATGCGAAAATTGGAAGCGAGAAATGCATGTTATATTGCGTGATTATAGCCACAGCATTATGAAGCTGCATAAATTAAAGCAGAAGTATGAAAAGCATGGTTATTCGCAATATGAAATTGAAGAGTTTAATCGTCTCAGCAGAGAGCATGATGAACTGTTTACCGATCTGTATTACCATACAGTACAACGGCGTCGAGAACTAAAATCCTCGTTAAAAGCATTACATATTGCAATGCCGGAAATACTTAAAACTCCTATAAAGCAATTTTGGCGACAACCAGGTTTAGTTTTCCGAAAGCAGTTGTTTAAAGCATTTGATGCCGAGCCAAATTTTTTAGCACCCCCGCAAGTAAGGTCAGTGCGCCCTAAAATGAATATGAGAAAGCAAGTTAGTTTTAAAGGGACTACGCAGGTTAAAGTCTATGACCACAGTAGCCCAGCATCTGCTGTAAAATCACGCAAAATTATTGTTAAAGCAAAGCCTAAAAAGGGCGCACTGCCGTTGGATAAGCCGTTAATTTTGCAGCCGTACGAATGGCCAATTACGAAGAAAAATCGTGCTAAGAAAGAAGTTAGCGAAACTATTGTTTTTAAAACTCATCCGTACGATGCAAATAACGAGCAGTGTACGAGTACAGATAATAACGAAGCAATTAACCACAATAATGTCAGCAGTAGTGAACCACTAGAGAAATGTACGAGTACTGATGATAATATTACGGTAGCAGTGGATAACAATACTGCAGATACTGAAGCATTTATTAATAACATTACAGCAATAGAAGAACCTGAAATTAAGGAAAAATTTCGCATCAGAGCAGTAAACGTGTATGCATCGGAATCGTTCATTTTACCCGCTAAAGAAGTAACTTGGACATCTGTTTGGCGCTAAGCCGAAATACGGTCAAGAGTTGAAACTGAATTGTTCATGTTCTCAGCTAATCCAGCATTATATTCCAAAGCAAGATTAGTACCGATAGAAGGACTAGTAAAACCAGAGAATAGAGCATTCTGACGTACAGATTGCTAATTACAGCAATCAGAAGCGCATTATTAAAAAAGGCACTTTTATCGGCATTATAGAGACGTACGAAGAGGTCGAAGGTCCGTTGGTATTGGCTACTAGCATTAAGGAGCGTACTCCTGAAGAGGTACAAGAAATTAAGGAAGCAATATCGCAAATGAATTTCTATGAAGGCTTAACGCCCGATGAACGCAAAGAATGGGAAGAACTATTTCTGCAGTACGGAAATGTTTTTCCTACAAAAAGCCGCATGTTTAATACGGTAGATACGTCGGTAAAGCATCACATCGATACGGGCGATGCCCGTCCGATAAAAAGCCAGCCTCATCGTACGAGTTGGCGAGGTCGTCAACTCATACAGCAGCATGTCAATGATATGCTATTAATGGGAATTATCCGACCAAGCAGTAGCGACTGGAGTTTTCCTGTTGTACTTCCAAGTAAGCGTAACGCAGACGGCAGCATTGGTACACGCTTCTGCGTAAATTATATTAAATTGAATAATGTCACTAAAAAGAATAACTATCCACTCCCAAAATCCAGATGAGGTTTTAAGCAATGTCGCAGGATACAACATTTATTTTACGTTTGATTGTCAGTCTGGATTTTGGCAAATCCCGATGGCTCAAGATAGCATTGAAAAGACAGCATTTGTTACGCAAGACGGCCTGTGGGAATTCACCCGCATGCCGTTTGGTGTTTGCAATGGACCAGCCACATTCCAGGCTGCCATTGACAAGGCATTGATTAAATTAAGGCATTTAAATATTTTCGCATATTTAGACGACATAATCGTCCCAGCCAAAACATTGGCTGAAGCTAAACAAAAATTCAAGCATTATTTAAGTGTCTAGAAGAAGCAGGTTTTACTGTGAAACCGAGTAAATGTCATATCGCAAAGCCTGAGTTGCATTTCTTGGGCCATATCGTCTCCCAAGCATGGAATAACTACAGATCCGATAAAATTAAAGCAATAGAACAATTTAAGCAGCCTACTACTGAGAAAGAATTACGATCTTTCCTCGGATTGGCAAATTACTATAGAAAATTCATTAAGCAATATGCGCACAAAACTAAGGATTTGTACCTCATTACTGGCAAAAGATGCCGATGTGAAGAGACTGGAATGAAAAGCATGCATTAGAATTTGTTGATATTAAAAGCTGCATTGAGCAATGCGCCTGTACTTGCAAAATTTGATTATACGAAAGCCGATAACAATAGAATGTGACGCCAGTTATACTGGCATAGGAGCAATATTGCATCAGGACGATCATCCGATCGCCTATGCAAGCCGATTACTGCATGCAGCTGAAAAAACTACGCAATAACTGAGCTAGAATGTTTAGCTGTTATTTACGCAGTACGTAAGTTTAAGCCATACATTGATCATGCGCCGTTTACGGTGCAGACAGATCATCAAGCATTAGCAAATCTTTTGAGATCTGCATCTCACAAGCAAGGTTTAAATGGTCGTTTGACGCGTTGGGCATTAGAGCTGGTAGTTGGATATTACTATTAAATATCGCCCAGGTAAAATGTGCGATAATGCGGATGCATTAAGCAGAAATCCTGTTGACCCAGCCATCCCCGAAGATGACTGGGATGATTATTTTAGCACTCGTGACATTCGTATGGTTAGCATTACCCACCCGGAAGGGACGGCTGAAACTGAGCTTGAAGGTGAAGATGTCGAAAATAATTTTAAGTTCTTAAGAACCGAGCAACTGCGTGATCCGCATATCGTAAAAGAAATTAACTCATTAAAAGAAAAAGAGGAATCTGGAGCAATAGTTGCAAAACCGCAGCATTACCAGTTGTGGAATGGTGTTCTGTATCGCATTGCAGTAGCAAATGATAAGTACGTGCGAAAGTTCGTCGTACCAAGACATATGGTAAATGGTTACATCCGCATTAATCATGACGTGCCGGCGTCTGGCCATCTAGGCAGACAAAGGACGTACAATCAGATAAGCGCACGCTTCTACTGGGACAATATGGTCAGTGACATCGATAAATATGTAAGCAGTTGTTTGGACTGCCAGTTGAGGAAATCGCAACGTAAGCCGCAACCAGGTAAACTTTTGCATGTTCCCGTTGGTGAACCGTTCTACCGCATGCAAATCGACATAAAAGGTCCGTTAAAGCAATCAAAGAGCAAAAATAAATGTATCATCGTAGCAATAGATGAACTGACTAAGTTCGTAATAGCGAAAGCAGTACCAGATGAAAAAGCAATAACAGTAGCACAATTTCTCATTTATGATGTGATTTTACCGTATGGTGCTCCGCAAGTACTTAATTCTGATAGAGGATCGCACTTTATGAATCAAATAATAGAAGCAGTGGCAAAGTTGACGAAGATAAAGCACCATTTTGGTACCGCATACCACAGCATCGGTCGAGGTCTCGTAGAGAGACAAATGCAGTGGATAGCAGATAGCTTATCCATGTATGCGCAGAAAGGCACCCAGGATCGCTGGGATGAGTTTCTTCCTTTCGTTGTTGCAGCATATAATCGGACAGTACATAAAACTACAAAGCATTCGCCTTTTACATGCTTTATGGTAGGGAGCAAACGTTGCCCATTGATACCATTACGAAGACTAATCTTCCTGAGGACTACGTCTCTGTAGAAGATTATTTAGATCGTTTAAAATGGAAATTAAATCGAGCGCATGAAATTGCTCGTATTTATATTCAGCAAGGTTACGAAGCATCAGCAGAGCAGTATAATCGTAAGAAAGTCGATGGCGATTTTCGAGTCGGTGATTACATACTTTTACGTAAAGCAGAGCAGTCGAAAGATGAAAATAAATCATTACGTAGCCGTTATGATGGTCCTTATGTGATTGAGGATATTCCTCGTCCAAATACAGCAATAATTAAATTACTATCTGATTTGAGCAATGTCCAGGAAGTAGCATACCAGCGCATGAAACCTTATCGTGGCAAACAATCTGGCGAAAAGATTGTTTTTAAGCCATCGGAAATGCTTAATTACAGCAATACTGATAAAAGCAGTGATAGCAATAATAATGTACCTAGTACATCAGCAGAAAACAAGTCATTGAAAGTGAAAATTAAACGCAATAAGCTGTCAGTACCTACTACCGTACTGAAAAAAGCAGAATCTTTGCCAGCTGATATTGATAAATTAGTGGATAATAACGATGTGCGCAATAGTGGCCAACAACCTGTTGAGAAAGAGCGCAATAGTACTGTAGTTACTTCTGATAGCAATAATGTTGTTAACGAGAAGGAGCAGTCAGATACTGATAGTAATTACAGTACTGAGCATTCCGATAATGACAACAGCAATAAAATTAATAAACCCGCAATAGTTAAGAAAGTAATTCCGGAAACTACCGCAGTAGTACGCCCAAAGCAAACAATAGCTGATTTACGCGCACGTGAACTTGCAGACGCGTTTAGTAAAGAAAATCAGGAAATTGTTAACCGCATGTTACGTGGTACATCCCGCAGAAAACCACTGTTTCCGCAGTAGTATGTAAGCAGTACTCGAATTGCATTAAGCAGTCAATGGCTATCATGGTACAGAGCAGTCGTTTTGTTATCAAGCATTAAATTCTGATTGTACTCGTATCTACGAGTACATAAAGTCTGCATGTAAACCGTAGCACTTATCGTGCTTACGAATAATTTTAATGTCCCATACTTCTATTGAAAATAAGCAGTAAATTTAACTTTAATTAATTTGCAATAAATTGCAGTTGTGAGTAGATGAAAGTACAGCAGGTTACTCCACAATAGCAAGCATTAACGCAATTGTTTTCTGTAGTTATGGCCGACCAGCAGTGTCCGAACTGTGCCCGCACAGGACGCTTGTGTGTGACGTGCATCCTCAAGCAGGCGCCGAATGTACAACAGCGCGTCTTTATGCTGCACCTGGAAGCACTACTGGGCAATTACCAGGCATTCCAGTGTCTCCTGTTGCGCGCCCACTGGGAGCATGTCATCGTCAACCGTGACTACTACGAACAAATTCGTGTCGCAGTCGATCATTTCCGCAGTACGAAGGATGGCTGGAGCAAGGCACAGCATGTACCGACATGGGACGAGATGAAAGCACAGGAGCAGCAGCATCACCAGCTCATGTCGCAAGCACGCCAGCAGTTGAACGCTGAAGAGCAGCCTCCAGTCCAGCATGATCAGTCTGCCGTAGCAATGCCAGCCGCCTTAGTTCAGCAGCAGTGGAATACCGTTGGTCGTCAGCCGTTTGGTGCACGCCACTTTCCTGACCGCTCAACGGTAACCATCATTAATAAACCTCGCAATGACCGCACTTTATTAATTAAACCCAAGCATGCTATTAAAAATAACAAGCAATATCCGCAGGTGCCTCAGAATCCGCAGCAGCGCCGAGCCGATGCACCGGCAGCACAGCCACGCCAGTACAGCACCCGCATGCCTAATTTGCCAGCTGCGGATGAGCGCGCCGACCGCATTCTGCTGACGTTGGGTTTTGATAAGCATGACCAGCGCAAACTGATGAAAGGCATGTTAACCCGTACGATGAGCACACTGGACCGCTTTCTGGCGAATTCCGGTTTACTGGAAGAGATGCAAGCGGAAAAGTATAACTACCGTGATGATCGCCCGAAGAAGGAAGAACGCGATATCCGTACGGTTATCTTCGCAGCAATGGCATGCCCTCAGCATTACATCCTGAGAATTTCGAACACAGCATTCTGACTATCGATATTGAAGCATTGAGTCAACTTGTGTACCATCCGCGTAAAAGCATGATCCCGTACTTGTTCAATTTCATTAGTCCAGATGCGAACGGTGCAAACCTGTTGTACGCCGGTCGTGTAGCAATATTCACCGATGAGATGTTGGTCATGATGAAGGAAGAGCAAGATTTTCGTAGCATGGACCGTCGTAAACAGCAGATTATGGTGAATTACGTCCGTTTGTATTTTGGTGCATTGCTGGGACATCACGGATGTCATAAGCAGTTGGCCGACGCTCCGCATGAAGACAGCGCTTTCTTTCACGAAGCAATAGTTAATCTTGGTCCGACACTGAACGTACAGGACAAGATCGACCGCATTCGCCATGCAATGGAAATTGGTTTGGAGAAAGTTGCTGGAAAGCCAGTTGAGCAGTTGGTAGTAAATCCGCATGATGCCGTGGAAAACGTTCTCACTCAGTTGCAGAAGTTGAAGGACAAGTACGAGCCGCAAGGCGGACAACAGCAGCAAGTCGCACAAAATCAGCCGCAGCACCAGCCAGTGTTCAACTTGAACCCGCAGGGAAACGCTGCACAGTTGCAAGGTATTATCCCGGCAGGTGAGAATGCCGCAATGGACGAAGTCGAAGACTCAAGTAAATCAGATGATCAGAGCAGTAGTAATAGCAATATCAATGGCAATTCGCATGATAACAGTAAATTAAGTGCAGTTGTTTCTGAACAGGTGGCGGATAGTGTGGCGCAGTTGAATTTCTCCGCAGAAACTATGGAGCATTCGGGAAAAGAGCAGTAGTTTGAATAGCATGTACTGAATTACTAAGCAATATTTATTTTGTAAATTAGCATTATTTTTCTGTAATCAATATTTCTTTTGAATTCCGCAATAGACTTGATTTGTCAGCATTTTTCTTCGATGGACGATAGACTGACAGCCTCACAGGCGCAGTCTGGATGTGGATCGCGAATTGACACGCAGCCTTATAGGCGGTGTCGGAATGAGTGGACATTTAACGGTGGAATGGATTTTTGATAATTTTTGTGTTCCTGTTTAACCAAAGTACTAACAGATCTCGATGGATATTTCTTCAGTTTATTGAGCTTAACTCATGATTTCATTTTATTTTCATTAAACAGCCGATCAGTGACTGGTAAGTTGTGTGAGCGACAGTGTAAAGTGGATTTTGAAGCAGTAAAATTCTTCAGACGCAGTGTCGAAATTTTCCGCATTAACGATTGTATAGCATTAATCATGAAAGCAATACAAATTTTGACGCAATACGGACTAGCTCCGCGGCAGACCCGGTATAGCTAGCGTACACTGCAGCACATGCACTGGAAAAAGGCATAGCAAGGCGCCTGGTTAATCCCCAGTTTGGCCGTCGCAATAGCCTCGGAGGACCTCGGATCCCCACCAGTGGCATGTTAGGGATGACGCTAGTACGTCACCATCTCCCGTGCATATGCAGTACTTATTAGCATTACACGTACGTCTTATCATTACCTGTTGCACCGCATTAACTGTGTTTAGCACTTGGCTCGATAGTCAAGACAGGTACGAGCAGTACACATACGATCAGCATTACACTGTTGCGATAACACTGGGCTTTGAAGTTCTGATCCGCTGAATGTTTTGTCAGAGAACTTTAGTCGAGGAGTTATGATCGCACAGCTCTGGAATTTCTTATGATTACTGGTTTCGACTAATAAAAGCGTAACGGAAGTCGAGCGGTGTTTCTCCCGTAGATTTTCATAGAAAATCGTTCTTCTTCCTAGCCTGCCCCGTGGCATGGCTATCACAGCGACTGATGGTGAGGTGAGCAATATGCAACAACCAGTCAACCACGGCCCATCGGCCACGACTTCAGTAGTAATCAAGCTGTCATTTTTCAAACATTTTCCAAATGAGCAGATCCATAATTTTCATATTTTTCTATTTAAAAAGATTTTAGGAAGTCACGCGTGCGTTTCAGTTGCGCTAACTGCAGTAGGTTTATAGGACTAACACGAGGTACCGAGAAATCTACTTATTCTGAATCTTCCTTACTTGCTTCAAAGTTGAAAACAAATTATATTAAAGCCAGAGTTTTTCATTTTCTGGTAAAACTGAAGAGTCATCCAAAAGTGTCAGTTCAAGGTGCCTGCAGTTTTCCGAGTTTTGCGTTCCATATCACTGGACATTGCATTTGGAGTTAGTGATTCCTCCACCTGGGGTTTCTTACGGTTTTTGGACGTGATATCGAAACAGGAAAATGCCCAGCCAAATTGAAACCGCGATAGGTAAGACAGGCTTTTAATGTTTCTTGGGTGGATTTAACCCTATCTGCATCAGCAAAAGTAACGAAAACATTGTCATTATGTACATTAATTTGTTTGTCGGAATGCAAAATTTCACAACCTTAAAACAAACTTATGAAAAACCATGTTTATAGTATTTTGCAATTTTAAGTAAAAGTATCGAGTAGTAAAATGATTCTGCGAAATAATTATGTCAAAAGGTTCTCCTAACAATGCACAATTAATGAAGTAAAAGAACTGATGAAGTAATTGTAATTTGTTATGGAGTTGTAAACTCTGCAGTCTAAACGTAAATTATTTGTATGGTTTTATCGATACGAGCCTGGTAATCCTTGTTGCAGAGAAAGCCACAGATGGCCACAACACCACGGAAAATTGGCATGACATCATGGAGATCGTGGATATGATAGAAACACAATCAAATGGGTAAAAAATTCCTGCTAATGAGTTGATGAATTCGTAAATCTGTTCAGTGTGCGTGTTTATGCGGACTAATTGGAACTGCTAATAGGAATTTGATTGTTATTGATGGCATTGTAGAGCGAAGGAAGTGCTGCGCTGTTTGCTAAAGCGTCTGAAACATCGTGATCCACACGTGGCGCTCCATGCTCTTACCGTTCTGAATGCCTGCGTGGTGAATGGCAAACGGAAATTCCATCTGGAAGTGGCTTCGCGAACTTTTGACGATGAAGTGCGAGCCATTCTTCAGAATACCTACGTGAGTATTTAAACAGGGTTTTTTTGTGAATTTTTGGTTCTTGACGCGTTAGAAGCATTTTCTTACTTCAGAATTATCCACGTCCCCTCATTGAGCGCCTGTGTCAAACTATTAAAAAATGGGCGGAAACCGAATTTAAATCCGATTCCGCTTTAACGTGAGGAGAAAATGCGTTGCTCAGGACCCGAGTTTGTTAAAGAAATCAGCTAATTATGCGTTGTATTTGTTTAGTATCATTCCAACCCTTTATAATCACATTAAGAATACCAATCCGGAATACATCACCGAGGTAATAGTTATATAGAGAATTAGAGTGGATATAGAGAATTACTCTTATATAGAGAATATAAAGAATTACTGTTGATCTACGCGTGTTAATAAATGTCCAACTTGATGTAAGCACAGATTTTGGTGTACAAAAATTAAATAACAGGAGCTTTGTCTAAACGAAACCGACTTTATTTTATGATTTTATTTTAAGGCTGTTCTGGGAACAAAATCGACAGTATCACAGCCGGCTTCCTCAAAAACGGAAAATCCAGCGGCGTCTGCCAAACAAAAGGAGGAAGAGGATTTTGCTAAAGCTATTGCTCTTTCCTTGCAAGAAGAAGAGAAAAAGAAGCGGACTACAGCGGCATTTTCGGCATTGTACCCCAGCATGAGCGACAGTGGACCGTCGAAAAATGAGCCTGTCTATGCTACGGTCAAATCCAAGGAACCTCGCAAAGTCAGGGCGATGTATGATTTTGAAGCGGTGGAAGATAATGAATTGACCTTTAAGGCTGGCGAAATTCTTCTTGTGCTCGACGATAGGTGGGTGGCATAAAGGTTAATTTTCCAGATTGTCGTATGTGATTACGTACAGTACTTTCTTTGAGAAAACTGAACATTTTTGAATGAAATTAGTTGCAAGACATATTATTACAGACATTTTCTGAACATCTAAACTGTGTTCTATCGTTTTTTAAACATGAATGGCGGAAGCTTGCGAAGATACGTAGAATGATGTTACATACTTGTACAAGTACAGCATTGTCGTTTTATGATTAATGTTTTATGTTTTAGTGTGGTAGACGTTGGTACTCCCAGTCGTATGAATATTGCAGTATTTGAACATCGTGTTTTGTGATATCGAAGTCTGGAGTCTGACTGTCAAACTGCAAAACGGACATGAAAGACCATCAGTGTTTGTATGTTTGTGATCCTAATTGTATATTTGCAGTGATCCTAACTGGTGGAAAGGGTCAAACACTCGTGGAGAGGGATTATTTCCAACTAATTTTGTAACGAGCGACTTGAATTGGGAGCCTCAGAATGGTGAAATGTTTCATAGAAGTGGCTGGACTTGCAGTCGTGTTACTAATTTTGTTCTTTTACAGAGTTTCCTGGTGGGCAGAAAAAGCAGTCGAACGACACTGGCAGCGCTGCATCGGTGCCAGTTGAACAGAAGCCGGTGGAAATTGATGAAGCTTTAATTGATAAGACGTTGAATATGATCCATGACGCAGATCCAACGGGAGAACGACCAGATCCAGCTGATTTACTCACCCTTGAAGGTTAACAATTGAAATTAGTGGGTTTTGTTCGTTCACGTAATTACGATTGCCGATTGTGATTGCAGATCAGTGCAATCGTATGTTTCCCCTAACTGACACTGAGCTGCAGAAAACAGATCGTTTGCAGACAAGTTTGGATGAGTTGTCCGCTCAGTTGACGGATGCACTGGCCATGTATGATTCTGTGATGAAAGAGCAGGCGGCTCAGTTAAACACAGGAACGTATGCACCGCAGCCTGTGGACCCTGGAATGGCTCAGGCTTATAGAGTAAGTTCTCCAATCGATGTCTGCGCATTTGACTCTGTATTAAGAAGTACTACCTCTTACTGATAGAAAAAATTTTGAAGGCAATCGCGATCAGAATCACGCATGCTTAAGACAGAAACTGCTTAAATTTGAATTAATTTTTGCGCATTCAACGAAATAAGGTTCAATATCTTCGTTGTTACAGTACTACGGACAGCAGCCGGGTGTTGCTGCTCCGGGCGCAGTTATGGCAGGATCTCATCAGTATCCACAGCCAAATTACCACCCAGGCCCTGTAGACCCATCGGCCGCATATGCAGGTCAACATCCCGGTTTCCAGCCGTATAATCCCAGCCCAGCAAAGCTCGCATCGGCCGCAGGTTCCATTCCAGCGACGCAGCCAAATTACGCATCGCATGTGGTTGATCCGAACGTGTATGCCCCTTCCGCTCATAATTATCCCACTAATATGTAGTACCAGATGGAATCGAAGATTTTATAGATTTCATTTATCTAGATATTTTTTTTCTCTGGGATATTGTGGATATTGTCCTTCGTTTTAAGCATGGCATGTGTTTGTTTGTTGTCCGTTATTGGTCGTTCGGTTTGTAATTATTGCACAGATTTTTTCGGTGTAAATGGCGCATACTGTGGCCTGCGATTACTTATTTCATTTAGTTCGTAAATGATTCGGCAGAAATACTGAATGAACTAAAAATTACAATATTACTTACCATAGCAAGTTTCCAGGCATGCGCAATATTCGTCCCGACAACGAAATTTGACAGTTTAAATCAAAACTCTTCAAGAAAACAGTGCAATAAAAACTGAGATACGGGTTAACGCTGACAACGTGAAAATGCTACTTTGATTTGTTGAGAGAATACAATACGGATTCACGCCACCAACAAGCAATATTCGTCAATGTAAATCCAGAATAAACGATTAAAAATCAAAATGAAAACAAAAGCAGACATGTATTCCAACCCTGAAATTACGCATGCCGAATGTGGGATAAAAGCTCCCGCAGGTCGTGGTTTCAAGCTGTTCAATGGTCACTTTTCCATAATTTAATCATTTTATCTTTTTCCAAGGCGCCAGTAGCGATAATGTTTTCCTTAGGATGACACGCCACAGCTACCACTGTATCATTGTGTCCCTCGATCTTCTGGACAATCTTCTTCGTCTGGAGATCCCATAAATATACAGCATTGTCTTCCGACCCGCTGACAACCCATTTTCCACCCGTCACGGAAAAATTACACACTATGGCGTACTTCTCATTCCGATGACCGGTGTAATCTTTCAGTTTCTTTCCCTTCTGATAGTCCCATAAGCGGATCCGGTTGTCTAATGTGGCCGCCATAATATACTTGCCATTGGGAGAGAATTTCACATGTGAGATCGGCACGCCATCTTCTTCCTTGATGGTCTTAATACAGCGATCCTGATTCGGATCCCACAGGCGAATCATCCCATCATAACCGGATGTCACTAGCAAGAGCCCGTCTTTATGGTAATCAACGGCCGTGACAGGATCCGAATGAGCAGGAAGAGCGCGAATACAGCTGCCTGTTGACACGTCCCAAATACGGACCGTTTCATCGTACGAGCCTATAAGATTTGACAAATGGTTTAACATTCTAGATTTTTATTGTAACTGCGACAACAAACACAAATAAAACGAACTTTCCTGATATCGCAAAAACAAAAAAGAAATAAATCTATAAAAATTTAGATAATAAAATTGTGGTTTAATCTTGAATGTGTACTGCTGTTTCTTACTGAAAAGCAGATGTTACTAAACCGTCCATTCGAGGAAACCGTTTACTTTGTTGTCTAATGCTGCGGACTTAAAAAACAACTGTTCTCACACAAATTAATTAGCATACATAACATTTCATGAAGAACAGAACGGTTATAATTCTACACATTTAACCATCTTGTAACAAGGTATGCGCCGTATTATGCGCGTAAATTAAAGCAGGTAAGTAATACAGTAAGCCTTTCGAATAAGTACATGCTTTCATTTCCTTACCAGAGGCTGCCTGATTATTGGCCGGATTGAACGCACAACAAAATACGAGATTCGTGTGACTTTTATAAGTTTTCAAAGGAGTTCCCGTGCTGGTATTCCAGAGTTTCAGCGTTTTATCATCCGAGCATGTTAACAAATTTTTCCCATCCGCCGACCACGCTAGATCGTTAATACCCAGTTTGTGGCCAATGAAGGACTACAATAAAAAACAAAGTACAGATTTTTCACCTGGAGAGGAGGAGTACAGTTCTGCGACATACGCGATAAGACCACGCAACGTACCCTCTCGAATTTTCCATCCTTCACGCACCATGTCTTGGCCATTTTATCTGCGCCTGCACTGGCTAGGAACATTCCATCCGCACTGAACTTCAGCGACGCTATCGAACGGGTATGGCCGCACAGGGTGCCGTGCATCTGAATGTAGTTGGGAGGAGGAACAGTGGGTTTATTTTCAGCAGTCGAGGAATTCCTCGTGGTTCCATCCTGGCTGGAGACGGGCTCAGCCCGTGCACAATCGGTGGCTTCTGCCATGGCGTGTGCAGACCCGCAGATGTTGTAACGACAATGTATGCGATAAGGAAAATGGAAACTTAAAATGAAGATTCCACTGTACGGACAGAGCAGTGCAAAAGTGAGCTGCTAGATGCTACTGCTAGTCTAGTGCTAGATGCTACATTGAACAACTCACAAGTTATCACTTCTCAACGTCGGCAATGTAGCAGTTTGCAGATGACTAAGTACCTTAACAACATATTTACATGCGAAAAACCAGTCAGCAGCTAATCCCGCACACTGGACATTTTGGAAAATTAAAAACTAAATAAGCTTTACAAGTAAAATCTGAAAAAATTGAAAATTGTAAAAAGATCTTTTTGCCAGCCAGTCAGCATCCACATTTGCAGAGTGTGTTTTGTAGACTACAGGCGCCTTTCGGCGGTAGACGTGCGACTCCAGAGTCCAGACTGAGTACAGTCACAGAGCATACGGAACAACGTTATTCAAAAAGCAAGATCAATTTTTTTTACTCTGAATTTTCATTTGCAAGTTGCAACGATGCATTCTGCAAGTCTGCTGTCCATTTTTGTGTGATACTTGGGTGTGCAGATGCGGAGTTGTGAATACGGCTTATTACATTCAGTTTAATAGAAGGAAAGCAAAAATTAAACTTCCTACTTCCGTCTTCCAGCCGGAACTCACATTAGGTACGAGTACTTGTACCGGTCTTGATTCAGTACTATCTACGGCTTTATCCACGAAAAGAGTCACCACACGAAAGAGACAAAACGAAAATCAGTAAAAACAAGCAGGTGTATATGTAAATTTGTAATCAACAACTGTATTGTGTTCGTAAATTTGTAAATACTTAATGTATTTTACTAAACTATTAAGTTGAACAACCTACATATGGTAAGTTTTGTCGTTTATTGGCGTTGTTTGTAACTGTGCTATCAGCAACTCGTACATATATACAATCGGCAGCATCGACAAAAAAACGCATAGATCATGACCAAAGGGACAAAACTGCAATCAGGCAATTAAAGAGGAAACTGCAATCACAAATGGCAAATGCCATTAACGATATTAATTTAGGTTTTACATTTTTACATTTAAGAGCTTTAATAGACTATTTCCGACCCAGAGTATGCTTTCGTTTTGGAACAACATCTGCAAATTTTGGCAAATCCAGCTGTGCAGTGTGCACCTGCACCAACCAACTGACAAACGCATGAACCCATTATACCATAAATCAGTGATGATCCAGTGGAATTGCTTTCAACAGCATTTCAAAATTTATCGTTGGTTGCGTGGACGTGTTGGTTGCGCTAATGTTGAAACCCGGGGCCCAAGATGGGTACACACCTAAATCCAGTATCCAATATCCAAGAGTGTGTACAGCAGCCAAGGTCACGGCTAAGCAACCAAAATTTAACGCCAGCCCGGCTTTGACCATGTCCCTGACTTTCAGAAATCCACACCCGAAAGCGATGGCATTGGGCGGAGTGGCCACCGGGAACATGAAGGCGAAGGAACAAGATAAGGTCACCGGTAACATGTAGTACAGCGGATTTAGATGTGACTTTTCAGCCTGCAACCACATATGATGCAATCAAGTATAACTTAATGACTTCGTTCAATAGTACAGTAATCATTGTAGCGATAAAATAATCATATAAATAATACGTACCAGTTCAGAAACAACAGGGAGGAAGATGGATGCGATAGCCGAGTTGCTGGCGAATTCCGTGCAGAACGTCACAATTAGCCCAAGAATTGTCGCCATCGCTGCCGGTTCAAGATAGCTTAACGTGCCAAGCTGATCGCCCAGGACATCCGTTAAACCAGAAATCTGTATTTAGTTGAAAATTAAACCTTATAGGCTGAAACAACAATTACTAAATTTTCTTATTGCTCGAATCGTTTTAATGAATACTCGTATGCGTGGGATTTCATTTTCTTCTGAAGAGTGGTTAAAATCACATACAAAATTTTGTTTCAATTCACATTTAATTTTCGTTGATTAGTCCTTACTTTTAGGTTTCTAAATCCTACTAAAGATTCAGTTGTCTTACGACTGTAACGAGTACCGTACTGTAAATTCTAAAATACATAAGCATTGTTTTGTAAGATGTGCATAACTTATTTTTAGTAAAACTACTTTTACCCACTTCCACTCCTTCGGCCAAAGCCAGAGCGCCTCCTAAAAGCAACACGACATCCCATGGAAAATTTCTACATGTTTCTTTCCAAGCCAGAATTGCTCGGTACTTTGTTTTCTGTTCTGATTTCTGATTTATTCTAAATGGAAGCTCATTGGGCCATAAGAACAACAGAAATCCCATAAATATTGCTGGTGTAGCGTCAGACACGTAGCCGGCAGGAAATCCTGTGTCCCAGCCGGGCATAAATCCTGGCGCGCGAAAGAACCATAGAATAACCAAAACGACAAAAATCACTAAAGCAGACCCTTCCGCAAACCTGTAAAGTGAAAATGCAAGTACATTAATTACCTTGCATTCTTCCTATTATGGTCATACATGTACAGCAATGCCTTTTAGAATAATTCATAGTCCAGATGCATCGCGCTTATAACCGGAAGAACTGCATGCCATAACAATTAAAAGTACATTAACGCAGTAAATGTTATTGCAATATTGGCAACAAGATTAGTGCTTGGAATTTACTGATTTCTACCTCCAATTGCCTAGTTCTTCGTATTTTCTTCGAAGCATATTTTTTATATTCTTTTCCATTTCCGAATCGCTGTCTTTTTCTTTTGTCCGGAGGTATCTGTAAATAAAAATATTTAAGTAGGTGCGCAATACATTCTGATTTGGTTTCCTGTTACTATATTATTACTTATTAAACTTCTACTAGTACAGTAATCTGTCCATGACTGTGTAGTAGTGAGAGGATAGTTCAGGGTTCCGTTAAAAATTTTAACCGGTAAAGTGTGTGGGCCTTTGGGATATCACCAAACATCTAACAGGGACATCGAAACAGGCTAAATTTTCCTTGAAAATTGTGAGACAGCGGTTGCAGGGAAGGTTAGAATCTTAATTAGTGCTTGCATGTGGCAAAGTCGATTTACTTGTACAGACAGTTTATTGGTATAAACGGTTTTGAGTTTTACGAGTATATATATGACAACAAACTTCAGTAAACCCCAAACTGAGAACTTCCCATTTGTGCAGTCTTATTGTGGGATGACGTTGTATTTGCTAGTTGCTGCAGATGGGATGTTTATTGAAATGGCTTTTGTTTTAATCGTTAGTTTTATGTCGCCATATGCAAAGCGAAATTTGCTCAACCAATACTTACTAATATTTCAAATGAAAAATTATAAAGCTTACGAAGCTTTTATTTATAGAAGCGTGCTACTCTAGTATATTTCGCATTAAGGATGTCAGTGCACGCCACCAATCCAAAGAATTAGCTTACAAATTTTAAATAATACTGACCAATTACTTACGGTATTACAAAGTAAAGAAACGATAGCCAACACCACGAAAAAACCAAGCATAGAAGCATGGTCGGAAAAGCAAACATGCTGAATGTGGCATATGTAACCGCTTCCGCTGCCTCTGTGGAGTTGTATTTCCTGGAACCAGTGCACAGTCTTGTTAAACTGTTACACAACACGCGAGTTTCTACCTACGTATAACAACTTCGAAATATAGATATATACATTATTAAAGTACTTTTGAAATGCTCCGATAAAGACCACATTAGTTAGGGTTCCCGTGAGAGTCGCCATTCCTAGTAAATACATGCAAAGTAGCATTAGTGCAACACTTCTTGCATATACCAAAAGTGACAACACCAACAATGAAGTTACAACAATATAACTGCCAACACGAGTGCCCTACCTCCAATGCTGGACGCATACGCAACGCTAAGAACCAGCGCTTTGGAAATTTCTTGCTGTCTAACCGGAAAGTCTTCAAATTTTAGCGCTTCGTAATCGGTAACGTTGTCCGGGATGTCAGAAATGTTAGCAGTACTGGACAAGCCAATGCGCATTTGAGCAGATCCCGAAAGAGTATTGAGTTCATGGGTAGATACAGAATTTCCGATTGGCTTCATGCTTATGCTTGTGCTGGCCATCGAAGTCGACCGGGACATTGTTATTTGGAACCGCTGTTTGTTTAATTCCATAACTACCGCAATAGCGATTGGTAAAATCATCGCCGTAGTTGCTAAAAAATACACACGAATTTTAGTTTTATGTGATATTTTTTCCTTAACGTAACATAGATCTTATTTGTACGCTCATATGTGACAAGCATAACGGACAAATCAGAACGCAGTATTTTACTCATAACTATATCTACGTAAACCACTACAAAAAATTGAAAGTTTTTCGGTGGCGATGGATTGCTGTTATGACATATCATTAGGGTAAATTAAACTATAGGCTACATCATACCTGTATTTGAGATAAACATTGATAAGCCAGCGGAGATCAACATAAATCCAGCCATTACCCTGTTAATACGTCAATAAATGAACATGCGTCAGAAAATAATACACGAGTACTGTATATGACTATTGACAATAATAATATTCATCTTGTTTGATGCCCACTTCAGTGGCGGTATACTTTGCATATCTGATGTCATGAAAATTTTCAGGTTTTGAAGTATCTAACGCAATCCTTTAATTCAATACCAGTGCGGTTTTGATCCAACAAGGAGAAGCACCCTAAGTGCGATTCGCCGGTGCAGGTTCGTTTGCTCGACCGCGGCAGCAACAAGTAAACCACCAACAAACAACATAACGCTGTCCTGCAGGAAAACAATTAAAATTAAAATTTAGAACAATAATTCACTCAAATCGAAGCCTGTGCGCTTGTGACCTTGCAGGTACTTCTTGGTCACCGTGTAAGTTCAGTACGAGGAAACTATGTCGCACCTGGAAATAGCTTTTCGACACATCCTTTGCTGGCTGGATGCCTAACAGAGGGAAGAGTATTGCCGGCAACAATCCCGTCACCGGAATGGGCATCAGTTCAAAAATCCAATAGCATCCCATCAAGATCATTGCGTAGCCACACCTAGCGGCCTGATATCAATTAATTTCTGCTTTATGAGATTGCTTTCTTCCCGGTTACGCGGCAAATACACGTTAATAATTCATATGGTTCATTCACGTTGCAACGAACTTAATTGCATTATGACTTTATATCTTACCGACACATTTGTTTCGAATACCAAACATAACGGAAGAAGTGCAAACGGCAAAACAACGGCGGTAACCGGTTTCCAGTAAAATCGTAATAAATGCTTCAGTTGTCCCATTGTTTTGAAACTCCACTAGCTGATCGTTATTAGTGAACGAATGTAATTGTAAAATTAATTAAAAACGATGTACAAAAACTGCTGCAGAACCAACAATTAGCTCCGTCGATTCCCGCCAAATAAGCAAACGTCGCGTTCACGTGTACTTTGTATTACACAAAACAATTGAAGGGGGATGATTGATACTGATACCGTAAGTATATTACGATGTTATAGATCGCAAGATTGGCTAGCTCCACTAAAATCCATTGTACACAAAATGAGATTACCGATGTTCGGCGGTATTCTAAACTGATCAAAATAGTTATTTAACAGATTATGTACATTTAGAACCAAAGAAAAACACCAGATTATGATATAATTAATGCACCAGTTGTTGAAATGTCCAGTTCTGGTAAACAAGTATTTACAGTATTCTATATTTTATTACGAAAATACCGAAAGAGTCCGTCCGCAGAGTCCGTATTGACAATTTGACATCGCAGCAGGCTGGTTACCTTTTGATACCACGAGGTGATGCATCGCAGGTTCTTGAAGATACTCGGTTATCTTAACGAGCGTAATACGCTAATCTTAACAGGGAGCATTCACAATCAGCTCAGATAACGTTCGTTTATAGCTTTTTAAAAACAAGAAGCAATAATTTACAGAACGTCCTATTTGCGGCCATCATAACTCAGCTTCACTCTATTCAGCTCAACGTAGCTTAATTGGCACTGACGTAAAGACCGTTCGCGAAGGCCTGGTACTTCTATTTATTTCCCTCATAAACTGATGTTTTTTATATCACTGTCCAATACGGCTGGTTATATGTAACTAGACGGTGAACATTTTTGGACTTTGCTTAGGAGCGGCTAGCTACTTAATTTACTGCAGTGTGGATAGCATGGTCATTCGATAGGGACCATTACTGTACTGTACAGGGCACATTGCCACATGTACAGTTGCTGATCGACCACATCGTTGCTATATTATATCTTGCTCCGTATGCACTATCTCTACCAGTACTGTAGCGGACTACACAATTAAAATGGAAGCTTTTTGGCACCAAAGATTGCGATTTTGTACTCTGTGTGTATGTTATAGCAAATCTTATCGGTACTTCTGATGTTGAGTATATTTTAAATTAGTGATTGCAAGCAATAGCTTGCAATCACTTTAATTCAAAGCGTTAAAGATGTATTATAAAAACTACATCAGCAAAAAACGAGGACTAGCCCTGGTTTACTGTAAATCGTTATATAAAAATAAAAAAAGTAATGTACAATCTAATCGAGTAATGTACAGATAGAATGTACAACCTAATCGAGATACATTGTGTTTTTAATTATTCGATTTGAAGAACACATATTTGCTGTTTTCCCGGATGTTTGTGATTGCTCCACGCACAAAGGGCACCAGTCAAAAAATTATCGTTTAACCATATATGCAGCACTGCATACTGTAAATTTCATATATAAGCTTGCGACATATACTCAGTGGCAATCCCGGTTCTACGGCAAGCAATTTTTTGACGTGCTTTAGACATCATCGGAGCATAAAACGCCGTCTTTAGAACGGCATGTTTCAGTATACTTATGGAGCCCCTTTTTATGTACATTTTCACGTCTAAAATACATGGTCTACGGAACTATAATATGGCTTTTTGAAATTCGAAAAATAACCATCCAAAAGACATCTTTTGGATGAAGAAGACATGGGCGCTTTTTTCTCGAATAGAACCGGGAATACTACCCAGAACCGTTCTTACTTCTTACTGCTGCACTTTGGCAGCTTATTCAAACATCACGGCCAGTTATAAAAATTTACTGGATGTAAGAAGCCCAAATAATGCCATCTGATAGAAACGCATTTATAGCATACAACAGATTAGCAGGAATGGTTACTGTATGTCTGTATTCAGTGTATTCACTATCCAGCTTTTCAAGGATGATCAGTTCACCACATGTTCACACGTTTGCTGATCTTTGAGCTATTGGACGCCGTCATTAAACTAGTGCGCATCCGAGTATGTTGATTAGAATGCAATATTTATTAATTTTAATAGACAAGCGACGTTTGACGAAAGCTCATTTCACTAAATATGTGTGCTGGCAGACAAGTTATAGGCTAAGGCGGCCCACATCGCCAAAATCGCTTTGGCAGCGGAACTGCAAATGTATTTATTTGCCGCTTTGAGTGTGTGGAGTTGCGGGTATCGATATGTATCTGTAAGTATGTATTCTCGTTCCGTTAACCACATGACCACCTTCAGAGGCAGGTCGTTAAAAATCCTAACCGGTAGCCAATTGGTTAGTTGGTTGTGATGCCGGTTGCGGGACAAACGACGCGCATCAATTGTAGCTGTCAATATGCCGACAGTTAAAGCTAAACATCCCTGCCTACCAGATCGAATCTTGTCAAACAACAACGAGGTCTAACCAGTATTATACGTCGGCTTATGTACGAAAACAAGACAGTGTACAACTGGCGCAAGTAGTGACTCGAATTATTATTTATTAAAAGATCCACACAACTTGGTTGGAAAACGCCAACGCACCAATAATAAGATCCGTATAGCATAACGTGCAGTATGGCCTGCTACTGTGGACAGCGATCTTGCTAACGTTGATGACTACAAAATTTATTTAATTTTGTCGACAATGTCTGAAGAATCAAATGTGGACATTCCGTATGACTGTGCCCTTAAAACGGAAAGTTTGCCAATGGATGAAATGGAAGTGCAGTGCGACGAACCGCCGGCGAAGGTGCCTTCGGCCAAAAGGTCATCGGGATTTTTCATAGAAGATATTCTTGGCGATACGTTTACTTCCACTAAGAATACCTCGCAAAGTATTGTCAGACCATGGGATTTACCTGAACCGCCGTGCATTCGAACTGCGACTGATGGCACGCGATCAAAAAATGCGAAGGAGTCCAAGCGGACGAAAGGTTCGCCTCTGGATGCGTTGTTTAAAATGGCCAGCAAAACCTTTGAAGGATTAGAGCGAGCAGACGTACGAGCAGGTAAAACTGCATTATGTGTTCTCAGATCTGCAATTGCAATAAGTCCATAAGAAACTTAATTTTAAAATGGATTAACTTGGATGTTCTTTTGGTTTCCGTACTGGCTAATTAGAAAACTGTTAAAGTTAAACCAGATCTGCTTGATTTGTAAAGGTTACTTATAATGCTCATAACCATTGTGTCCTTGGTGCGCGCGCCGCAACCTACTATTCGTAGAATTATTTGATGGTTGCTACCAGCATGAATCTTTGCACAGGCGTACTTTGCCATATTATTAATATCACATTATACATCGGGTTGTAAGTAGCCTCCCTAAAATACTTTGTGCAAAAAAATAGTAGCATGCATGCGACACCGACGCCGTAGTATAGTACATCATGTGCTCCATCTCGCAAATCTAAATCTCAAACGTACTATGGGCACTTACAAAAACCAATTAGTTACGCGCATGCGGTGACCTTTTCCCAAATTTGCTAGTGCAGTTAAAACTCGTAAATTAAATTCCCGTATACACATTACACAGTTATAGGAAAAGTAGATTTGACATAACTCAGTTGGCTTGACGTGCTATGTTTAGGAACAGCTAGTCCTCATAATAATTCAGCAACCGGTTCATCGAACAGCAGCATCAAGAAGAAACGAAAATCCCGCACCGCCTTTACCAATCATCAAGTATTCGAGTTAGGTAAGTAACTTGTAATTTTATTCGGATCAACGATGTCGCATATGGCATTGCAAGCGTAACCGCTCATCTCATGTTGGCCTTTTTGCAGAAAAAAGATTTTTATATCAAAAATATTTATCGCCAGCTGACCGCGACGATATTGCCCAGACGCTTCACCTGAGCAATGCACAAGTAATTACATGGTGAGTTGTTTGTGATCAAAATATGTAAACCAGCTCATAATTAATCAGTACTAAAGAATAGTACAAAAAAAGTTGTTTTCGTGCCAATAAGTGAACCAATTTTGTTATTGTAGGTTCCAAAACAGAAGAGCTAAAGTAAGAAAAATAATACCTTGTTTTCACACCTTTTTCTTGCACTAAATTAACCCCTCCGGTTTGACAGCTTAAACGCGATCAAGAGGAATTAAAAAAAGATGTTACGGCGACAAGATTGCATGCTATACAGAAATCATTTTTCGACGTACGGGATCTTGCAATGTTCCGAGCCGCCAAATACTTGGATGTCAAAAGGCTTAATTGATAGTAACGACTATTTATGATCTTTCTCACCAATACGCGCTGTTGAACATTACTTTTACATATGAAATATTTACAGCGTATCTTGGATGTTGATATTAAATATTACACACAGCGATTTTCATTATTATGACACTATGTGTTTACATGAAGTCCAGTCATGAAAGCTAAAAAAGAGACTGAGCAAAGTGGTGCAGTTTCAAAAATAAAGTGAGAATTTGCACGCGAAGTTTTTCCAGCTGTGATTTTGTTTAATCTTGTGCGAGCAGTGTTCATAAAATTCTTGTAGTCCGCAGTTAACGCTAATCATCTACTTCAAATTCGTCAACGAAGTCAAAACAAGCAGGACAAGCAGGTTACACCGTTACAGTACTGCAGCTTCTTCTGGTAATTTATATTACGGAATACATGCGATGACGGTGCGATTACGATAACAGAAACTACCACTAATGGTGAAGCCAGAGGCATTAAGTATGGTGTATAAGATGCTTTTAAATCCAATGATTGTGTCTCATCACAGCTTTAAAAATTAAGCAACCTAAAACACTAACTGTCCTAGTCTCCTAGACATATCCAGTAGCGCCAAATACGCAGCGCAACAAGTAGAAGGTATACTGAAATTAATATGCGTATTTCGTTACCAGCATAAGGTTGCGTAAATTGTACGGGTAAATAACGCGCCTTGATCCGACTTGACAAAATCGGCATTTCATTTGGTTATAGTTATGCCGAGCCGATGATATATTTGTTAACACTTCACCGAAACAGCAGAATTTTTAATTTTGTAGCTCAACTAACTGCCATGGACATGTGCGATGATCATATCTCAAAATGAAACCAAAATTAACTTTTGATGAATGTCATGACCAGTCGTTTCCTTAGCTTATTATTAGCTCTGTTTGTGGACATGATACAGCATTCGCACGTCAACTGTCGGAGCGTGAAACGATTGGCCACTTTGAAGTTATGCTCCACTCAGTTTCATTTTGCTCCCAAAAGCAGTTCGCGTTTGCAACAAATATCTAAATGAAAAATAATGTGCTCGTATTACAAACTTCTTTAATACTCTTGTGAGTTGTGATCAAGGCAGTTGTCTTGTTGCGTAACGCGCGCAACTGTGGGCTAATTACTGCACCTGTATTATAGTCAGGACTCCGCAATGCATTATGCATCCCCAATTTCAAACTGACCTCTATTTATCGGTTAATATTGCTGTAAAACTAACTTTTCTTCAAAGTGGTTAAATCCACAAAGGTAAAAATTAACGGTCTTATATCAGCCTAAAGGAAGCAATTCTAGTACAATGTAATGGTTAATGATACAATTCGAAATCTAAACTTTTATGCATGGTAACTGCAAGGTGTGCCCCCGTCGTAGTCGCACAAATGCGCACGCACGGACAGAACCTATTTTTTTGTCTTGATTGAAGGTAATAAACATGATAATGGCGAACAAGAATAAGCAATTAGCTAAGCCGTTATTAATTGCGATTCATGATGCCTAACAAAAAATCGCACCGCATTGTTAATGGCAACAAAACGTTACGCTTGTAAGTACAAAACACCTGCTTAGTGTTACTTCTCAATGAACCACACGTACAGATCTTTAGCCGCATTGCACCAGTAATAACTCTGGGCAAGGAACGCTAATATGCGATGCATGATCGTTTGACAGCATTTTTGTGCAGCAATCATAAGCGTCTTTTCAATTACAGGTCGTTTTTTCCAGCAAGTCAACTATACCTGCACCGCCGAGCATATGTACCGGTAAATACATATCGATCGATAATAGCTCGTGGTATATTGATTAACAATGGCGGCATAGTCACAGGCGGGGGCGTTACCCGGTTGGTGTTCTGGTGGGTGTGATATTATATCTCATCGAACACAGTTTATGATTACTGGTTAGCTATCAAGCATAACAAAAACCATATTGCTTTTGTCGGCATCAGGAAACTTTGTGATTATGTGAGCACTGGTCGGAGATCATTTTGCTGGGGTGGGTGGGTACAAGATCTTGTGCTGGCCATGTAGAAACAAATCGATGCTCTTGACGGTGAGAGTGGCAGAATTTATATGTAAGTAAATCTTTAAGGCCGATTGACGAAAACTTGATGTCAGATGAAACACAGATTACTAAGTATATGGCCAGCACAGTATCATCATAAACAGTGTATATCACTCTCTTCGGCGTCAAAGGAGTCAAACGGTCGGTCGAGGTCGAGTACAGTTGTAAATTGGCAATACTCGCCGCTCCATTATCCTTCCGGCAAATTAATTTCTGACAATCAGTTTAATTGATCATGATCACGTCCTGTTTCCTGTGTATATTGAGTGGATAGATACAGGCGCATCCTTTGATCATCAAATGGCCTGTAGCAGCTATGAATTCGCAGATGACATATGACACATATGTATATGCTGTGCATGATCAAAACGGGAGCCACTTGCCGACATGTTACCATAATTCTGAAATCATCGGCATTCCTTTAATACAGAGCTCTTATTCATTAAAAAAAATCGAACTATGGTGTACGTGCAAGTTTATGATGCACTAAAAACAAGTGGAAATAAAAAATATAACATCAAAAAGCCAAAAAGGTCGCTCGACAGGATTGTTTATTAAAAAAATTACAAAGTATTATTAAAATTTGGTGGTCAGTGTTGTGCTGACAAAAATTTGGCATGGTCAGTGCTGTGCTGTGGCAAGTTCAAAACTCTTCAATTTAGAGAGGTTTTGTACCACAGTAGCAGTACAATACAATGGTAGCGCTGTACTTTTTTATAAGCATTCTGCACATTTCGGAAAGATGAAGTAAAAAGCTGAAATCAAAACGATAACTCTTCCATTTGGTTTGAGAATGTGAAGCCGGCTTCAGTGCACCATAGACAAGCAAAAATAGCAATTTATTATGCCATTTAATAAGATTAACGTGCAACCAAGTACCGTATAAATCAGGACAGACGTCATGAACTTCGTGTCCTATTTAGGTCGCTAATTTTGTCACTTCATTAGCGTCGGTGAGATGACTGCATGGGAGCTGATTTGGTTGACTAGGTAATTACACTCCTCTTGCTTCCGTTTGCCGATTACAAAGATTACAACGAGTTTAGTTAGCAAATACGCTCAATGTCAAACAGACCTAATTGTAAGTGACTCCCGAAAGCTCGTGATTTTGCATACAAAATTAAACGCCGAGAAAGTAATCCGTACGTATGGTTTACCAGAACGAAAGGTCAACAGCTATTACGGCTTACAAAGGCGAAATAAAACCTAACTTGGCAAAAATAAAAGCTAAATTGAAATTAAAAAATAAGTTAACCCGACTTAGTAAGACTAAACTTAATTAATTTTTGCAGGTGATATGCTTTATGAACAATTACAGCCAAAACATTATCGCTCCTATTGTACGGTTTATTATTTTTTGCTTTCACTTGTCTAAAGATTTATAATATAATATTTTAAATCGAGTGTGACAAAGTTTCTTGCAATGTCTTCATATGTACGCGCACAGGATCTTTCGAGGGCGAATAAATTAATTAAACGCTTAACGAGATTTGACTTGGCGTGCGTCGCTGATGGTAACTCCTGCTGTGCCAACAATATCATTAGGGTGTTTAAAAGTGTACAACGCACATTTAGATTCGGTGTTAACGTCGACAATCTGGACAGTAGCCGAAAGATGCCGCATTCGCCTGCATATGCCGCATACAATATATTATGGTCACGATATTTAATGCTTGAATGGTCGTGTGGGGCCGCTGAAGACTTCACGCTTCTGTTAGGTCCGGTTGATTGAGTGTACCGCTGTGAGGTAGCTGCGGGCCATAAAAATATAATAGGAACATTATGCATGGTGCTAGTTCGTCTCTTTATCTAATTATAGAGAGACGCGTTGTCCACTTTGAACGCTGCCTTGTAATCAGCACAATTAGATGCGTTAGAAATTTGTCGCAAACATCTCGTGTCAGTTTCACACTGTACACGCTGTACAGCAGGTGTCTGACAGCGCGGTCAAGGCAGTTATAATTCATTTTATTGTAATAAAGTGATAAATTATCATCAGGTGGTTGGTTGATTATATGCAGTTGTCCTTATTAGGGATCTGATCAAGTCAATCATGACCAAATTCACTAAAATTAAATACTCCGATCAGCTCTATTCATTTTCAGAGTCACCACGGTTGGCTTTCTGTGGGAGTGCACTGTAAATATAACAAATAAATTTTAAGGATTACAAAAATCTCCTGCTTTTCAAAAGTTAAGTAATGCTTCGTCCCCAACCAGCTTAGTAACATATGACTGAAAAATAACAATATAACAAAGCTGCTACAAAATGCGAGACAGTATAAAAACAGACTAGATAACTGACTGCATGTTACAAGGAAAGCAGAGAATCTAAAAGAGAAAGAACTATAAAAGGCTTGAGCGATTGCCGGCATTGGTTTCCGGTAACACTTTTACAGGTTTTTCAACTGGTACTAAGCTGCTCGTTGATTTATCCACATCAAGTATATCGTCGTTGTCGAAGATGACATGTTCTTCGTATATCGGCTCTTCCAAAACCAAGGGTTTTCGCCGGAAGAATCCTGACTTTACGAGTATCACAGCGATCAGCACAAGGACAACAAAGCTGCCAGCCCCAGCTGCTAATATAATATACCACGGCAATCCTGAGAACGTGAACAAAGTTTTGATCCTCACGGATGCCTAAAACGATAAAAATCACAAAATTAAATGCAAGGCAATTAACTATAAGTTTGGCAATGCTCAATAAACGGACATGTATAGCACGTTTTTCCATATGAATAGCATAATATAGGAATTCCGAGTTCCGCTTAAAGAACTGCATTATAATACTGCGGTAGAAATATTACACAAAATACAGCACCGAAAATCCCAATGAATAATGATTAACTTTTAGCTACCGGGAGTAAGACAACTCCGCTTTGCAAATTAATTAACATTGTGGTGTGATCGACTTACCAGAGCATTCAAGGATTTTTCGTCAGCAATGTGAAAATGCACTTCCTCGGAACTGACGTCATGGTATAATATGACAGATGAAGATACAAGAATTTCGAAAAGCGTTTGACGATTATCTTCAACAGTAAACGATTCTCTGGAAATCTCCAAACCGGCCGTAATATTGACCTTCTCGTTTCTGCCGATGGTGGGTAAATAGCAGGTATACTGATGGCAGCTTGTAAATTCATCCAGGCAGTCCTGGGAAAAAGAATTAGTTTACTCAAAACCGTAAACACACACACTACAAATGGACTGGAGCAATACACAAATGCATCAAGGTCATGAAATCGGTACTGTGTTCAAGTCTTTACCAGGTTACGAGCATTTCATAATAAAATAATGCTAAACTGCGTTTCATGTGATCAGTTTACGAGTGATACAAATTTTCATAAAAGAATAAGTTATGTATGCTTTTCCCCCTGGGTAATTGAACTTCACTCTCATTGGTTTAGATATCCGCCCAAGTTTGTCGAAACACTGTTATGCGGCAAAAAGCCCTTAAAAACGGGTAGTTCGTAATATTGGTTTTTTGCCGCATAACAGCAAACGGAACTCACCCGTACGCGAGATACGTTTATCTGACGGAAACAAAAACTTTGTAGAAAATTGTTTCCGCTGTGGAGTTCATTTTATCCAGCGGTCGGCAAATATTTCAGCATTTATTTTCTGTACTTACATACAGTACTTCAATTTAACCATGGTATAATACGAAGATGCGGCTGCAATGAAGCACTACTGAGTACTGACCATGAGCACTAAGCAGTACGTAATAGTCGTTGCCAATGCCGATAATCATGCGCGTATGAGCACGAGTAAAAATTCACGAATTTGATCTCTTTTCATTTGAATCATTTGATGATCTGCAGTTTGCGCTCATTAATTATTTGTAAATAGTGAACTGCCAACTGATTCGTACGTATCAATTTATTGAATCATTTGATGATCTGCAGTTTGCGCTCATTAATTATTTGTAAATAGTGAACTGCCAACTGATTCGTACGTATCAATTTATTTCGTTATCCTGAGTGACTGAATCCTTTATTTTTATTATTGCTCATAACCATTAATTGTTGCCGAGAAATCGTGAAATCCGATTATCGGAATCTGAATTGAAGTGTGGACTTCATAATGCCACCCTCACAAGGACGTAAAACCACAGCTGCCAGTGCTGGCCTAGCGAGTTCCCTGCGGGTACGAAAACGTGCAAAAGCTGGCGCGACCAAACTCCAGCAGTCAACTCTGGATGAGCAGTTCGGCAGCAGCAGTGACTTGCGAGTGAAGAAGCCCGCCGGCGTCAGCAGCACTGAGAAACCTCTGTTGGTTGGTGGAGCGTCGGATAACCAAGCATCTGCATCGAGTTCCCTTGGCTCATCCGCGGGCTCGCCCTCCAAGAGTGCTCAGTCATCGGGAGAGCTGCGCGTGGGAAAAAGCGATCAAAGCCTTCCTAAGCTCTCTGCTAAGACCAAAACAAGAGGTGGCAGCGCGGACTCCAAGCGACACGACATGGATCTATTGCGCCAGTTTGATCTCGACTATAATTTCGGTCCATGCGCAGGTATTTGAAAGTGCTCTTAGTTCGTTTTGTAGCTTTTATTGACTTTCGGAGTCGTGTAACATTGGAATTTTTATTATAATTTTCAGAACTGTTTCATAGTTCGAAAAGTATTTTAAAATTCTCCAAAGCTTTGGTGGTTCGAAAGTTTTGGCGTTGCGTACCAGTCTATTTCAAGTGGAACATCAGGTGTTATTTTAGGTGCAAATTATTTTGCAGGTATCAGTCGTATGCAGCGCTGGAATCGTGCCCAGCGGCACGAGAAGAATCCCCCGACAACTGTGAAACGTTTGGTTGAAACCCATCTTGACGATCCTGATTACACCGAAGGGTGAAGCAGCTTTGACTAATAGTCGCTATTTCTACTGTATCGTATTCGTATGGCTTTTATTTGACAATGCGTTATTTTTGCAGAATTTGGTACGACACGGTCATCTGATGCAACCGGGTCCTGATTACACATTCTGGATGTATTTTCAATATGATCTGTTCCTTTTGTTGTTTATACCGCGCGCGATTGTGACTACATTAGTTGGGCGCAAATGTTGGTGAATGTAAATAGTCCTCGTATGTATACTGAATAGACATAGTAGTTCTTATAGATCCAAACTGTTCTTGCCTATTTAATTTTTGTTTGGCTTACCATTTTAAAGGTGGCTTTTCTTATTGGTTTTTCATTCAGTTCGGTTGCGGTGTACGAAATGGATAAATCACTCAAACCCTTCGTTGGAGTCGTAGTGCTGGTATTTTTATCGCTGTTTGTTAAACAAGGAAAATGTCCGGTTTCATTATCAATCTGAAAACGGAAAAACAAGTACTAATACATCATTTAAAGCATAAAGTTGCAGCATTTTAACTTCCACTTCAGACAAATACGCACTTGTATCTCTGTTTTCCTTATTTTGAACGACGCACATGTTTGCCGTGCTTTTTAAAAGCCTACTTACTGTCATTCGTGATTTTTGTACATAACATAGTTAGCGAATAGCGATACCTCGAAAAGGCTCGAATGATCTTTCTTACCTGCAAAAATGTCAATCGGGAAACTGAGACATTTTGGTACGTTATCGGAATATTAATCGTAACGCGAGCCTTTTTATCTGGCAGAATGCCTGGTCCCATATTGATGACCTACATAGCGAGAGACACAATCAAATAAACAACCGAACTGTAAAAACTGAACCATTAATACTTACTGAAAGCACACTGAATCAACTGCAAAATTAACTACAACGTCTACAAGTAAAGAAATACAGGGCTAACTGACCTCAAAGCTTAAATTAAACTTCGTTTCCACTGAATTGCTGATAACATTGTCGTGGGCGTCCGGTTTGATTTCTAAGGTTGTTTTCGCATTGCTAGAAAAAATTCGGAAAAATTACGAATCAGAGTACAGATATGGGCACAAATGTAAATTTTTAGCGAAAATCGTGTCACTTTACATACTTTGCGGAAAGACGCAAAGTTGTCATCACTATCAAAGAAGTTGAAACCGATGGTTCCCAGATAATTTCCTCCGTTCCATTCTGCAGATACCGATGTCCGAAAGATGCCACAATATTCGGATTTGCACCAGGCATTTCATCCAACGCCAGATTCATTCGAGCGGTTGTAAAGATGGCCGTCATGGTAATTTGCTGATCCGGATATATGACGCTGCCCATATTAACGGTCCGGCACATGACGTGGTGAGACCCGGTTATGTTGTCGGAAGATGCTGCAAATCGATCCTTACAGTCCATTTTCATTTCAAAAGAATCACTGGAACTCTGTGTAAAACAACAAGTTGTGTCATTTTTTCGAAACCTGCCATCAAATAAGATGTTCGTGCAAGCGGACGCTGCAACTGACCTTTACTTCCAATCGGTCGAATGCAACACCGAAAGGCAGCGTTAATTCCAACATTGGTGAACGCACAATGTACGACGTCGCCTCGTTGAAAATATCGTAACGCAGCGCAAAAGTGTCATTCGTTTTAACGCTGATACTGTAAAAGAAAGTTCTTTTTTATTTACTGTTAAGTGCGCACTAATTTATCAGTACTTACTTTACTGAACTATCCATCGTGGACAAAGCGATGACCGGGCGACAATTTCCCGACGGTTCATCGCACCACGAGAACGTCACCGAATTACTGGCATTGGTAACTGAATCCGGTGATACCGTAACACAGTCTTCGCAGTACTTTTGTGGCTCGTTCGTAGAAAATTCATCCAGACGGAAATGGAAAGACATTGGAACACGCCCGATTTCATACGGCCAAGAAGAAGGGTCTAAAACGGTGATGCTGGACCCATAATGACACTCCGATACGGACTTGACCCCAATGCGATACTGAAACGGAATGGACACATTGGCAACTGTGGAACGCGAGGACTGGAAGATCGCTCGCGGCTGGATCAGTAAGGAATCTGGGAGATTGCGGTCGAGCTCCAATCGACCTTTCAGGATGTAGTTTCTGCTAGTACGTGCGGGGGTCAGCAAAGTCCAGTTGGTCTGGATGCATACTGTGGCCAAGAGGTAGCGATCGCCGGGTGCGTTTAAAGACAGTTTGGTTTCATTTATAGACAGGGAGAATGTCCAGTTGGCCACGGAATGGGTTCTACATTGAAAAAGGTCAAGTCTCTGCACAAGAACACATCTTTTCAGGATAAGCTTTCATTCCTACAATTATATGGTTTTTTTGTACGCGCTTATGCTGCTGCGGCAAACAAATTACTGTAGCAATTGCTCAGTGTTACTGCCGCATTAGAGGAGCATACGACACGGTTTTTGCCGGTTGTCTGTTTATCTGTCTTATGTACTTATACATATTTCGTACACGTGATACCAGCAACAAGAAAGAGCGTACCACGGTCGTTGTTCAAAACTAATAATCGCTTGAGTAAAATTCGAATACTCAACACATTACTTATTTGTACTGGCAGATACGGAATCAATTTTCCAAGTTGAAAATTAGGCAGTTAAAGACTATGAGCTACAAACCGGCATATATGCTTAAAATAAGTTAGTAAACTAAAAACAGATTCCCGAAGGATATATGACCACGCACCTGAAAACTTGCACGTTTTCGTTCATGAAATCGCCGACAGCAAGGTATCCACCTGGAATACAACCATTCAAACGATGCAACAGCACCGCAGAAACAACGGTTGGAGGTTCCTACCGGTACGTCCAAAAGCGCTCTGCTTTCCGTTCGCAGACGATAACGACCAACTAAAGCCACGGTTGTTTCCCGACGACCGTATACGCTGGGTAAGTTTCGGATTTATCCCATTCACATCTCCATAATAAACATATACCGATCCACCACCATCGCCGAAGGGAGACCCAACAGCAAAATCTGCGACAGTTATAATACTTACACAAAAGGTCATTTCGGTGCGTCTATAATAATATATGTATACATACTGCTTTTGCAAAACATCCCTTAAACATACGTACCGTTAAAACCGTCATTGTTGATATCTACTAAAGCAACTAAACTGACACCAAATCGAGCTCCCCGGCCATCCAGTCCAGTCAAAACTATAGAGGTATTGAAATACTGCTTTGGTTTCGCGCTTTTCTACAATACAGCAAACTTAAATCAAGGATTCAGGGAACGCGTACACATATAATAAAAGGCAGCACACAAACTTTAACGAATTAACGAAGTATAAAATATGCTTACGGTTAATTAATACTTACCCATGCGTCTCCGGGATTGAGAAATATGTAAACAACACCCTGATCGACTTCTCCGCTGGAATCGTACGCATTGGGAGCGCCAACAATGAAATCCAGGCGTTTATCTTTATTGATATCGATCATTAGCACCGATTGGCCAAAACCTTCAAACAGTTGATTGCCTTTGAGGAAGAATTTTATATCCAGAACATTGGATCTTTGCAAGCGTGTACTGCGCGTCAGTGGCCTGTACACCACCACGATGCCCGCCGACCGCGCCTGTGGCATGCCGGAAGCATAGTAGCGGGTGTTGTCGTTGAAGAGCATACCGGAAGCCACCGCATAACCCAGGTAGCCGCGCTGTTCGCGTCCGATTTCGCTCTGCACAGGGTCACTGCTCAATAGCGAGGGTGCAGCATTGCGCACGCCCATCCCACCCGTCAGACTGACATGGGCAACTGTGCCGGTACCGTCCAAATATCCTGGAGCGCCCAGAATTACCGAATTGCCGGTGTCGTATTCCGCCGTAAACCCGGTATGAGAAAATGAGTACAGATGCGTTGTGGATGTTGATCCAGGGATAAACCGTGTGGAATTGCCTAAATACGGTTAAACTATCAACATACATCGTATTGGTACATACCCAGTGTCCATCAGGGCAGACTTTCAATATTGGTATTATCAATAATATACACTGTACAATACGCATACATACAGTGCACCAGTACAGGCTATTGCTGTTGCTGAATTAAAGTGTATTCAGTATATTTTTATATTTACAGTATATGCAGTACCGAACTTACAGCTTAGGACAAAATGGTCGCATACCCAACATCTCCACATTCAGTACGCATGCAGCGCACTGCGCTGTACGACTGAGTTCAAAATATCCGTTTCGTACAAGTGCACTGCACCGCTTGCGTACAGAATGCTGGGTGTGGGGCTATGCGACCATTTAGTCCTACATTGTATATTGTATAAAAATATATATAACACACACTTACCTGCACAACAAGTCATTGTTAGCTTGTACAAAGAAAATTAAAGAAGTAAAGCGAGCGCTATTGCTGACTCATATCGGTTATTCGGTTTACATAAATTTTAAAGTTACCAGTACTACAAAATGTATTTCTACCTGTGGGAAAGCGCAATTTCTGCCATTGAATAGATGGAATTTCTGATGTGCTATCTTTCGGTACACGATAGCACATGCCGGATGGTGCATAAAACGGTTGGGTGTTTCTGCTATTTGGCAAAAAGGTTCCGTTGGTCCACAAAGGAGCACAAGCCTGCACAAAAATATTTTTATTAAAGCCCAATAAAGCAGAACAAGACTGCTGTTAAAAACGACGCAACATGTTTCCGGGCTACTCGTACTGTTATTACCATTGCATCGAAGGGTTGGGCATCCTGTATCGCGATTGTAAATCCAAGTAGACTGTTGTCTCGGTAAGGATAGGATCCGACGGCAGCTACTTGTGGTGTACTGTCGTTGTCCACAGTTAATTGCTGGCAACGCTTAGGACGATCAAATGAGTCAATGCGGCAGAAAAACACAAGACCTGGCCGCACTGTCGCTGTATTGCTAAGGTCAGTCGCTGTAGGAGCACCAACCAGCAACCTGAAAACACGAAAATACTGTGCTGCCTGTAACCGGTGTAATTCAGAATAATTTAAATTACTAACAGCGAAATATCTGGACAGAATTACACTACAAGAGCTAGTAAAATATCGTAAGCTTAATACTTCAAAGACCGGAATTTAAAAGATAATAAAGATATCCTCACCCTCGATTTCCCGCCAGTAGGTCATCGGTGGGTGCCTGATTCCGTTTATGGAAATAAAAGCCCGAAGAAAATCCGAAAGATGATGATCCCGTTAATCCGTTCGGCACCGGTATGCGCAAGGGAAAAGCTGCGTCCATATTGAAACAATAACATCTGGATATCAGCTGACAAATCCATGACATCCAGAACAACGCGATAACAGCCGGCATATTAGCCATTTTAAAGCTGTTAGCTTTGCTCGTATATGCAACCCGCAACACTTTATCGGTAATTATGGTAACTCCGGTAACTCGGTAATTATGGTTATCAGAACTCCAGAACTGCTAGCACTAATCCATTCGCTTTGGGAAGTTAAGTAATTAGCCTCTCAAATTGCGGTTGATAAAGTAACCCTGAATGCAGGTTATGACAATATAAAGAATAAAAACTGCATAATTTACAAGCAGCAAACATTAGTTATGTAGTACTGCCCCTCTTTCGGCCAGTTTTGCAACTGCGGGTAAATCGTTTGCGTTTATCCGCTAAATTCCTCAAATTGAAGCTAGACATCCGAGGTGTGTCAAACATATCATCAAATGAGTATTACGATCCTGGCAGGCGATAAACATTTTTTCTGAACGTGCTGCAAATGCCATCTTGATTATGTTATGTGACTCATGCACACGTACAGTTAGATACATGACCTGTAATAATAATAATAATTATAATATAAACACAGATATAACAAATTAGTGAAAAATATAGAAGGAAATTGGAAATATCCCTGGCGTATCCACTTCAGGTTGTAAAAAAGGCTGTTACCAAGTACTTAGCGACTTATAATAACTTTATAGCTTATCAGCTAATTTCTGTTAAATCGGGTAATACTCGGACATTTATTAACTGCTTTTGTCTTTCAGATGCTTGATCATACTTCGTGTACGATTGTTAATAAAAATTATAATCGTCACTTTAATTTTAGTTCTTTTTTCTGACCCTCTATTGTAGTACCTAAACCTAGTTATACAATACAAACTAACTGTGTGGCAAATCATCAATTAAGTACACGAGTATTCATCTCCGGCATGTACATCTAGCAGCTGAGTAGTCAAACTCCGGCGACCACCGGCATTTCCAAATCTGCGTAAAATCTTCTAAGTTCTTATCGATTTAATAATAGCCTAAAAAAGTGGTGGTTATTCAAACTTTCAAACTTTTTTACAACGTAATTCTGGCAAATTAAGTTGTAAAGAATGCGTTACATTAGTCAAGACAAATGCCAGCATTCCAATTTTCATTGGCATGAAATTACGAATTCACTGCGATGACAATTATTATCCAGTAATATCAACCATGTCGAAAACTGAACATCTGTAACAAACTCAATACAGTGAGTGGCAACTCACGCATAAAACGGTTAGATCATCTTTCGCAACAGAACATTCACTTTCTCTTCACGATTACCGAAATCCCCACCCGAAACAAAATGAGCATTCTTTTTCCGCCAACCACCAGAGGGATTGTTCAGTTTGAACGGCCAGAGAAAGTTCGTTACCTCTTTGAAGGCAGGACCGACTGTGAAGACTTCATGAATAATGTCCTCGGTACAGAGAATATTCTGCTGTCCCAGAGTCTTCTCGATAAGACTGTTATCGTTCAGCGGCGTTCGCTTTCCTTGAATCTTGGCAAATCCTCGTTTGTACACGAGATCCTTGACGGTCTTCAGGTTGGGATATCCCCATGTGATGTACGGATCGGCCAAGCGCAGCATGCTCAGTGTGGCTTTATTCAATTTCACAAAAACTCCACTGTTGATTTGGCGAAGGCGAAAGAGTTGTAAGACTTTCCGTGGCTTGGGACTGATACCGTTGATTCCTTTTATGCGTACCACGAATGCCAGCTTCGTTTCGTCGGGTACGAAGAAGTTTTGTGCAGTGCTGGCTTGGCGCTTTAGTCTAACTTCATCTCGCTCCTTAGCGCGGTACTCCTTGATGTACTGCTCCGGGCGCTTAAAAATGATTCTCCGCTTGTTCTGCGCTGACTGACGCTTTTTGATCTGGGACCGAACAGATTTCGCATGCGCTGCAGCTGCGTGTCTTCGTTTCTTGAGCACGGTTTCCGGTGTCATGGGAAGACGGGTCTTCGTCGATGGATCAGCCATGACTGAATCACTGATTCCAGATCTGGCGTGGAAAGAAAACAAACGCGTTTATATCCCGAGCTGATTAATTTTACGCATATAGCTCACATGCAAGAAAAAATGCAGTGTATGTTCGTACGTACTACGTACCAATACACATGAAGATTAAGGAAATCAGGGAAAAGTACAAATTCAAAAACGCTCCAAAACTGCAAACAGGTTTCGGGAGAGTCGAAATCGGTAAGTCGTAGGCTCGGACTCAGTCCTTAGCGCGAAGCTCGGACTCGGAGCGGCGGAGGGCTTGTTCAAACTCCCACCCAACCATTCGCTACCGCGGAGGTATCCTTAGGGCGGCTGGTACTGAGTCTGTGCATGTTGCTTGTCGTGGCTTGGGGCATCACCTGACGCGTAAACCCTTACTACTTACGCTTCGTACGTTCATAGTCATACGCAACTTGAACGAAGTCGGGATTTTAGTCCCCGTCATATCATGTACCCGTGTTTGTATCGTGGTCCGTGGGTACAAATAAATAAAGTGGATTTTCTCATTTTGATTTTTGTATATTATTATTGTGGGTAATTTGTAAATTAGTTGTTCGATTTTCTAAGGGATATGCGTAAGAAATAAAAGTTCTTCGAAATCTATCCTACTACGAAGGGAGGATCTTCAACATTATCGATCGACAATTTGGCGTTATGGCGCATATTGCTAAAACCACTGCTGGTATGATGAACACGTCCTAATAATTAGGTTTAATTCCATCTGTAGAAGTAGTTTTGGAATTTATCATTTATGCAGGAATTTACTTCGTGAGATTAAATTTTGTTTAAAGTTTCTGTCCTGCGCTGTATTCCAGATCTGGAGGCCCAGATGGAGGCCATGCGCAAGAAGGGTGCAGAGAACCGTCTTGAGGATGGTCGATTTGTTGGATTGGGAGAGGAAGGGGTGTTCGACGAAGATATCTACTCAGCTCCAGCAAAGAAAGGGAAATTTGAAGGATATGTTACGTCGATTGGTGGGCAAGAAGAGGAAGATGACGACGAGGAAGAGATGCGACCTGGTCTGGGAAGGCAAGCCGCATACAAAGTGGCCCAGACAGCCATCCGAGAGACAGCAGCCTCTGGACAGGTATGTCATGCGCAGACCTGTGACTTTTGGTCAGAAAATATGAATGGTTACGGAATATAAGCTGGCTGTAAAAATTGGTACTTCCCGAACAGAACAAACTCCTCAGCCTTAACAGTGTCTCTTTAATTTGTTTCCAGAAAAATCAATGAGCGCGTAGGCGGCTACTTACAAATTAGTTTATTATTGTTTGCTTTTACGCATTCGCGTTACATAACACAACTTCATGCCACAGAATGGATTGCTACTAACGTGGGTTTTCGAACGATGATAATTATCTTCTCTGTATATTGTAGGATGTGGATCCTATGGCGGAGCATCGTCGAGCCAGAGTAATTGATCGCGAAAATGACTATCAGAAGCGTCGACAGCGTATTCAGTTGTCTCCAGATCGGCTTGATCCTTTTGCGGACGGTGAGTATGGTTGGCCTGTAACTGTAATTGTATTACTAGGTAAATTTTGTAGGATTAGTGGTAAATCGAACTGAAACAACCAAACCGCTTTTCAGTGCATGTAATTCAGTGCGAAACCGCTTAACGGTAATTTGGTGCTGTATTTCATTGGTACAAACAAATATCTATATTGTAAGCTTAGTGTCGTAAGTTACTGTGTACTGTAACTATACCGTCCATGTGCACTGAATATTACAAGAAGATAAAAAACCCATCAGAAATACAATCATTCAACCTACCTGCGGGTCCACAGAACGTACCTACAGAAAAACGGTAACATAAATCTTGAATAAAAATAATTATTATTAATAGTCTTTAATTCGTACTCGTACATATATTGTTGGTCGCCGTTTGTGTTGTCGAAGTTCAGTAGCTATTAAGTTAAATCATACCTGGTGAGCGAACTGTGGTGGACAGATTCATTTGTAGAACGGAAATCGTTGAAGCAAAAATTGCATTCCCTGGGATGAGCCGTGATCACCGCTCCGAGATTACTGCGCTTCGCTTGTACGCAGGCTTTCGTGTAGGCTCGGATTCAGGCTATCATAGTTTCCCAAATAAAACTGATATGTCCAGATTCTTTACAGATACTCCTTTGCAATATCCACGGACTTAGCCGGCGAGTTGGAACGATGGGTAATACGGGATGTGTCGAGTTGCAGCATATCTCGCACATGCTGCGTAATTATTTATGAAGTGACAAGTTTTTCATGCTTAATTGCAGCCATGAATCTGTCTCGCCATCAGTTTTGTAGATATAGCGTATAGGTTCCTAGATTTTGCATAGTATTTTCGATTTATAAATGTTTAATGACTGGATATGGTTTCAGGTGGGAAAACTCCGGATGTGGCTTCCAGAACTTTCTCCCATGTTATGCGAGAACAGGGCGTGAAAAGGGATACACAAGAAGTTCGCCAACAATTGGCCGAGAAAGCGAAGGCTGGTGAGCTGCACTCGGTGGGCAATGGAGAAGCTAAACCAGCAGCGAAAAAGCGAGCGAGATGGGATGTCGCTACACCGGATGTCACTGCCGTCGCCAGCGTTTCTGGGAGCGAAGCCACCCCTCTTCAACCACCAAAATGGGACTCTACGCCCTCCCATGTCCCGGCTGGGTCGTCCACCCCATCTGCCCCTTCTGGTGTTGCCCACTGGGCTGCCACTCCAGTTGCAGCCGCCGCACCGGCCCTGAAACGCAATCGTTGGGATGAAACGCCGCGCGCCACGAGTGGTGCCGAAACACCAGCGGCTGCTGGGTGGGCGGAAACTCCTCGAGCTGATCGAACTCCCGGTGGCGGTCAGGAAACTCCCAGTGTATCTAAACGGAAGTCGCGTTGGGATGAAACGCCGCAGGCCACACCGTCGGCTATGACACCCATGATGACTCCCAACATGACGATGGCGACGCCGTTCGGCGTGAAGGCCATGGGAATGGCGACACCGACTCCGGGACATTTGATGAATATGACCCCCGAACAGATCCAGGCCTTCCGGTTCGAAAAGGAAATGGACGACCGTAATCGCTATCTCACTGATGAGGAGCTGGATGCGCTGTTTCCGCCGGGATACAAAGTCCTGCCTGCCCCGGCCGGTTATCAGCCGATTCGGACTCCAACCAGGAAACTGCTGGCAACACCAACGCCCATGTCGGGAGTCGGAGGATTCTTTATGCAGACCGAAGCTGCTGCTAGTAGTAACAAGAATATTTTGAATGCGCAACCACAGGATCCAGAATTACCTATGTTGAAACCGGAAGACACGCAGTATTTTGATAAATTGCTCCAGGAAGTGGATGAAGAGAATCTATCACCGGAGGAACAAAAGGAACGTCAGATTATGAAATTGCTTCTAAAAATCAAGAACGGCACGCCGCCTATGAGAAAATCCGCTATGCGTCAAATTACCGATAAAGCGCGCACCTTCGGGGCAGGAGCGCTTTTCAATCAGATTTTGCCGCTTCTGATGTCTCCGACTCTAGAAGATCAGGAGCGCCATTTGCTGGTAAAAGTTATTGATCGCGTTTTGTACAAGCTCGATGATATGGTCCGGCCGTATGTTCATAAAATTCTGGTCGTCATTGAACCGCTGTTAATTGATGAGGATTATTATGCTCGCGTCGAAGGGCGAGAAATTATTTCGAACTTGGCCAAAGCGGCTGGACTGGCCACGATGATTTCGGTTATGCGTCCAGATATTGATAACATCGATGAATACGTCCGTAACACGACAGCTCGGGCTTTTGCCGTTGTTGCATCAGCGCTTGGTATTCCTTCGTTAATTCCTTTCCTGAAAGCAGTGTGTAAGAGCAAGAAGTCATGGCAGGCACGGCACACTGGTATCAAGATTGTCCAGCAGATCTCCATTCTGATGGGTTGTGCGGTATTGCCCCATTTGCGAAGTTTGGTCGAGATCATCGAACACGGATTGGAGGATGAGCAGCAAAAAGTACGAACTATCACTGCGTTATCCCTGGCAGCGTTGGCTGAGTCCGCTGCGCCATACGGTATCGAATCGTTCGACAGCGTGTTGAAACCACTGTGGCAGGGTATCCGAACGCATCGCGGAAAAGGTTTGGCGGCATTCTTGAAAGCCATTGGGTTCCTCATTCCTCTTATGGACGCCGAATATGCTAGTTACTATACTCGTGAAGTGATGATTATTTTGATTCGAGAATTTTCGTCTCCCGATGAGGAAATGAAGAAAATTGTATTAAAAGTCGTCAAGCAGTGCTGTGGCACGGAAGGTGTGGAAGCTCAGTACATTCGCGATGAAATCCTGCCGCATTTTTTCAGGGCATTCTGGAATCATCGAATGGCATTGGATAAGCGAAATTACAAGCAGCTTGTCGAGACGACGGTAGAAATTGCCAATAAAGTCGGTGCGTCGACAATCATTGCGAAAGTGGTGGATGATTTGAAGGATGAAAATGAACAATACCGCAAAATGGTGATGGAAACCATTGAGAAAGTTCTGGAAGCGTTGGGCTCCGCGGATATTGATAACCGTCTGGAAGAGCAGCTGATTGATGGCATATTGTATGCTTTTCAAGAGCAGACAACAGAAGATGTGGTGATGCTTAGCGGTTTTGGTATGGTTGTTAATTCACTGGGAAAGCGCTGCAAGCCATATTTGCCGCAAATTTGTGGTACCATCTTGTGGCGTTTAAACAACAAGGCAGCCAAAGTGCGACAGCAGGCGGCAGATTTAATTTCAAAGGTAAGCAGTGCTTGCTTTCTTCCATAATTCCATTTGAAGTCTTGCGTGTTTGCATACTCATAAAATTATCTGATACTGAACAATTTTTTATAATATGTATTTTAGGTTGCCGGGGTCATGAAAACTTGCAACGAAGAAAAGTTGATGGGTCATCTGGGTGTTGTTTTATATGAATATTTGGGTGAAGAATATCCCGAAGTATTGGGTAGTATTTTGGGCGCCCTGAAGGGTATTGTAAATGTAATTGGAATGACCAAGATGACTCCGCCCATAAAGGATCTACTGCCACGATTGACCCCCATTTTGAAGAATCGTCACGAAAAGGTCCAAGAGAACTGTATTGATCTCGTGGGACGTATTGCCGATCGAGGAGCTGAATATGTCAGTGCCCGGGAGTGGATGCGGATCTGCTTCGAATTACTGGAGCTGCTGAAAGCTCACAAGAAGGCCATTCGGCGAGCTACTGTCAACACGTTTGGATACATCGCAAAGGCCATTGGACCGCATGATGTACTCGCAACTTTGTTGAACAACCTGAAGGTTCAGGAACGTCAGAATCGTGTCTGTACAACCGTGGCTATTGCCATCGTGGCGGAAACGTGCTCCCCGTTTACTGTGTTGCCTGCGTTAATGAATGAGTATCGTGTACCGGAGCTTAACGTGCAGAATGGTGTTTTGAAGGCATTGTCTTTCATGTTTGAATACATTGGTGAAATGGGGAAGGACTACATTTATGCTGTTACGCCGCTTTTGGAGGATGCACTTATGGACAGGTAAGTCTTTGCGCTTGTACAGAGCACAGCAAAAGCTTGCTGGGAAGCCGAGAACGGGAAAATGGTTTGTCATTATTTTTTAACCTTTTTGTTCGGTGTACCTGGTGTTTGTTTTGTTCAGCTGTATGTATTGTTCGTATTCCTTGCTGAATTGTGTGCTATTGTTTAGAATAGCATTACGGTTGTTAGTTGAAACGCCTATTTAATAATAGTATTTAATTACGCCTGTTTAATAGTAGTGATTGTAGCGTGTTCTTGTCTAATCTGGTGTGAAATTTTTACAGAGATCTGGTGCACCGACAGACCGCCTGTTCAGCAGTTGGACACATGGCTTTGGGAGTTTATGGTTTTGGTTGTGAGGATGCGTTGAACCATTTGTTGAATTTGGTATGGCCGAATATCTTCGAAACATCCCCGCATATGGCGCAAGCTTTTATGGCTGCCGTGGAAGGCATGCGTGTATCACTGGGTCCACTCCGTCTGCTTCAGTACGTGCTGCAGGGGCTGTTTCATCCTGCTCGTCGTGTCCGGGAAAACTATTGGCGTGTTTACAACACGCTTTACATCGGAGCACAAGACGCTATGGTCGCCGCGTATCCTAAGGTTCCGAACGATGGTAACAGTGTGTATGAACGGTGCGAGCTGGATTATGTGTTATAGCACTTTTTTCATAAATTGTCTTGTGGCATTTTGCATCACTAAAAATTTCAGTTTTAATGTGTGCTTCTTATTTCTACATCGGATCGGAAATTCTTTATTGAGTTAATCAACGTTTTACCGATATTATGAACAGTTCATTCCTTGCTTTTCGTTGACCATGAATAAAATGCGCTCGATCTACAGATAACCAGTCACACTTTCCATCTTCTGTTTGGTGCGAATAACAATCAATGTCTCGCCCAATCACTCAATTTACTAAACTGGGAACATGCTGAACGTTTCACAACAACACATATACATCCGGACTCATCCACCTTCTTTAAAATAAAAATATTGTAGAAGCTGATTCGTTTTATGTAAACATGATACAAGGGCTTTCCATATCCTAATCAAAAAAGATACAAGCACATTACGGCTAAAGATTATTTCTACATCAATCAATACTGCAAAAATGATTTTTCAAGCGCGCCTGCTGTAGGCAGTGTAGGGTGATCGTGATCTGCTTCGAGACCGTCGTGTATCAGGTGAGCGGCGTCGGCGAGGCGAACGGGATGGTGGCTCTCGGCGTGCAGTTCTGGAAGGAGACTTGCTACGAGTACGTGACCGTCTGGAATGACCATGGACCGGCTTATCAGAATCGCGATGACGAAAACTCTGCAACGAAAAAATATTTCACCGTTCGGTTCTTGGTCATGAATGCGACACTGCAACAAAAAGCATTGCACGAGGCCGGGAACTGGAAACAGAATTATGTGCATGGCTTATTCAACACATGTCAGATTTTTCTCTAAATATTTAACTATGTTGGTTAACAGAAAGCATTCTATCTTCCATGTCGGGCTGATAATACTGTCCTATGAAACAGAATACTTTACAACACACTGGTCACTCACACAAAAAAAGTTGGACCTTCTACCAGTATTTATAAAGCTCTAATAAAGAACAGCTTTAATCTTCTAAATTCTCGGACAATGCTGAAATTCAGACCAGACGACACTGTAAGTTAAACACATGACGCCTGCAGATACTGCGCGTGCTAATGTTAAAAAAATTCTTAAGAACTTGGCGCAGTTACGTTTTCTCTTTTGAGTTGAAAATGCGGTGTTTGGCACTACCCGCTGTGAGTGTCCCTAAAACTGCAACAAGAACACTGCAACTTACCTCAGACACCCTGCGACCATCACGATCTTTGCGATTTGCAGTGTCGTGTTCATCATATGGCCTTCGACTATCTACTCTACCGCTTGAGGTTGGCCGATCATCATCCGAAGAATCCGAACTGTCAACCCTGTCCTTTCTCTTTTTCCGGTCCACATTGTGTTTGTCGCTCTTATTACTGCCAGGGCTTTTTCCATCACCTATCGCCCAAAAACCACGTAAAAGTGAGCAGTTACAACCTGTAAAACTTCACATAAAACGTATTTATTGTTACAAAATCTGCTAACCTCTTTTACGATTGCTCTTTTCCAATTTTTCCAGCTTCCGTAAAAGCTTCTTTTTCTGCTTTTTTGTAAGCGATTTCAAAAATTCAATTTCAGCACTTTCCTCGTCCTCGCTCTCCACATAAATCTGATTTTTAGCCTGCAGGTCGTTTCTTCTCCATCCAACAACGGAATCTTTCAATTTGTACCCTTCTTCTGCCATCTTTTCCATGAGCTCGGCAGGTGTTGCAGTGGCAGCTGTAAAATCATACACAATCAATGCAATCCTCCGAAAATCTTAGAAATCAGCCCTACCATCTTTCCCCGAAGCCCCATTCTGCCTCCGTTTTTCCTCGGGCACCACCGGTGCGCTGTTGAATAACGGGCACTCTCTGTCAGTGTTGATGTGACCCCATTTGTGGCATTTGATACAGCGGACATTTCGCACAGCGATACCAAATGGCTGATCGCGGACATCTTCCTTCCCCACAGCGAAGCTGTGTCGAAAAACAACACCACCATTAATTCAACAAACTATTACGCAGCATTTCGAGCTTTCGACATCAGAGACGGCGACAGTAACGTTAACCAATCCCAAAAACTAGATTTCAACGAAGCTGAAAACAACAAAATATAATAATAATATTCTGACATATTAATCGATAGGATAATAATGGATAATTCACAAAACTCCCAAACTGACAAATTAGTTTTAAAACGAGCATTATTGATTATTGTTTTTAAAGCTTATTTATCGTATACTTCTGCCAAACTGCTCTACAAAGTTTCTTATAATATTAATTATTATCAAATATCTGACCCAAAAAATTTTAGAACGTTTCGGAAACGTCGCTAAAAACAACATCCAGCGAGGTCTGGTTTACCTTTCACGAGGAGCATGGTATTTTCTTTGCCATTCAAACTTCACTTCTGGCTCATTCAAGTCTCGCTCTTCATCTCTTTTTGCACCGGGAGGTAATTCATACATAAAGTTAATACCCAGCTTGAGTTTTTCGTCGTTACTAATCAGCGCACGATTGTTGTATAATTCCTGTTCGCGTTCGTATTGTTTCCTTAATTCGTCCTGTTTCGTCTTCTCCGCTTCTTTCTGCTGTTCTGCCATCCAAACCTAAATGTAATGCAAAAGTAAGATTATCAATTATTCTCAACAAACTGAAGCCAAAACTGAAGAAGCCCTGACGAAAGTGCCATAAGTAACTGCCATTATTTTCTCAACATCTTACCCTTTTTACGTTGTCCAAATTCGAAGGATGGAAGAACTTCTTGGACATATAATTATTGAACCCCTTTCCCATTTTGGCGCTGATGGGTGATAAATCAAAACTTCGTTCACCTGAACCAAAGAAAAGGACTCAGAGCAACAAACTGCAAAAACAGAAAAAAAAAACAGAAAAACCACGGATATCAGTGATAAATTTCAGCTTTCAAGTCCAAGACTAAAAGGATGCAGATTGCAGATTTACATAACTACGTTACTACGAGTAGAGCCCTGCAACGTACTGGTAAATCCGAACCGCTCCGAATCCACTCCGATTTTCGGAGCGGATTGGACGGATTTGTTTTAAAAATATTCGGATCGGAGTGGTTTCGGAGTTTAGGCTTGCCTGAATGGATCGGATTCGGATGTAATTATGACTCCGAATTATCCGAAATAAAATTATATTTCAACTAATTTTTATAGAATTTCCATAATTTTTAGGACAAAAAGCATCGTCAGCTTCGCGCTCCGCGCGAGGCTCCTTTGTGATTCGGTAAAGCACTAAACGTAACTACTTCTATTACGTTAACTTTAGTTACTCTGTACCCTTTGTTAGAGGCGAAGCTTGTTCAATCAAAGAAAGAAATCCGAATTACAACTTTTATGAGTTTTTTGTTGAGAACTAAAAGAGATGCCACTAACACGTGAAAGCAACAGCCAGAAACTGTGGTTTTTGCGATGGCAAAAAGATCAAAATTTTCGGAATTCGCAACTCGAAAACGCTCAGGTATGAGCAATCTATGGCTAAGACGACGGAAAATTTAAACTTAGATTACATAAAAATCAAATAAACGTTCCGAAGATTTTGAAAATTGAAACTTTTGATGATAACTTGGCTTGGATCTTTAATTGTTGCAGCGGATAGTATAGGTATTTTAGATTTTTCTGAAACGAGATAAAAAAAATATGACAAAAATTTTCGGAGCGGATCGGACTGGATTCGGATTTGTAAAAAACATTTACGGATCGGAGTGGTCGGAGTATGATTTTGAAAATTCGGAGTCGGACTGGGTTCGGAGAAAAATTTATTAGTTCGGATCGGGCTGGACGAAGTTTTCGACTCCGTTGCAGGGCACTAACTACGAGTACCATTTTTAAAAAAAATTTTGTTTTGGATATTTTTTTTCGTGCGCGCGTCGCCGTCGCGCAAACCTTGAGCGTTTAGTAGTAAAGTGTTAGGCGAAACGTGAACTTAAACACCACGCCGTCACTCTATCGGCGCCTATCCGTCGCCTCACATTTTGCCCTAGCACAGTACTTTTATTGTATTTATTTTTCGGATTGCAGAATCCTTAATCTTTTGATTCTTTTCAAGCATTTTATAATAATATTTATTTTGCACTCAATTTGCAGTTTTTGCAGTTCCAGCTTTCGGTGTTGCATTATTTCCCACTACTGTAGTATAACGATTTTTACTTGCGCATTACCAGTTCATGACTAGAAGTACTGTTTAGCCCTGCAGTCTTTGCACTATCATCCTGTTTCTGATACCGCATTGTTACATTATGCAGTAATCTTTCTTCGCAATACGTTCCCTTTGTGATGACATCGCCGTATCGCTTTGGGTGATCGTAACTCGGAAAAGTCTCCTTGTTTGTCGTGCTCCACTGTTCCTGATCGAAAACTCAGGGACTATGCTACATATCTCCTTCGCTCGTACGAAATCTCGCCAGTTTTTGGAGAAAGCAGAAAAAGTGCTGACGAAATTAAGGATGTTCCACACCGAAATTACGGCAAACGAGCCACGAAATGATGTAGGTAAAGTCAGTCTTATACAAGTCTGTTAGTGTTGTACTTGTAACTTGTGTATAAAACTGGGACTTTTTAATTTGTGGAATTTTATTGATGGTGAGTTGGAAGTCCATTGGAGCTGTGAGATAAATAGGGAAATTATTTTCCAAAATCCTTCCTTTAGGTTTCGGCCACTGCTGTTGTAACGGAAATGCTGGATATTTCACCAACTGTGAAGAAAGTTGTTCTTCGGGTAGACGAACCTAAATTCACCTTTAAATCCGGACAATGGTGCGCGCCCCGGCTTCTTTTGTCCAATTACGCGCACTTTTTGTTTACATGAAGATTTTAAACAGGGTGGACTTCACGATTTCGGGAGTGGACATTGTCGGAGGCTTCTCGATTTGCTCTACCCCGAAACTCCTCCGTGAACAGCGATTACTTGAGCTGGCCGTGAAAAAATCAAAGCACCCTCCGGTGGCTTGGGTGCACGATAAAGTTGGTGGGCATTTGAGACGATAATCATGCGTAGCGTCCTTATATACGCTTCTGCACGGGTAGTGTCGGGTCGGATCGACGGTGCAGATCCAAGCCGGCGGAGAATTCTTTTACGATCCGCGACCATCCGATCCGCCCAAGGATCTCTTGCTGCTGGCCGGTGGAGTGGGAATCAATCCTGTCCGATCGATAATACTTCACGATAAAGATTTATATGACGATCATTATGCAAAATCTTTTGGACATTGTCCTGGGCATGCAACGTTGTTGTATTGCGCCAAAAGCCCGTCCGAGCTTTTGTTCAAGGTTTGGACTTTGGAGTACTTATTTTTAGACTGTGCTGTTGTTTCACCTTTGTTTGTTTACGGTTCGGTCTGATGGCATATGCATTGCAAATATTGCATTTAATACATTAGTAGATTTTGCTTTGCAGGATGATTTTATGAGGATTTCGGACGACATCAATTTCCAGTGTGTTTTATTTGCCTCTCAGTTCAAGAACGTCAGTGATGTCGGCTCGAAATTTACAATTCACCGTAAGTTAGATTTTTATATTCTATGAAGTAACTTTTATTTTTCTGCGACTGTAGGTATTTGATTTCGTTAGAGATTGTTCAGTGACAGCATTGTTTGGAATTATTACCTAATTTATAAAATATGAAATGCCGCACATTGAAATTTTCGAGATTATTCTTTGTCAGTATCTTTTCGGTCATTTTACGATCCTTTTGGTAGTATCCGTCAGCATTCTGTGACCATAAGCCGTAACGAATACGTTTATTGTCGGCAGCGCATTTCTCCAGAAAACGAAATCCCACCTCCGTAACCCTGCCAAAATATGACACGAAGAAGTGTTGTAGCCCCTTTGGGCTGATAATAGATACTTATTCTATTGTTAATGCTGAATTGCTGACTAATGCGCGTGGATTACGCACGTCGCATGGTTTTCCATCATTGAATAGTCGAAATCTTTAGTTTGTTCGTATGGCTGTCTTATGGGGGGTAATGAGAATTTCCCGTCACTTCGGCATAGGTACTGTATTCTTTTGTAGCTGGTCGAATAACTGCGTTGGATATCTTAAGCACTGTCACAGCAAAGAAGGGCGGCAAATCATGGTTGGATATAAAACGCGTCATGTGCTACATTTGCGGGCCAAGGGAAATGGTGACGAGTTTAGTTCCTGCTCTCAAGGTGCGTACAGAAAGTGGAACATTATAGAATGTCCAGAAAGTTGCGATTTATGCTTGCATTATACTTGTATCATTGTATATCGAGACTTATTAGTAGCTGATACGAAACCTGTAACTTGTAAGTATTCTGTATATGATTGTGTATCATCATGTGAAGCGTGCAGGTTCGGATATGAAAAGTAAGTTTTTGCAACAGGAATGCGGAATTTCCGATGAGCAAATTGCCTATGAGGCATGGACTGTGACGCCACCACCGTCCCCCGCATCCATTAGTAAAAATGCGGTGTAAGAATTGGTGTACAGTATTTTGCGGTGGCAGTGCTGGTATTGTGATTGAGTACCATTGGGCCCGGCCGCCTGGGCCTTATTATTTATTAATATGATATTGTCGGCAGATTTTAACAAAATGCTTCCCTTAGTCTGTTCACCTGATAGTGGATACTGAAACTTTTTTGTTATCTTGGCAGTAGAGAGCGAAGATGCTAGTCATGACGTTGATGCTGTGCTATTCTGCAACTTGCCACTCTTTTCGGGATCGTGATCGATAAAATAAAAATGGTTTTTCAAACTGCTGAAAACGGAAAAAGGTTTTATGTTGATTCTGCAATAAGCCGGAACGCACAAATTCGCCATACAAGGCGTATGTTACAAACGTACGTATTAAACTGTGCGAAAATATGTACTGTACTTAATGAATACTAGATATAAAATGCTACGATCACTATAAAATGCTACGATCACTAAATTGGCTAACAAGTAATCACTACGTAGTTCGGACTGTTTTTTTGTCCACTTCGGTGATAGACGAATCAAATAGTGATGGCACACTAAAGGTATTACGAATAATGTTTTATATTATTATATTAATGATTAATTTGATACCTTTATTATCTTATATACTTGTACTGCAATTTTCTTACTTCCACTGGTAGTTATAAAACTTTATGGTGACCCTTTCGTCGCGATTCGGCGTCCGTGAAAGGAAACATTTTTTACTTGAAAATTATTTACCGTGCCTTGCCCCGGCACATCAGCTATGATCACATGGTTAAAAGCAATAAACTGGGGGTGGTTCGTAACCATACGAGCCTGCATCCACACAATCATTACAATCATAGCTCACATGGTTAAAAAATAATTTGCGTTACGTTCGGTACGCCACTGTCGTACATAGTGTGCTTTCTGTCTCTATTTTGTACGAATACGAACGCTGCGCTTTTCCTGTCACTTTGCAGGTCGCATTATAAACGTGCTGTAAAGTGTAATGTACTCGCATGCGAGGAAAAGTTCCCAAACCGAGTTTCTTTTATCTCCTACGAAGATTTTGGTGTACATTGACGTTTTTCTGACGCAATTATGGACCCTGGATTTGGTTCCTTTTGATATTCTGTTCTTGTTTACTAAAATGATAGGTATAGCGGTTATTCTTTGGTGTAAATAAACCATTTTCCTCTCTGATGGAAACGTTTTCTGCAGTCTACGTTTGATTGATTGTGGTTCAGCTGGGTTAAGGTCTTGAGGGTACAGTACTCATACTGTACATAAAGCAAATGCTGTATGACTAATGGGGTTACTGGAGCTGATCCCCGTCCACCCGTGGGAGCCCTAACCGTTTTTAGCCTTTAAACTTTTTCGTTTTAATTTTATGATCTGTTGGATCGTGATCTTCAGTTTTAATCTCAAGGAAAATGTCCAGCTCCAGCGGGAATTCTAAGGGAAGAAAGGCAGGAGGGAAGAAGTCCGCCAGTAGTCACGGTCGTGCATCGCACACCGACTTGAGCTCTATCGCGGACGTCAATGGCATGGACGAACACGACCTAAAGAGCTTGCTGGATTGTGTATCACGGTGCGAGAAACCAGACAGTGGTCCAGAAGCGAAAGGCATGGCCACTGCTATGCTGAAAAAGGAGCGGGCGAAAATCGACAAAGAAGAGCGGGCTTTCCCGGGCCAGATAAAACCACTGAAGACCGTCAACGGCAATCATACTAATGATCTCCTCTCGGCGCGTTCCGTTGCCGTTATCGGCGATGGGGATGTGAAGGGTCCCGCCAAGGCCTCGACAATGGTTAACAGCAGTCTGTCGCTGGGTTCAGCCGGGTCTTCCAAGGCATCCAGTAATGCCTCCGATGAGTCAGAAGAAGCGGATAACTCCGCAGCCAGCAATGCCAGCGGTGGTGAGTTCCTTGTCCTACTGCTGTGTTTAAAAAATGTTCGAGCTCATTGTAGAGAGATTCGGCGTGATCATTTTAGAACATGATTATGGATGCTATCCTACAATGGCCGTACTCAATATTCAGGATGAAAATGGTGAGGGAATGCTGACCGCCTGGCCCACTGCATGCCATTACCAGTTCTTGGTGTATTTTTAATATTTTGATTTTGTTTATTTTCAGATGATGGAAAATATGATATGAGAAGTTTTATGGCTGATAATTTAAACCATCCGCCTCACGTTTTAGCCATTTACCCTTCCGTGAGAAGTTGCGCGGATGCGTTAAACTATGGCACTGAAATTGATCTCTCAAAGTATGTACTTAACTCACGTAATTACGGTTAGACATATGTCCTGTATTGCTATTGTTGTGATGGATTTTATTTTCTTAAATCTGGTATTCTTTTCTAGTGGTTCGGAAAACACTCGTAGAATGTCTGGGAAGGATACGGGTTCTGATCGGGAGTCCGGAGCGTTGGGTATAGAACAGTGTTTCCCCCCTTTCTTGAAGCATTTCCATACATGGTCATAAGTTTATAACAACATTGCAGGTTTTTCAACACAGCAGACCCTGTCGGTGCCAAAAGGCGGGTCCCAGAGTGATCCTTCCCCGGATAACAACCACGAATACCTGAAGAAGAAAGCGGGTCGTAAGCGTCGACTGCAGAAACTCACCAAGTTCGACAAGAAGAAGCCTGACGTGGTACTGGGATCGAGTCTCGACAGTCAGAATGATTTCTATAATCGAGCATTCCAAAAGGCGGCGGACGGTGAAGCCAGTGATTTCCTTGATAGATTGTGTTTCAATCTGCATGAGCAAAAGGCGTCCGTAGCAGGTTAGAAGCCCAATCTGTGGTATAAACTGAGGATAGATTGGATATGTTATTTAGAAAGTTGCCTATACGATATTACCAATAGACTATCAAAACGTTAGAAACATGGTAGTTTTGACGAGGTTAAAGCGATGGCATGACACGATTATAGCTAATACGATATATTTTACAGACGTTTCGAGAAACTCCAACGAAGCGGAAAATTACTTCAATAGTGCTTCAAATGCTGGTAAAGGAAAGAAAGCACATAGCCGCTCCAAGTCCAAGAAGGACCACACAAGTATCGACACATCTATACCTTACCGTCCGTTGAATAACAAGAAAACTGACCAAAGTGATAGCGAAGAAGTGGAGAGTTTCCATGGTTCAGATCCTGAGTCAGTACCCGATGCAGCAGTGTGTGATATTGTAAACCAAAGCAAAGAAGTATTCTTCCAAGCCGAGCCGGTCATGGACTTCATGGCGGATTCCCTCGACTACAACGTTGACTGTGATGTGGAAATGACTCCGCTGGAAGACATGATGGCTGTAGATAGCATAGATATTGGGTGTCCAGCCGAAAATCAAATGCAGCTGCCGGAAATACCTCCGTCCGAAAAGATGGTTGTCTGCCGTACTAGCAGCAATTCATCCCGCTCCTCCGTGGATAAAATGGAAATAGATCACGGATCCATGCCTTTAGACGGGTACACTCAGGACGCAGATATTGACGAACTGGACAAGCTTGATCCTTCTTTGGCTGGCGGATCGGCGCAGGCGAAGAAAAAGAAGCGGAAGATTAAGAAGAAAAAATCGAAAGGTGCATACATTAACATTGATTGTTTAAAGTGTAGACGAGCAGGCATGTTATACACACTTCCGTAGATGGTAAAAAATCATAAAATTGCATAACGTCTTGCGTAGGTTAACTCAGGGGTTGCATAGTAATCGGTATATTTACATCTATATTTTCTGTAGGTAAAAGCCAGTCAGTAACGTCCAAAGATTCTAGCGTTTCTTCGTTTTTGGTGAACGAACGTGAGCGCGGTGTGGACGTGGCGCCAGATGTTCCGGTAGTTGTTCCAGCGACCAAGCCAATGACGCCGGAATGTGTCAGTGATCACCATTCGGACACTGAATTCCAGGTGGTGGGTCCACGTCGATACGCACAGAAGACTTCTCCGGCTGCTAAAAGCCAAGCTTCCTATCCGGGTGCCTATAAATACAATGGTACGGCTGCTTCTAACCGAACGCGCAGCTCGGCTTCCCAGTCCAAAACTCCGAGTAAACAGTCAGCCTCGGTCAGTGTGCCGCCGGCTGCCTCTGAATATCAGCTACGCCGTCGAAATTCCGCAGGAGACATCAAGAAAGTCGGGTTGGAACCAACGCCTGTAGGAATGGAAGCTGCGGGTGACAGCAGCGATCGCGACTCTGTGCGGTCGATGCCGGTTAAAAATTCGAAAAATGGTGAGTGCGGTTTGAAGTCGAAACGAGGTTTCACTAAATTAATTGCAGTGATAATAATTTTATATGGTCTTGGTTTCAGGCACCGGCAAAACCACTTCTGCTCCGGCAACTCGTCTTCCGACTCCGGGAATTAGCTATGCGGACATTGCCAAAGGTGCTCATAATGGATATGCTCAAGCGGTTTCGACGGAAGCAGTTGCGCCGCAGTCGGCTTCGATTAGTCAGGGTGATGTCGTCCAGCCGCCGAAAGTTTCGGATATAGAACACGAAGAAAAGGGTCTGGAAGCCGATGGAAGAGGAATTGCAGATTCAGAGAATAATAATCCTGACTTAGTGACAAGTGTTGATACTACGCCGACACCGTGTGGTAACGACGCGGATTGTCCTGTCGAACAGCCTCTGGAGGAGCACACTACGCCTACGACTGTTATAGAATGCCCGCCCGTGGAAACTCAGTATCATTCGGAAGAAGTGACTCTGGAGCGGGTTATACAAAGTGCGCCCACGGAGCCCATCAATAGAGCAACATCGAATAGCTCGCAGAAGAGCAGTACGTTCGGCCAGCCATACTATCCAGATTTCGGCGAGACAACCAACGTCCATACATATGAAACACACGCAGCACTGTTACGCACTATGAAACCAAGTCAACCGTTGGCGCCGCGAACTGGCCCGCAGATTTACCATCGTCCGGACCTAAAATTGCCGTTTCGAGAAAAATCCTATGGCCGGTATCATGACAGGGGTCGACATTATGGGAATCGTGGTAATGGACCACGGGGATATTATCCGACAGCTCATTACTCACATGGTCAGTCCAATGTCTACTACCATAATCGTAATTTCGACCATAATCGATCTCAACCAAGTGTCCTGCCAGTGGTGCCTTTGGAACATGGGCGAAAGTTGGAAGCTGAAAAAGATTGCGGAACGGCACAGAACGAGCGCCCTCGCGAAAGTGGAGATTCCAAAGTGACCTTGGAGCAGCAAACCGCAGTGCAAAAAGAAGAAAGCACCATGCAGAATGGTTCTACTTTAGCCGAAGCGTTGGATTTTTTTGAATCAGAGTTTGGAAAAATTCGTGAGAAGTGCCTCAAAGGTATGTTAAACGGATTTTTATCTTTGTACATCCAGTATGTATTTTTATAAGTAATGCTACGAGTAGGGCTGAATCAGATAAGTAATCATTTTATGAACGATCACGCCTCCGTTGTTGGCTATTATGGCTGAATTTGCTAATACTCATTTTTTCGTAGGAGCTCCTGGATATTTGTATTTCAAGCCGTGAAAAAATTCAAGACTTTTCGTTCCAGTTATTTTTTTGTAGTAGAATTAGTTTACTGGTTGATAAGAAATGTTGATCTTCAGTTGTACAAATAGAATCGTTCGTTGAGTCGGTTGAAGGATCTGGTGGTAGGCAGGATTATATTGTTCAGCTCAAATGCGAAGAAATTCAGGTGTTTATTTGGCTCTCAGAAATGCCGAATTTATATCAAAGGTTTGTTTCTTTTTGTGTTCATTAAGATGTTTCTGGTCTCGAAAATTGAGAGGATAGTGTTATTGCTGTTATGGTAGCCACCCTCTAATACTTTTTGATTTGTCGGCTGTTTTTGTTGTTGGTTTCCTGACGAATATTGTTTGGTTATAAAATTTATGCATTTGTTGTCTTCTGGTGCGCTTTGCTTGCATCTGGGGTTTGTCTTTCACAAGGTGGAAAAAACTTCGAGAAGCATTCTGCATACGCTTCTTTGTGAGCAACACAATGTCATCCTTAGGGCGAAAAGCAAACAAGTTAACAAATACTCATATCTAGTGAAGAAAAAATCACGAATATTAATTTTATTTTTAAAACGTGCGTTCATCTTGGAACCCGTAATTTGCGAAGGATATAGGAATATCCGTAATGGCATTTTCATTTGGAAAAGCATCGCGCGGTAGCGTATGGAGGTTGAAATTTTGTGGAGGTGGTGTGGGTGGAGCTGACCGATCGTCCGGCCAGATGCTCCTTATGAATTTCTGGAATGGAAAGGCAGAAGAGTATTTAAACTACTGTAAATTTTTGTGGCCGATTACTGTAATTGATGCTGACCTCTTTCCATGTATCTCCTTTTGTGTTAATAAACACATAAACTGCCCATGCCGGAAACTGCAGGATACCGATCCCGGCTAGAATCCATCCGATGGCGTCGGCCCATAATGGAAAATGCCCATGGGAACTCTCGTTCAGCGTTTTATACGAAACCAAGGATACGACAAGGATGAACTACAACATCAGGCAGATAAGTTAGAGTTTCGGCGAAATGAACTGTTTTATAATTTTGGCATAATTATTAAATTAAGGGATTTTAATTCATCTTCTGTGTACAGTGTAGTACAATTCACACTGATAACTTCATATATTCATACACGTGAGCTAACAACACATGATGAGACTTGTGAAAATTAAATTATGGTTTTCGTGGATCTCGGATAGGTAATGAAAACACAAAATTATATATGCTGAGATAACTATCGTTTTATGATTTAAGGTCAACATAAACTTTGACAAAAAGAAAAGGTCAATCGACAAAAGTATCGTTTCGCGTTTGAAAAACGGGAAGAACATACCAGCAGCGTCACTGGACTCAGAGCTGACCAAGCACATCTGCAAAATCATGGTCAATAATCAGTTTATTACAGCAGTCCATCGGTCATGCAATATTTACGAGTATATGGTGAACGCTCTTAGGTGCCCTATTACGAGGCTAGGGAATGCCTTCGAAGTTAAGTGAACTAAAATTCAGAGACAAAATGATTCGTCGTACCTCCAATAATAGCTGACCTCTCCGGGTTTCCCTAGCATTTCTCGAAGATTATTGAGAAATCTCTTCATACCGTATATCCACATGACACAGATTATCTCCAGTGTGGCAGCAAAGAGCACCGAATATCCGCCAGAGTACTCATTAAAAATGTCGAACAGATCCACACCGCCCTAAATTCAACAGCACTCCTGAAACCGCGTGACCTTAACGGTTATGCTATGCAAATGTAAGGAGATAAATGAATGCTTTTCCAGTTTTAATTATACGTTAAACATACCTGTGTAATAAACATGATACCCAGAAGAAAGCAGGCAGTACAAATTATCCCGACCACGTAAGGCTTTTTGGGCCGCCATGATGGGAATGTGTCAAATAGATACGTCAGAAAGTTCTCCAGTAAACCAATCTCACTTCCCAGCCTGTCAACGATGTGCTCAATCTCACTTATGAGCATAGTGCTTTTTTAATTTTTGTGTATTCAGAAGTCACCCGTTGTGCGTACCCGAGCGTAAATAACCTGAAACAGAGAATTGCCCAGTAAATGGCGTGTATTTAAAAGTATTTCTGTGACCAGTACCCTAATCGATACTCTCGATTGGATACTAATTCTAGTGATGAAATCCTTGTTATTTTTTATTACAACGAACTCCTACAATATATAACACTTTTAGGGTTCCTTACATTATGAAAAAAAGTATAGCCCAAAGATGAGGCACCGGCATTTGGTTCAGCGCTTCTGGAAAGGTGACAAACGCCAGTCCTGGTCCGGAAGCGATGACATTTTCCACCCCGACGCCCCGTTCACCAGCTAAAAATCCCAGAACGGAAAACATTGCCAGGCCGGCGGTCACACTAGTTGCTGAGTCCAGGACTGATACAATAAGAGCATCTCTGCAAACCGTAACATACGCAATTTTATGATGGTCGTCGTTAATTATTATTATAATCTGTGCCGTTTATTTGCAGTTCATGGCGTTCGGCGGCATCAGATGCTTATAAGTACGGAATTAGTACCGAAACTTACTGATAGCAGTTATTATTAAATTTATTGTAGGACCCTGCAATAACGTAACAGCATTGCACACAGTCAATGAACATCAGTGCAAATGAGTTTACTGTACCGAGCATAGTTAAGGATCCAAACGCTACGCTGAGTGAGAAGAACATTTGCTCCGCTGCTGCTCTCCAGGTCTTTTTTGAACCACACACCGAATTTTTATAACTGAATATTAGTTATACAAAAAGCGTTTATGATACCTGGATGCTAAGGATCTTGTCAAATTTCGGCACGACAAAGTACAGAATTCCATCCACAGCGTTTGTTAAAGTAGCACCTATGCAGCAATAAGCAATTAAAGTAACGCAGAATAAAAAAGTCGAACCAATACAGAAGCTACTCTAAGCTTTGAAAATTTTAAAATGCACAGGAATTCTGGTGCAGACCTCGAATGAGAAGGATGATGAGCACGACAAAGGGCATGGAAGAAGTGACATACACGACCTTTCCGGATGATTTTACTCCCTAAGAAAGCAAGTACTGTATACAAGTATTCACATTTTTAAATACCACGCTATCTCTTAGTCGATCTATATCAGCGCAGTAAAGTCTTTTACAAGAAAATTTAGTGATTTTTTGTTCTTCAGCGTTGTGGTGCACTGCTACATGTGACCACCTCTTCAAGTGTACTAATCAGGTACTGCAACTAAAGAAGTGCTGATACGAACATTTTAACATTAAAGCAAAACTCTGAAGAAAAAAACGCTGGCGGCAATTTTCCTTAACGAGGATTGTCTTGTACTGTACATCGTATTTACATAAACAAAAAATTGTACAAAGCAGAACGAGTATAATAAATTTGCTGCACTTGTACCTTGACCAGTGACAGGAAAACGATAACCCACGTTGCCGCCAGACAGCCTAACATTTCCGTATTAATCGCTCCAAGGTTACTTAACGAATGCGCAGAATTTGTCGCTTTGTCATACTTCATGAGTACGTATCGGTCAAAATACTGCTGGCTGGATGAAACCATTTTACTGGACATGGCACTAGTCAAATTGGTGAACATCACAACAGGAATATGATATCCGGTGATGGTCAACGCATGTTCGGCAGCGTTTTCCCCTTTTCCGGGATGGATACACGTTGGTTTGTGTGCCCATTCGTTGTCACAAAACGTCGCCCATGGAACCGGCTCACCCTTACAGGCTGCTATCAGTGTTGACCAGAAGTAATACATAGTCCATGCCATAATTACCACTAAAAAATAAACATCTCATCGAAATATCTGAATCAAATTAAATTTTGTTATTACTGCTGTCACTGAAAGGAAAGTACCGTAGTAAATGGCAACGAATAGGCTCGCCAATACTTGGGCCACCCCAACTCCTAAAATAAATTGGACTGAGTTGCTTTGTGTATATCTAACAATAATTATAATGTAAGTATGTAGCAATAATTTTTAAGTACCTTTTGCAACAGGCACGATCCGCTTCCAGATTTTAACCGGACCCTGCGAATAATACTGACCCAGAGCGATTTCTAGGAAATACATCGGCTTCCCGACCAGGAATAGCACACAGATATACGGAATCAGAAATGCTCCTAACATGCAGATATCGGCATAATGTAATATAAATTAGTATAAAATTATACATAATGTAAACATGTTAAGCAGTATTGAGGTTAACGTACCTCCGCCATTTACGTACGCTAGGTAAGGAAATCTCCACACCTATTTTATAATTGAGATTTCTTTTGATGCCGTTGATATTTAACAACAGGTTGTAGTGCATGCATTGCAATATTACGAGAAGTGCGCCGAAATTAAACAAAAAAATGCTACTGCGTGTGCTCACTGTGCTGTATAGCTAGGCTAAAATATTTTGATAGTACTTTATATATATACTGTAACACATTTTTTCAACAATTACTTGTTAGACAATAACTAACATTTCCAAGTCCGACCGATAAGCTGATGCAGGAAAGGACAAATTCTGCCTTATTTCCCCATTGTCCACGTTCTTCTTGTTGTTGATTTTTTTCATGGTTTGGAGCGGCGGAAATGCTGTGGACATCGTCTTTGTCCCGCTGTTGAGGATAACTGAAGGCAGAATTTAGCGTATCGCACGAATAAGCATGCACAATATTCTGCGCTGATTTGCTAGGCCTTCGATGCTGAAAGGAATTGGATGGCATCACACAAAAACACAGCTAGCTACTGGTGCAAACAATTTGAAAGTGTTCTCATGTAAGTAATAATTACTAACACATCGCACTTACAAAAATGTGGTCTACCATTTTTTGTGTTGCCGTAGTACTCCCAAGTAACAACTTTGAAATGTTTCAACTGTAACAAATCATTCTGTTTGGAGACTTTGCATTACTACAACGGTTTCGCTGAAAACAAGCTGCTTCACATTTCGGCAGTATTTATGAGAACAGCATAATAAAACGGATTGCTGCAAGTGCTTTACAATAACCTTTCGGGATCACAAGCCGGAGATGCCGACAGTTCGCGCAAACATTAAAGTCGTTAAGCCGTCAGTATCGCTGAGTGAAGTTCAAGGTAAAGTTGGCTTTTCATGTCTACTTTGGTTAGCAATTGCAAACAAGAGCTCGCAACATGACTGATTTTGTTGATGTCGGCAACTTAGTTTGCCCGAATCTTTTAGCACACATCTACTGCCACAAACGCAAAGATACAACGTCCTAATATAATTAATTTATAGGACTATTTTCTGTTAAGCATACGGTGTGCAATTTTAACGGAAAAATAAGAGCAAAAGAAACTAAGCTAAGGGTATCCATATTTTGAGTCACCCAGTTTGCACGCGGAGCGCGCTTTACTTCTGCTTGCCGGGAGATAGCAGTTATAGCGGTCCATAACTGGACAAGCTATTTAATTTTGCAATAAAAACCACATGGAACACGGTGCCACAATAAACATTCAGGTGTGCGTGCCGCATTTTACACTGTATAATTTCACAAACAAACTCGGTAAACAATCTACAGCGCAATGAGGCCTTTTCTGATCACGGCTGCATTTACTTACTGCAACTCATACACTTTGTTTCAAAAGAATATAAAGTGCGCGCGCATGCATGTGTTAGTGCTTCCATATCAATAGATTCATATATCCTTACGTCCTTATTTTTTGGAAATTATCTCCTAAATCAGGATTGATTTTTTCAATAAGTTGATGATTACAAAAAATAGAGCATCGCACAAACGTTCCTACCTTTATATTTAAAAAAATCTTAAGTTTTGGAGAAGGTCTAAAAAAATTTTTAGAAGCTGTAGTACTTAAAGGTTGTTAGTACTTAAAGATTGTTGGTTTTGGAAAATATCTCCTAATTCGAGATTCTGTTTGTGAAGTTTTTGATAGTTTTATAAAATCCAGCATCTCCCAAAGCTTCCTATCTGCTGCTTGGAAAAAAATTTTGGTTTCCGGAACGTTTTCAAAAACCCTTTTAAACTTTCAGTACTTAGCGTTCAAAGTTCATAGAAATTTCCAGTAAATTCTGCAAACGTTTCGAATGAGCAAATACAGGTTTTGCAACTTAGCAACCTACTCTGTAAACAGTAGTTATTTAAAATTGTCAGTTACATCAAACTTTTAAATTTACTTTTTTAAATTTTTGAAACCTTTAAGATGTTTTTAAATGCGTTTGAATACTTCAAAATAAGTGTAAATTTATCCAAAGTCAGCTCCAAAGCTTTTACATTTCCAGAATTTCTAAATATTTCTAAATATTTCGACTCGGCCCCGCGCAGCGGGGCCGTTACCTCTAATTTTCTGAGCCTCCAGAGTTTCAAAATTTTAAAAATATCTAGAAATCTGAGTATCTCAATATCGCACGGTTTAAAATGTCTAATTTATATGTAATTTCTAAATATCTAAAAGCCGGCCGTGGCCTGTTTACCGTATTCACTCACGTAGCGGCTCTGTAATTCTGGTGGTAGCTTGGGCACTCACTAACCTACGTTGCTCTGTAATACGGGCGGTAGCTTGGGTATTCACTAAGCTCGAAATCTAATATAATATATGTATTTATTTTATTTTAGTAGAGCTTGACTGAAGGGCTGAAAATTTTACAATCTTACATGCAGCCTGCGAGGTCACCTTGGGCAACCGTTAATCGTTTCCCACAAGTTTCCATTAATTCTGCGCTGAAATATCGGCTTAACGGTTTTTTATGGGCATCGTGTAAATATGATCCCACTCCATCTATTTTATCACCGTTTAAATATTATCTGCCGTACCAAAAAATACAGGTTTTCAGTTCGTTAGAATCGGCAATATAAAGTTACATTAAAAACGGGAAAAAGAACCGTGAAAAAGACAAACAAAAAGAAAAATTACGGAGGCTTTCAGTTTTTATAAAACTGGTCGAATTAAAGCGGAAAGTTTGAAAACTATTCGCTTTTTGCACATATTTATAATATTTTCGTAGCTGGCCTCGCTGGGGTTTTATATTTGAAATATTTCTCAAAATCGTTTTTATTGCTTTACGAAGTGTATTTTGTACTGTACATATTTCTTTCATTTTTCCATACCTCGAACACAACTGGTCGCGCGCTAGCGCGACCGATACTTGTATGTTATAGTGCTCCCATGCTAAATAGTTCACAATCAGTTCAAGGTAATAACCCGAGATTATAAGCGTTAGTAATAATATATGTACTGGAAAACGTAAAACAACCGAAGAGACGGATACCCATTATTAGTCGTATTGCACAGCTGTACATTATATTTTACGGGGCCATTACTGACCATTTTCAGCACCGGTCAGGAAAAGCAAAAATCACAAAAATAATTTTTGTTAACAGAAATTGTCTCGTAATTATGAAACGCTCTTACAAGACCAGATGAATTTATTGCTAATTATTATTCCCTCTTGTCGTAAGCGCGATTGGTATAGGCGGGCGGTTTATCGTTAAGACTTCCATCGGATGATGTTGGCTTGAGTTTCGCGCGAGGAATAGTTCCCATCTGGACGACTTCCGCGGGCATTTGAGGCTCCATAATGTAATCCGGCCACAAGCTTTGCTTAAATTTCTACAATAATTTTTCATGATTTTTACCTCTATAGTATCGCAAAAGGTAAACAATAAATTTTTGTACCTCTCCCAAGGTGTCACCTTTGCTTTTCCACACGACAATAATGGCCCACACAGGCAGTTGGATGATAGCTAATCCCGCTAAAGTCTGTAATTAAAAAATGACGATTTTACAGGCTTTTTCGTATAACTGCGTCAGCATGAACAAGTTTCCTTTCCACTGCCTATCATGAAATGGCTTTAATACGCATCGTTAAATTACAGTATTAGCTGGTGTGCGACTGCTACAGAAAAAACACCAACTGTACAGAAATTGCACATCGATCACATTCGCCACGCAATTGTCTGGTATAGTTGTACTTAGGCAAGTTTTAAATTGTTTCTCGAACATGTAATTGCTAATTAACTTGAAGAACAGGATTAAAGACTTTTGAGGGTTTATAGTTACTATAAAACCTAAAAAGTCTTTTAATGCTGTTATTCAAGTAAAGGCAAGTTATAAAGGCAAGTTTTAAATTGTTTCTCGAATATTTAACTGCTAATTAACTCGAAGAACAGGATTAAAGACTTTTGAGGTTTTGTAGTACGACAGAAACGATCAAAAATACTGTATAGCCTTACCCAGCCGATCCCATCCGCCCATACCGGCAATCGTTTATTCGTAGCCTCATACAGTGTCCGATATTGAACGAGCGATACAATTAGGATAAACTGCAAAATCATTATGAAAGACCGGTATATGAAAGACCGGTATATAATATATATATATATATATATATATATATATATATACATTTATTTGAATAAGTGGTACTCGTGAGCAGTAAGCACTTACCAGAAGAGTGACGGGACTCAACACAGACCAAGCAGTTCTACGAAAGAAAGAAATAATTTTATAGTTTCCCATACTGTAAATTAGTTTGTTTAACATAAAGTACACATTTTTTTAAAAAATTATTGCCATACTCGCGAATACTTCAGGCAGCAATATACTATTGCAGCACTTTCGTGAACCGACTTATCGCTAATTATTACGAAGAGAGGCACGTAGCGTCGTCAATCAGCTTTTTACATCCATCTCTTGCATGAATTTGTATTTTAGTCCCTAATTATTTTCCGTATGATATCAGTCTGTTGTACCGATTATCATAATGATTTATTACCGCCAGTAATAGCTCATGTCGCCGGATTTTCCCATCATCTCCTTCAAATCCGAAATGAATCGTTTTAATCCATACACCCACATTACACAAATAATTTCGAAAGTCGCCATAAACAGAACCGAGATACCACCAGCGTATTCATTGAAAATATCAAAAAGATCCGTTCCCCCCTGAAACGACATTAGTCTGCTATTTCAACAAAAAAGAAGTAACGGGAATAAAGACTGCCATTTTTAGAGTATTAAGTGTCTACACCAATGTCCGAGTATCCGTACATATAGGTTAGGACGTTGACTATTTTAAATAAGTAATACTTAGTCGTTGCGTACGGAAAATTAATCCAGATAATACTTCACGTCATATCGAACCGTTCAAAATTTATACTGCACACATTATCGTTTGGTGAACTGTACCTGTGTGATAAACGCCAGTCCGATGAGGAAGCAAATCGTACAGCCAATGGCTACCACTAAAGGCTTTTTCTCTCGCAAGGAAGGAAATTTATCGCATAAGAATGTGAAAGCCATCTCCAGCAACCCGATCTCGCTGCCCAGACCTAAAGTGTACAACCTAAAAATATTAATGATAAAATGAGTAAAATCCTTAACCATGAATCTACGAGTACGAAGTCCCAACATTTGAAAAGCATGCGCAGTGACCTTGAAACAAAAATAGAACACTTTAGCAATAAAATCGGAATTTGCCAGGGTCAGAATCAATTACTGTAACGTGGTAATTTTAAAACGTATTATTTTACTGCAAAACAGTGCATTACATGACAAAGAACAGGATAGCCCAGAGATGTGGAGGTTGCATATTGTTCAAGGATTCCGGAAAGGTGACAAACGCTAATCCTGGTCCAGAATCCACGACGTGCTCAATACCAACCCCGCGCTGGTTAGCGAGGAACCCCAATACGGAGAACATGGCCAAGCCGGAGGTCACGCTGGTTACCGTATCCAGCACCGATACAATCAAGCCATCCCTGGAAGATTAAGTAATAAAATTAGGTATTCTTGATAAAGTGCACCACAAATTGAAATTGAATTCATTATTATATATTAGTGCGTAAGTGTGTATTATACTGAATATGATTAACACGCAAAAGGTTAGAACAAACGCCGCTAGCGTTGCACAAATGTCGTCTCGTAATTACCAAACTTACTGGTAACAGTTGTTGTTGAACTTATTGTAGGAACCTAAAATGGCAAAAGACGGTTGATAACATTCATATAACCAATTGCAATGGATTCTGGACATGGGTATCGGTACTGTAATCGACATCGCACAATTCCTAGCAATAACTGCAGCTCCAAGTGCCCACAGCCAGAGATAGAGGCAAGTGAGAATGATGCAATAAGTACTAAATTAATTGAAAAAACAGCAATTATGACTTCTTGTTTGAATAAATTACCTAACATGGTTAAAGATCCAAAAGCAACGGAAAGAGAAAAGAACATCTGCTCCGCGGCAGCTTTCCATGTCTAAAAGGGACATCAGTGTGGCAGTAATTATGTTAGGACCTGTTCCTGCTGAACACGGTATTGTATTATACGATACGGTAGAATGGCCGTAGAATACAAACAAAATTATCAAGGAGATATACAAATCTTCGGAAAAGAAAATGGCACTGAAAATTAAAATTGTAGTCCAATAATTCGATTATTACCTGGATGTTCAGTAATTTGTCAAACTTTGGCACGATGAAGTAAAGAATGCCATCAACGGCACCGTCCTGAGCGGCACCTAGAAGAAGTTGCTGTATTATAAAGCTTTTTAAGCTAAAATTGAGCAAGATAGCAAGCACTACATTCGTTTATTTATACAAATATTTATACATTTATGTATATATACACCTATAACCTGATACGTTAACATGAAAGCAGAATTACGACCGTAGATTACAAAAAGGTCACTTTACCATTGCCAAGTAGAATGATCAACACAATGAAAGGCAGAGTGGATGTCACTGTAAAAGAAGCATATAATATGTGTGGTGAACTGAATTCAATGACTGCAATAAGTTAGGTAGCTGGAGACAAAAAAATAATTACCATAAACGACTTTTCCAGAACTTTTCACTCCCTGCAAAATAAATTACTAAATGAAAGCGATATCGGTGGAAGGATATGTGCATACAGATCTGTACTGCATTTACAGTATCATGAATAATAGTTGCAAAACTAATACTACATGTTCAAATATTTTGAATCCCGGTACAGTAAAAACATACCGAAATACCTTGTTTGTTGTTGCGCAGAAGAGTAGGATAAAAATATAAATAGCTATGAAATAAATATAGAGTATAAGTAGTTATAAAATTTGACTTCAACAACCTCTTTAAAAGATGTATTTTACTTTTCGATAATATGACTGTGCCGGGTTGTTATGCTTACCTTGACCAAAGAGAAAAAAACGATAATCCACGACAGTGCCAGACATCCCAGCAGCTCCAGACTGATGGACCCCAGATTTTCGAGACCATGTGGATCAGGACTTCCCTGATCATATTTGACTAGCACGTAGCGATCAAAATACTGCTGACTGGCCGAAGAATATTTCAGGTTTTTCTCCACCGGAAAGGGGATAATAGGATGTAAGACATTGGGATTATCGAAATCGTGTATCCACTGCTCACCGCCCGCCACGCTGCCCGGCGGAACACAGGTTTCTTTGTGAGCCCAGTCACTTTTACAGAAATGTATCCACGGGACGGCTTCGTTGCGAAAGGCAGAAATCAGTGTTGCCCAGAAGTAGAACATTGTCCAGGACATGATAATAACTGTTATTATCACATAAAAGAGTGTTAATTCTTCAGTAAGTTTAAATTAGTGCAGCAAAGATGTGGTAATATCAATAGTTCACGACACACCGGTAACATTCTGCAGTCCCAATTTCCGTATCGTACCCATACTAGTACTTCTATACACAATAATTATGTACTGTAAAGCTTTGGTTTCGCCCATACCGTAAAATATAGCAACGCACATGCAGACCACAACCTGAGCCGCGCCAATCCCTAAAAACACCATAAAACCGTGATAGTTTAAAATTGCAAAATATATCAAATATGTATCAAATGTATCAAATGTAAAATATATCAAATGTAAAAATAAGTATCAAATGTAAAATATATCAAATGTACTTGGCAGATTATTCTCGGCGCTTGTTAAGTGCGAAACAACCCAAGACCGATGAAGCGATAATTGCCATCAAAATAACGAAAGTGCAAGCGCGGATACATTATTCACATCTGACCTTTTGCCAGAGGAACGATACGTTTCCACACCTTTACAGGTCCAGTTGCCTCATGCTGACCAAGAGCAATTTCCATAAAATACATCGGCTTTCCAACCAAAAATAGCACACAAATATACGGAATCAAAAATGCTCCTAAAACACAGATGTAAGGGATAAAAAAATGCCACATTTTTGATGTTTTATTACAAACAAAACTACTATTAATTCGAATGCGTTTTTGACGAGTGATGAATCATAAATAAAGCTAATATTTACGATGCGTAAAATAGCTTACTCGTTAGATAGTCTTCATTCAATCTACTGTCATGAGGTATTTCTCTCAATCTAAACCTTTTGTATTTACAAAGGCGTATTACTTTTTACGTATATTATTATAATGACAGACGGCACTACATGCTTGCCGTACTCTAGGCACTCGGTAGTAAGTGGTGGGAAAATATACACTCGAAGAAAACTCGTACTTATAATTTGCAACCATAATAATTATATTATTGAATGCAAACCTAAAAACATAGTTTTAGGCTAAATAATGCATTTGTTGATATGTTTATTTTTAAACGACAATCACTTGCCAAAGCTAATTGCATTATGAAGGACTAATGTATAGTGAGTATATAAATAATTCCATAATATTATTGGAATTATCGCATTTAGAATTTGCTTACCTCCTCCGTTAGCGTACCTGGGAATATGAAAACCTTCATTAGTATTGTTCGGTCGATGAAATCAAATAAATAAAAAAAACCTCACGCTAAATATGGAAATCGCCAGACGTTTCCCAGACCGACGGATAAACTGATACAGGACAGCACGAATTCAGCTTTATTGCCCCATTGTCCACGCTCGGGGGTATTCGCATCACCCGTACGCGTGGAAACCGTGTTGTCGTGAAAGCCTTCGGCATCCCTCTTTTCCACAGGCGCCTCGGTAGTAGTAATTTCAATGCTGGTTTTCTTGGGCTGAAAGAAACAAGTAACATACACGTTTTAGTTTTGGTTTTTTGCTCTGTTTTTCTTTTTTCTAGAAACGAAAGGTTTTAGAGACTTGAAATAAAAATTCAGTAGCGTGCATTGTACTGATCATGATGGTCACACTAATTCGCTCTAGCAACAAACCAGTCAGGTGTTGTAAAATGCCATTTATTTTTTTTTAATTTTCAAGCAGCTACCATTATTCAGGGTTACGGATATTACATACAGTTACAGCAAAAAATTCTGACCCCGTGTTTGCGCATAGATCCAATATTGTAGGTAAAACAAGAAAAGTTCCATCAAGAGACGGTAACGTTAACGTGGTGTGGATTCATAACACGGGCAAACTTACGATAAATACGAGCACTTTACGTACAATACTTTCAATCGAATTATAAATAAATTTATAAAGTTACAACTAATGTAAGTATGTTTTCCATTACAATGGTATAAAAAATACATGCCGTACCATTTTCGCAGGGTGACAAAAGCACAAGTATTTTACGGAACCGGAACTCTGGAATCAGTAACAGGCGCTAGCTTCACGCTGCCGACGTCCAGATTATAATAATTCCATTCAGTTTGCACAACCAAAACACCAAACATGTACAATGCAGATGAAATTACAAATCACATGTACTGTCACAAATGACAAAGGGTGCTTTAGTGAAAATGCTCCGTGTCGGCTGCTGCGTGCAGGAAACCAATTCTGCAGTGTCCTTTTGGTCCTTTAAACGCACTACAAATGCAAATTAACACGATGTTTATGTGCAGCACCAATGTTAAGCGCTTCGGTCGCACATTAATATTTTAATGGCTGCCGGACGTGAACGTTTACACCGCTACCTGCATCTTTATCAGCCCGGTACGGATTGTACTCCGTGTATGCATTGTCTTAACTTGTAACGTGTAAGACGATAAGTGGGAAAGCGATAACGAAAAAGTGTATTAAACAAAAATTACGATAAGTTTCGTGATTCTATTGTCACTAATCAAATGAGAGTAATATGACAGGTTTGATTTCACTGTGGTCATGAGCAGGAAACCGAGGCGATGTTAAAAGTGTGCACTGCATTGAACATTTGTCAAATTTGTAAAGCCAGAAAACTACAAACAGCATTAATTTTTCAAATCTTATTTAAATTATACAAATTTGGAGAAAAAAATATCCATGTGAGCCTTGTAGACCTCCTGCTTTTTATTTATGAATGTGCAGCAACTGTCTCGAGCGGTACATTGCTGAAATACGTATTTAAAGTAAATTGTAGCACATAATTTTAATGGAAATTTAACGCAGAAGCAGTCAAGTTAAGTTCATTATGCCTTTCATAACATACAGATACAATAGTTAAAAAGCAGTATAAGTTAACAGTTACAACTAATCAATAAAAACAACATGGAGACCGTGACCGTTACTGGGCAGAAACGGACAACAGAGTTTTTTAAGCAACTATTTTTGTGCATATTGTACAGTTTATCTTACTGTGAAATGTGAATGATGTGTCTATCCCGGTGGAAAATAACAATTCAACAGCTACCATATTATTAAATAGTAAGCAACCAACCGATTTCAACTTTCAGTTGCGTAATAGTGCAACAACAAATACTCGTGCACACACTGACCGTAAACTGAAGGAAGGAGCTTGGTTGTCATGAAGCCGTTTAAATCAATACAGTAAGTAACAGTATCTAATCATCAATCGGCAGCAGTGCCGCAGTACTATGAGTGTGAATGATAAAAGAAAAGGTCGTGCAAATACTTGTGTTACTATACTTACTGTGCGCATGCAGCCTTCAGTGAAGCGAATCCGTTTTCTAAAAGACCAGACTAATTCTCATTTAAAAGTTTGAAACACTACTGGAGTACAGGACTAATCAAACCGGAAGTTCTAAATTTAATTTAAACGTCGAGCGCACCCAAGCAGATGTGACGTCAGTCTAAATAGTCTTACTCCAAACAAAATTTGTCTAAAATTGCCTTCCGTGCTTTTCCTAACAGCAATTAAAACTACTGTATATAATTATCATATTTATGTTTATTTTTCTGTGGCAAACACTGCCCTAACATCACTTTGCCATTGAGAACAAAATAAATTTATTGAAGAATGCGTGCAAACGAGATATATATATGAAGGATCTGTACCGATATTACAAAATACGACAAAACAATTGTCAAATTATTCCACATAGTTCCATAGTGTGGCAAACATAAATAAAAACGGGTGCAGTTATATTTAACGGCTAAAACGTTCAGGAGAAACCGGATGCACTTCAACACCTGTACCATGAACTGTTCCAAATACAGTAATAATGACATAAAAATTTTCACTTTCCAACGACGATAGCACATGCAAAAGCCATACCGTCACTATAAAAACATCCGAAGTCGCTGTCCGTCTTCGCCTTTGTAAAAACGCTTCCAATAACCGTAGGATGACCTCCCCCAAAAATTGGCACTCCCGGAAAGACTTCTCGCAACTGTTTGACGTTATTGGCGAAATCCTTGTGGATAGCGGAGGAGACGTGCAGATCACTATGGGAGTAAATCAACAGCATCCGACCTCCCGTGACCTCTTGAGCAGTGAACTGGTTTCGAAGTTGCCGCATCTTTTGTAGGCGGTCCGACTCCTTCGCCATATCATCCAAGACGATCTGGTAGGCGGTAACATCTTGTCCTCCAAAGGCAACGTATTCCAGTCCATAATCGGGTGGCACATCGCATCCGCACATATTCATCACAATCACGGGGAATTCCGGAGACTGGACATTCTCAAAGACTGGATCCCGACCGGTGAGAATGATCACCAGCTTCGGCGCCAGGGCGCTCAGTTCCCGAACCATGAGTGACAAACAGCGACTGTCTTTGCGGGATTGTTCAGTCCATCCATAAGACTTACATCGTCGTCGTATGTCTGATTCCGAATACTGCTTGCGCCAGATATTGATATTGTTCATTTTCGGGAAGATCAACATGCTGAGATCGCGCGACGATGCGCTGTGGTCCCCCTGGTCAGCCGGCGAAGGAATGGGACATAGCACACAGTGGCTGCGAATATGCACAACTTTCCACGCATCTTTCGGCAGCAGATTGGTTAAAATGGTAAACATATCCTTTGTGGTTCCGTCATACTGGCTTTTTGGAATGGAGAAGCGCCACTTATCCGTAAACATCACTTTCGGCGTGGAAAAACATATGACCATATCGGGTTCGCAGTATAATTCATGTAAGCGCTCACCGAAGATATCGCTTTCTCCCAGGACGGCCTTTTGGGCGTTCAGCGTTACCAACAAATTCGAGATATCGGGAAGGTGTATCCAGCGAAAGTTCTGACGATATGACCGCATTTTCTCCAGATTGCAGACTGTTTGAAGATCTTTATTTACCTAAAATTTAAAAATTAAACGATTCTTGATAGATGAGATGATAACGATATAGATTCCACACTTTGAAGGAAAGTGGTTTGCATGAAAATGATTATTTCAAAGACAAGAAGACCGAGACGAGGTATGCAAAAACACTGATTAAAAACTAAACAAATTCTAGAAACGCGATAGTGATGCGCCATATCGAAAATACGTTAACGTTATTAGTGGTCAATGTTCGGTACCTGAGCGAGAGCAAGTAGTGATTTCATCGGAAGATTCTTTACAATCGCGTTCATTATAGGAGGGATAACGATGAAATGATTGAAAGTTTCCGCCACGAATTTCTGTAGCATTTGCTCCTGCATCGCCTTAGCTTCGAATTCATCATTGGCAGCAGTGAGTGTTTTGGGGTGTCCTTTCTTCGTACCGTTTCTTTTGCCCATTTTCAGAGAATTCTTTTCATCACCGCCATCTAATTGACTGTTGCTGGCGCTTAAAGCTTTAACCAAACTGTTCCGCTTCGAGTAAGAAATTCCAGACTCGGCTTTTCTTTTACCAAGGCTTTTCGCGCTGAGGTCCATTTCGATCGTCCATTCACACCATCACTGCAGTCTAAAACGAAAAAATATTCATTCTGTTATCTATCATACCGGGGTCTGAGGGTTGTACTTCATTAGGTTTTGTCGGCAAGGTAGTTCATGTGGTCCGCGACTCCGCATTGCTTGTATGAAAAAAATTTACCATGGATTCGTGATTCACGTAAGTTGTTATGTTGTATTATGATTTAAAAGTGCGCCACTGAACAAGTAAGTACTTACTTGCCTCGTAGGGGCTCCCGATCAGTCATAATTCACAAAAATTATAAAACCCACAAAACGGGAACAGCAGAATCGAGCTTACCTTCGAAAAAACAAGTATCATCGAGCGGATTCTGAATCAAGATGATAAATTACAAGTTAAGTCAAGTCTGCTTAAAAGGATTCCGCTGAGTGTCGTCATGTTCTTCGGTCTCGAAAAGATCCCTACAGAACATCGACAACTCAGATTTGGCGGTCAAAATTCATGCAATAACACGTATGTACGTACGTGGTAAGCCAAACGTCCCAAACGGAGAGAAAACGTTTCGCAGTAGAAGTACTGATGGCGCTCGTACCGTTCCGACCGGCATGGGTTATGCCGGTTAGGCATACCGGCATACGTGGTCCAAACTCCACTTCCATCGGAAAGCCGTAAAAAGGGAAAACTTGGGAGAGGATACAATAAACCCAAACTCGCATTAAATTGTAATTTTCTGGAGATTTGTGCTATTTGTGCTGGGGAGGTTTTTTGTGCTATTTAATTTTCCAACAACAAGGCCAATCAGAGGACGCAACATTTTCACCGCCGTTCTAGAGCACCTGCTAAAATACAATTCGGTAAGAGAGTGTCAAAGCTTTTGATTAACAATGTGAGTGGATTTGCATGCGGATGTTGCAAATTGCCGTAAAGTATTATTATTGTCGTATTAAAAGCTTTATTCCTTTTCGTGTTTAGTCCAGTTAAAGAACTGCTCGCATTAGTACGGGTGCAAGACTGCAGACTGCAGCTGGTTTCAGGTTGTATAAAATAGGTAAAACTATTGTTTTGATTTGATTTATTGTCTCATGCAGCGGGACAGATGTCCCCTCTGGGCACTTGACACAATTATAGACACAATTTAAATCTTCAAAAGGTAGCCCAAAAATTATAGAAGTATCAGACAAAAACAAACCAAATGTAAAAAATAAAGACAATCAAATAATAATTTTGCACAGAAAATGCTGGAAACCACAATGTCGAATCAGTTCTTCAGTAGCTTAGTATAACCGTGGACTGTGAAAGAGTCCAGGACGGTAGCCCAGACTGACAGGACTCCGTGGAGTGTAATACGTGACGTTTAAAGGAAGAAATGCACAACGCACGATATCCAGTCTACGTAGTACACTTTATTAACGTTCTCTATCGTGAAAACCAACACACTGACGTTCAGTCAACTCAGAGAGCCAAATTCCACCTGCTCTCGACAACTCTAAAGCACTGCGCAGCAGTGAACATAATGAACGGCAGTAGCCGACCAATCAGAGAAGCGCTGCGTCACAGACGGCAATTCCCCATGGAGTAGTGCAACGAAGCACTCCCGTAGCGCCAGTAGCGTCACGCAGGTGGACGCAAGGGAGCCATCGCCTCACATGCCTCTGGGTGGGAGGCTGAGCTCCGTCGAAGCTTGATCCATTCCATTCCGCTCCGAAGGTGGTCTGTGCGCGCTCTCGTAAAAAAAAAAAAACATCAAATTCTCTTATTCCTTCTTATATCACATGATTCCAAATGCACAATGTGAAATAAAGAGATCTGTATAAAAATACTATTCCATATAAACAGATCAACAGTTATAACAGATCAACAGAAGCAGTTAAATGAAACATGTAGACTAGGATCCTCCATTGACTCGCGTAGGTCACTGGTCCTGTCCACCGTTTTCCACATCTCTTTGGCCCATTCCGCTCCATCTTGAGCATCTTTTGCGCATCTTCGTGCGACTTTCATCACATCAGCTTGTAGGAATAAGGTGCGTATCGAATGTACGTCTTAGGAATACTGCTTCAGCTTTGGAATAGGTGCGTATCAATTGTACGACTTCATAATGAGATCCGGTTTAAGTCATGGAGGGACATCATATAGATAAGCGAAGTTCGCTTCCTCCCTGGTAAGATCATCCTTCTGATCATGGATGTGCGACATCATCTGGTACAATTTATTCAGCATATGTCATGGAGGAACTTAGCCGTTTTTCATCGGCTTTCAAGCTCATCTCAGCTTGCCTCCCTAGTAAAGTTCATTGCGTCGCACAATCCATCTCTTCTGCCTTATTTAGAGAGCCGGCCAAATGTACCGAAGCTACTCTTAACTAAGATGAGTCGATAAATAGGGATCGTTCTCGATCTTTTGACTTTTTCCCAGTATCTGAATTGTCTGCCGAATCGGTCGGGTTCGTAGCAGATTCCTTTTCATCAATTGAAAGCTTCGGAATAGAACTTGATGATGACTTCGTCGATTTCGGTTCACTTCTCTGGGTGGGAGCCGAGTCCGTCTCATCATCTTTCGATTTTTCTTCCACAATTACACATTCTTCTTGGGAAGTTATATCGGTTTTTGACCTGCCGCCGCTGTAGCAGCAGAGCGTGGTTTGAAACGGTCTGCTACCTCATCGTTTTCAACTGCCATGTCAGCATCCTTCTGCTGATCGGTAGCAGTGCGTGGTTTGAAAGAAGACTGTTGAGTCAAGTCTTCTGGAGAAGCACGATCTGCTAGTTCAGCATCTTTCTGCTGATTATTAACGTTGGTAGCAGTGCGTGGTTTGAAAGACTGTTTCGAAGTACGATCTGCTACGGTGACATCACCATCGTTGTTTGCCGGTTCGGCGGCTTCCGCTAAGTTGCCAGCTTGTTCGCTCAACTTGATAGTTACTGCTGTTTCAAAGTCCTTATCCTGTTTCTTCGATCTTCCTCGTTTCTTTTTCTTCGTCTCTGCTATATCTTCTGATGATTGAGGTATCGTTGAGCGTGGTTTGAAAGAAGCGCGCTCTGCGTTGTTAACACCATCGGTAGCGGATCGTGGTTCAAAAGCTTCTTTTGGACCGCGGTCTGCCTCGGTCTCCATCTCATCCGCTCCGGTAGCAGGTCGTGGTTCACGCTCTGGTATTCCTTCTTTATCCTCTCGTTCTTCCGTTAAAGGTGGATGCCATGGCTTTAATCGATCGATGGAGACAACTTTCAGATCAGCTTCTTTTATCGGGTTCATTTCGATGACTTCAACTTCGTTTGGTCTTGGGAAACTGAGGATTTTCCATACTTTATCGTACTTTTTCTTAAAGTCGGATTGAACTTCCTTTTTTCCTTGCTTTGAATCTTTTGGAAGTCGGATGAGTACGAAGTCACCGATTTTGAAGTTCGGTTCCGATTTCTTCTTATTATAAATTTCAGCATTCTTCTCATATGCATCCTTTATATTGCATCTGGCAACTTCCTCAGCGAATATCAGATTCTTTTTCATGGTCTCCACCCATTCGTCTGGAGTACCATAATCATCTGCCAAGTTCGTTTTTGTCACCACATCCTCTGGCATAGTCATCTCCCTTCCATGTAACATGTAGTATGCCGAGTAGCCGGTTGTGGCATGTATCACTCTGTTCATCCCTGAGACCACGTACGGAAGGTACTTGTTAAATTTCCGTTCATTTCCCGCTTTCATATATTGTGCCAATCCATCTCCGATGATCTGCATCTGCCGTTCCACTTGGCCTTGGCCTTCAGGGTGGTATGCCGTTCCGAACGTGTGTTTGATTTTGAACACGTTGGTGACTTTCGCTAAAACTTCCGCTGTGAAGTGCCTTCCGCGATCCGTATGTAAGATATGCGGTGCTCCATGTACCAATATCACATGTTTTACAAAGACTTTGGCAAATTCCTTCGCTGTTGCCGTTTTCATCGGTACTGCTATCACATATTTCGTCAGCTGATCGATGAACACCGCTATATACTTATATCCCCGTTTCTTTGTCGGTAATAAAGGTCCTTTCAGATCGGCATATACTCGAAAGAAAGGATGTCCCACTTTGATCTCTTGCAGCTTTCCAGGTGGGCATTTCCTTGGTGTCTTGGTGAACTGACATCCTTGGCATGCGAGTATATAATTCTTAACGTCCGTACTCATTCTGTCCCAATAGTATCGCAGTCTTATTGCTGCTAGCGTCTTTTCGTATCCAAGATGACCTGCTGCTTTCTCATCATGCAGCGCATGGATGATCGCTCGTCTCATGGACAGTGGTACGACATATGACCTTTCTAATCTCCCTTTGTTATCTTTTATTCGGTACAAGATTCCATTCCACAACTGGTAATGAACTTCGAACTTCGATCTCGTTTGGGCGTCTGCTAAATGTTCGAGTTCATCGATGATCATTGCAAGGTGAGGATCTTTCAGCTGCTTATTTCGAAGCTGCAAGTTCGAGTCATCTTCTTCTTCCTCATCTCCTTGCAGGTTGACGATGCGAACAGTTGCGGTGCTGAGATCGTTCCAGTCCGTGATGACTTTGCATCGCGGTAACGGTTTATGTCGGTTATCCTTCTTTTTAGGAAATCTCAGCAGCTTAATCGGGCATTCATTTAAAGCCCGTACACGGTTAACATTGATCATTGATTCCGCCGGCTCATTCGCCGTAGCCGGATCATCTTTTACTCGCTTCTTTCGCTCTTCGGCCATCTGTACGAACAGCTGCCACACTTCAACTGCCGGTTCCTTTATGTCATACTCTTTTTTAATATCTTCGAAGTTCGGAATTTCATCGAATTCTTCATCATGGCATGTTGGGCCTTCGATTGGTGCCCTCGATAATGCATCCGCGTTATCGCAGTACTTTCCCGGTTTGTACTCGATCTTGAACTGATGACCTTGTAATGCCATCGCCCATCTCGTAAGTCGCGGATTCATGCCAACTTTGTTCGTTTCCGATCTCAGTAGATTCGTCAATGCTTGATAATCTGTTCGTACGGTGAACTCGGAGTAATCGATGTACGATTTGAACTTCCTGACGGCGAACACGACCGCTAGGCACTCCCATTCGGTTACACCGTAGTTCCGTTCAGCTCCATGTAGGACGCGGCTCGCATAGGCAATTGGATGACCTTCTTGTGATAGTACTGCTCCAATCCCTTCTTTGCTCGCGTCACATTCAATTACCGTTGGCTTAGCTGGATCGAACTTCGCTAAGACTGGACCTTCGCATAGCAACTTTTTCAAATTGTCAAACTCCTTCGTATGAACTTCTGTCCAATCTTTTCGCACGTGTTTATCGTTTCTCAGCAGCTCATATAAGTGACAGGTCTGCTGTGCATATCCAGCTATGAATTTCCGATAATAGTTCGCAAGTCCCAAAAACGATCTCAACTGCCGTTCAGTCTGAGGTCGTTTGAACTCGGATACTGCGGTGATCTTTTCGGGATCCATGCGAACTCCATCTTCGCTGAGTATATGACCTAGAAATCCCATCTCCCGCATTCCGAATTCACACTTCGTCGGTTTAATGGTGAAGCCTGCTTCGACCAAACTTTGAAGGACATTCCTCATGTTCTGCAGGAAAATCTCCCAAGTTTTTCCAGCAAAAATGACATCGTCGATGTATCCAAAGACACAGCCCTTTCGCTTTGCCTTGGATAAGACACGATCCATACAGAGTTGGAACGTTGCAGGCCCGTTGCAGACTCCAAATGGCATCCGTTTAAATCGATACATGCCGTCTTGCGTTACGAAAGTTGTTTTATTAATCGATTCTGGATCCATTGGTATCTGCCAGAATCCACTTTGCAGATCCATTTTCCCGTAA